GTCACGCTAATTGCACAATAAGGACCACATTGGGGAAAATGTAATTTCAAAACGTATACAGGTTTCCCTCACTTTATGCAGCATAGATGCACAAAGCGAAACCGCCTGAGACAACTGCCGGCCAAGTCGCTCGCACAGTACACGCAATGTTGCCGCACGTCCGACCGCATAGCCACATGTGGCAGTTCAAATCACAAGTAGCGAATTTTGGGTAAAATTACAATGACCATATATATACGCAAAATCGCACAAACCGGACACGGGTTAAAGCGAGGGAAACGTGGCATATCGGTTTGTCATTTGACAATTGTGTTGCACATTTTGCAGGAAAGTGCGCTCCGTACTGTGTGAATGATGAAAGGCCACGATTTTTAGCAACAGTCCTATGAAAAATATATTCTTTGGGACCATCTTCGAAGGCACAGCACACTTTTCCGGGCGTTTCAAATGGATTATTCATCTCATGACATGGCGTCGATTACACACTTGGATTAAGTTATGGGTAAAATACTAGAAAATACATTCAATTCTGAACGTTATACATTGTAAACCGATTGGGTACCCGGGGCTTAATTTATCACTGGATATATTCTGGATTGTTAGTAGCTTGGAGTACGGATGTGACTAATAGCCACTGCCAGGCACGGAGATTTTCCAGGTTGCTTTTCCCCTGACAGACCCACGTGAAATTAAGTTCGAATTGTTCTGCATAACACGTGGTAAATGAAATTAGGAAGCCGTTGCGATGCACACGTCCATAGATGCGCGCATTTTATCCTAATTGTCTGAGCCAATAGGATTAACCAACTTGAATGCTTGGCTCGACATTACACGCGGATGTATTTTTCGATTTAAAGCTTTCGTGACTGCAATGATTCATCTTCTTTGGTTCTTTCGGTAAAGTCACGTAGAATGAGAATAAAATAATAAATTGATAAAATAAAATAACACAACAATATTCTCACGACGTTTCGGCCACAACACAAGCGGCCTTCATCAGGTGAAGGGACGAGACTGTCTCGTGTGTTGTGGCCGAAACGTGAGAATATTATTGTGTTATTTTATTTTATCAATTTATTATTTTATTCTCATTCTACGTGACTTTACCGAAAGAACCAAAGAAGACGCGGATGTATATTGACCAAAAGCAGATCATAATAGTTGGCAGAGACTTTATAATGGGAGCAAAATGCTCTTCAGAGGTATTTGGAGCACATTTTATAGAGACAATTTGTGAAATTAGAGTATTTCCTTAACTTGTTTTTTTTTCAGCTTATAACCTTTCGTTCACTTTTTTTGTATGTAAATACAAATATCCATCAAATTTTCGTTTCCTTTTTGGCGGGGGGTGGGGGGGGGTATAATAAATTTGCAAACGAAATTGTGTGCTTGGCAAAGCAAATCTGTGCTTTAAAAAAAAATCCAATTGACCTGTGAATATTTCAGAATACGCGAGCCCTCATCCACAGTTCTCACGCTCGTGCTGTCCAGCTCCCCTGTGTTGCTTTTGAGTCGTTACCCCCCCCCCACCGCGTGTTGTGGTGGCCGACGCATCCCCTACCACGTGCTGGGATAAAAAAAAACAACGTGGGACATCGTGCTGTACAACTTGTCGGGGCCGAAATAAAAACACTGGCTCACGTAACTTGAGAGCGGACGGGAACCTTGCAAAATATTGCTGGATATTACATGCCATGAGGCAGGCGCATCCCCCATCGTCAACAACGTCTCGATAACAGGAATGCACTAAGTCTCAAGTCTGGGGACGTCTCTACCGCCCTTAAACAGTTTCACAAGGTGCAATTTGATTCGCAATTTTAGGTACTGATATATAATAACTTCCTTTCTGTAAAAAAAAAGAACTGCCTTTGCTATAATTAAAAAAATTATTCTGATTGTACTGTGCATTAAAGTATTATATCATTGATTCATTAAATGTGACGACGTAAATTCATCTCATGTGATCAACAATAATTATTTCATACTTATGGACAATAAAGTGTTAACACTTAAATGATGCTGTCAAGGTTCGGTGTCTTATCAATATCCGTATGCTTACCCCCGACCTGCATGAAATTCGAGGGTCCTGACTCATTTAAATAAACATTTTACATCGTGGTGAATGCTCACGAGCCACTCGTGGCTTCATACATCATGTGAACCCACTACATCTAAACATCACAATAAAAAACATTGATTATTCCTTGCAAATGTCTAGGCTGACACCGCTTAGATCCTGGGTTCCAAATCCGGGCAACCGGCTGTGATAAGTCGCGTTCTCAAGTGTAGCGAGTTGACGGTCTCGGCCTGGTCACCGTTGACTGCAACAACAACAAAAAACCCCACATTGAAAATCGCATTTCTATATTTTACCTACGACACGAATATTATACTCGGTGGCCTGAGCGGTTGGGGAAAGTGTTGCCGCTTAATTTATGAACCAAACGTCACTTGGGAAGGTATTTTAAGGGGCAGCTATCTGCTTCCGTGAGTAATTCTCAGATCCGAGTGGATAGTTTCGTCCCATGACGTGACGCCGGTGGCTCAGTCGAGATAACCTTGAGGAACAAGGCCAAAAACAACAGCGAATTGATGCATCCTTACACGCATGCTTTCCCATCGTCCAGGCGTTTGCATCAAACACGCATCCCGCTCTGCTGTTATGCGACATGCAATACAAATGACATTTGCTGTTTAATTCCTGGTGGGAAACGTCGATGCAGGAAGGCCTCTGGACTCAACAACACATGATTACATTCTGTATTAGGTGAAACAAAGCATGGAGTTCATTCCCATTGAGGATGTGTTCAGTAAATACGACATGATTTAAACTGTCCACGCCTCTATGAATGGCTTTATTTTTCCAATCCAACGTTCTGACCACGTTTATTTCAATGTCGCTCTGAATAACTTTGGCGATAGCGAGTCGTCTGCTTCTCTTGACGCCTCGTATGCAGCTACACTGAGAGGCAATGAAGAATTCACGGATCAGAGAGCAAAACCACCTTCGTGGACATGGGCAGGATAATTCGCTCGAAGGGATGATGGGCCCGGTGGTCAAGACTAGCAACGGAATGGCAGCCAAAGTCGAGATTCGCCTGAAAAAACGTCCACCGTGGGATGTCGATGGACCTTTTGCATCGCGTGACAGACGATGGCTCGGAGAAGGCCTTCATCCAGCAGTGGATTGATCGTGGCTAATTATTATAATAGAAATATGAACGGGAGCTTGCCTCGCCAATTTTATTGAACAAATCATTTGTTGATGCTTCGTTGGCAGTTTGTGCTCTGAAGAAGGGGCAGTTCCCGAAACGTCGCCTTTTATCTACAGTACTTTTAAGGCAGTGTTATTGACGAATTCGTTGTAAAAAAATGTTTTATTGGGTTGTTTAGTATCCATCCATAATACGGATTGTTTTTGTTTGTCAGATCACGTAAATATAAATGTGTCGTTAACCCGGCCACCACCCGACACAGCCAATGAGTAAGGTATGCAACCCGGTATGTATCGCGTTTATTGAGAAGTAATGACTTTTTTAATGGAACTGTGTCACTTCTTATGGAGGATGTTGTATCGTGAACGTCGTGCAGAGTCGATCTCGTGGTCACGCTGACCTCCGGTGTGGCTCGTTGGTTTAGGCCCTTTTTTCTGCCAAGGGCCATTTGGATATTTATAACATCATACAAAATTATCAACTTGAAAAATTTGCCCGTTATATTTGGTCAAACATTTCATTAACTTACCCCTAATGTGATGGCTGGAACAGACCAAATTATTTTGCGGGCCTTTTTACGGCCCGCGGGCTGGGCGTTCCCCACCCCTGATTCTCAATTTTCCCGTATAAGAATACTGGGGTAAACCGTATGGGTTGACAGCTTCGCTATCTCCATGTATCTCTGTGTCATCAATGGAACTGTGTCAACTTCTAGGAATAGTTTGACCTCCGGTGTGGCTCGTTGGTCTAGGGGTATGATTCTCGCTTCGGGTGCGAGAGGTCCCGGGTTCAAATCCCGGACGAGCCCAGCAGAAAAAAAACACGCCTGTTTTTTTTATATATAAAACTAAACAAAAAAAGTTGTTACATGTCGTGCTGTTAAAAAAAAACTCGCGATGTTGTGCTATTCATAATGTCAGTTTTACAACTACGTCGACTTTATTCAACGCTGCGCTTGTTTTTTTTTAAGATAAGTTGCGGTCCGCAGTTGAAACTTTTTAACAAAGGAAGTTTTGTCCCCGACTCGCCGCGTGGTTGTCGATTCAATTCCACGAATCGGCGGTGGAGGGCGCCAATGCTGGCAATGAAAACCTGACGGAGGATGCGTTAGAGAAAAATATATAATAATTTGGATTTAGCGCGATACATTTACACGTAACGCGTCTAAAAGCGTTAATGTGGATGGGTAGCGTGTATTTCACACGTGAATGAATGTGACGGAAAAGAAAACCTGTTATATTTGTTTTTATATTTAAAAAAATATTCGCACTTGGGCTCGTCCGGGATTTGAACCCGGGACCTCTCGCACCCTAAGCGAGAATCATACCCCTAGACCAACGAGCCGGCCGATGGGGAACGTCTCTCACGGGCCTCATATAGATCGCCCTCCGCCGTGAAACTCTGAGCAGTCCTCTCAAGCCCCGATCCTACGCCGTCTCAGTTTTTATTACAGCCCGTGCCATTTATAAATCTCGACGTTCATCCCCTGCAAAGTCTCATCGCAAGGGAGAAACACAAACAAATAGACAATTTTTCTTGCCGTTGGTTTTCACACCTGATGATGACCGTTTGTGTTATGGTCGAAACGTCGTGATAATTTTTATTGTGTTTATATATTTAATTGTTTTATTGTTTCCCTTCAACGTGACTTTACCGAAAGAGCTAAGACTATAGATAGACAATTGTTGTGCCCGTGTTGAAACGGCTGTACGCCGTCATGGACCTGAAAACTCAAATTTCCCCGTACAAGAATACGGGGGGGGGTGGTTAAACCCGTAACAGGTTGACAGCTATGGGGCAATGCATTAAAACGTTTAAGAACAACACAAATAATAAGAACAATAACAACAAACGCCGCGGCTAACTTCAGGGCCTTCGTGTGTGGCCGCAGTCCACCAGTCAAGGCGCGCGTTGCTGTAACCATGGCGACCGCGACCCCCGCTGCTTTAAAGTTTTCACTTTCCTCGTGAGGAGATTTTATTAAAATTTTAATCTCTTGGGGTTTAGCGTTGGCATTCTACATCGTAGTTGACTGTTACAAATTGTTAGTTAACTGTTGATAACAGTGGGAAATCGCGCTTTTTTTGTTATATATTTAAAAAAATCTGTAAACTTTGTTCTGAGGCGACGAAACTTACGGTCGACATTCGGTGTCGGTGGGCGATTAACTCGTAAATGACGACACTAAAACTAAAATTATTACATTACAGCGACTGAACAGTAAAGTGTGCAGATTTACACATTAATTAGAGCAATCTCTTTCGGTCGTCAACTTTACAAGTCTGAGATCTGCTCCGATTTAGTCCACACAGTGAAGATGTTCGTCATCGTTAAATACGGAGGTACAGTACGGCAATTGGTTACTTACATCACCTCATTTGCTTAATTTACTTAATTAATGTAACGAACTTTAAACAACAATAATATTGGCGTCTCTTCACGTGTTAATTTGAGAACAGGCCCTAAACTCTCTGTGCGGCAACGTTTTCGCCTCTTCTTTACTACCTTAATCTATACATTTACCTGAGCCTTTACTAAGTTTAACTTCATTTACATATCCAAAGTGCATACGAACGATAACCATGTTACTTGATAATGTATAGTTATAACATAAAAACAGTTCAATACGGTAAATGTATTATAAAAAAAGTGATTTAAAACAAGCCGGTGTGTTAAAGTACGCAACGTTACAATGCTTCGTGGCTGTTCTTACATCGCCCTCTGCCCTTTAAATCACCGAATACATTCTACTTAAAATTACAACATTGTACTTCAAATTACAACGTTGTACTTAAAATTACAACATTGTACTTAAAATTACAGCACTTAAGTTCGTGTCACGAATTATCGTCGCGGTATTTGTGAGTGTTTAACCGCGTCCTTTAACAGAAAGTTAACAAGGATACGTGTTAGTGTATAACGTTATTTCAAAGCTATTCGACATCATAATCCAACTCTCTATAGTACATTAAAAGGACAATGTTAGGGTCATTATGAGACCTCCTTTGCCAGTAGCAAGATGTAGTAATAGGTTTTTACTCTTTTATCTGTCGCCAGATAAAAAGGGTAACCACCTATTACTATAATGTTAGGGTCGTTTATCGTTTACTTTATGCCGGCAGGTATATAGTGTATTTAAATTGCGATATGAATGACCTGTGTACTGGGTCGTACGCACGTTACAACTAAGTTAGTGTTTAGTTTAGAGTTTAGACTCTTACAGCTCGGACTTTATTATTCGTCGTAAACTTGTATTTGGCCGGCAGATAGCCACCCCCAAACACACACACAAAATAAACCCACCTATTTTGATTTAAAGCTTTCGTGACTGCAATGATTCATATTCTTGGTTCTTTAGGTAAATTCACTTAGAAGAGAAACAGTAAAAGAATAATTAAAAAAAATATATTGTTTTTATTGTTTTATATATTTTTTTCTTTTATCGTTTCTCTTCTACGTGACTTTATCGAAAGAACCAAGAATATGAACCCCCTTATTATATAGCCTTAATAACAGAATTATATTCTTGGTTCTTTCGGTAAAGTCACGTAGAAGGGAAACAAAATAATAAAAATATAAAACAATGAAATTATCACGACGCTTCGACTGCAACACAAGCAATCATCATCAGATTTTCTTGCTGTGGTTTTCACACCTGATGATGATTGCTTGTGTTGCAGTCGAAACGTCGTGAGAATTTTATTGTTTTATATTTTTATTACTTTATTGTTTCCCTTCTACGTGACTTTACCGAAAGAACCAAGAATATGAATCCCTGCAGTCACGAAAGCTTTAAATTTAAAATGTAACAGACTGTTGTTTGCGAGCAACTATTAAGATCGGCAAGGCCACACTAACGGCTGGGGGCTTGGTGGTCAACACCTCGCCCGGCCACCTTTGTCTTCCCAATGCTCCAGTTTCAGCACCGGGTGCTAATTTAAGGCTGAGTCGACCTAGAGGTGGGGGGGGGTGGGGGGCCCAGCAAATGGTTCGGATGTCCATGGCCGATGCTGGCCACGTGCGGGAATCGAACCGGGGTCACCGCCGGGTTCGTAGAAGCGCCACCACCACCACAGCTTCCCAACAAGGGTGGTGTGGATTAAAATAAAGACTTAAAGGTTTTGGGGGGTGTTTTTTTATCGTAGTCAACACGTCAATAATGCACATGAACAACAAAACAAGGAAGCAACGCCAATGTATGTATGTGTATGTCGAAATTATGGGCCAATTTGTTGAGCTGTCATTTGTGGCCAGGTCGCTTCTGAACAACAAGGTAGTAATAATAATAACTCAAGTGGGCCTTGCCTGGTAGGATTGGGATGGTTTAGTTTTAATTGTATGTGTTTGAGTCATTTGTTTATCTTTCTTGTACTCTGCACTACTATCATGTTTTTGTACTGTTCGTTGTTGTAACGTTCTTAACCACCCCTACTACATATGTGAACAAGAGCTTGAAAGATTATCGGATTCCTCCAGCATAAATATTCTGATTCTGATGTTCACGCCTTCCAACTTGCGTTTGTCAGCCATGTTTCATATTAAACCACACAACGAAATAACGTCAAATAAAAACATGACCTTTTTTGCCAGCATCAAACAATGATAGTGGCCTGGTGAGACAAGACTATACAAAAAAGTCTGTCTGGTGGAGGCGAATCAGTTTGAAAAACAATTTCAATATTATCAGAGCATGTTTTGTTTGCATGTTCACCACAAGTACGTGTTGTTAATGCAGACTTAATTCATTGGTGTTTGCACATCTTAATCCGTTTTATTGCCAGAAAATGTAAAACCTATTAAGGCATTACATGTCGTGAGATGATATAGTCTTGGCTAAAAAGCCTTATCCAACATCACTGTTATCGCCAAGTTATTGGAAACACTATCATATCGAAATGTTTCCAGGACCCAACCTGAAAAATATTCTTCAGAATCGTTTTTTTTTTTAATCCTGGATATATACAGTATTTACAAAATGCAAGCATGATGCTTCAAATAGTCGGTGTCATAGTTGGAACAACAACAACAGACTGTCTAGAAGTCTAGCCATCCTGGCTGACTCACCGAATGGTAGTGAACACATTCCTGCGGAGGGAGCTGGTAGGAACGTTGGGTTGCTCGGTCAATGGCCAGGGTCAACAACGGCGGCACCACGTGGTGTATTCCGCAAATATGCCCGACTGTGAGGGCGGGCACAAGCCGGTGTGAGTAGGTTAAACGTTGAGTTTTATAAGGGCACCACGGGGTGACCAGCCCCTCCCCACCCAGCCCCACCCCTCCGACTCAGCCCCACCCAGCCCCTCCCCACCCAGCCCCTCCCCACCCTCCCCTCCCCACCCAGCCCCTCCCCACCCAGCCCCTCCCCACCCTCCCCTCCCTACCCAGCCCCACCCCACCCTCCCCTCTGCACCCAGCCCCACTCCACCCTCCCCACCCAGCCCCTCCCCACCGTCCCCTCCCCACCCAGCCCCACCCTCCCCACCCAACCCCTCCCCACCCAGCCCCTCCCCACCCTCCCCTCTCCACCCAGCCCCACCCCTCCCATTTTTGGATGCACGACGGACGGACGGACACAATAATCCCCTGTGCGCTGGTGTAACCAGGAGGTTCCTACCAGTAATATGCTAATGCTGTGTGTGCTCTTGTTCTTACAGAGCGACAGCAGGCGCTATTTAACCCGTCTTGCCAGGCTCGCCTACTGCTTCGCTCCATCCGCATCAAACTTGGCTGTGACCCTGATGGTGAGCAACTACCAGTGCCTGGAAATTATCACGCAATTAATTAAATTACAGTAACAAATAGATTGATTTATTACCAAAAAATATTTCATAGCCGATGCCTTTGATGCCACCACATACTCGGATTGCTTCCTTCTGCCAGCAGTTGCAGAGTCGACATCCTGACCTCCAAGGACCACTCATGCCACTCATAATGCATACCTGTCAACCCCTTATCAGTGTCTACCCATTCAGACCTTATTGGCCACCCCGTGCCCTTATGACTCTTCAAGTTCATCCTACAAAATCCCATCACAAGGGAGAAACAAAAATAGACCAAAAAAATTACCGTATTCAAACGGCTGTTTGCCGTATGGACCTGAAAACTCAATTTCCCTGTACAAGAATAAATTTAAACCATATGGGGTTGACAGCTATGGATATGTATATTCTTGGTTCTTTCGGTAAACTCACGTTGAAGGGAAACAATACAATAATATATATAAAAAACAATAAAATTCTCACGACGTTTCGACTACAACACTAGCAGTCATCATCAGGTGTGAAAACCAACGGCAAGAACATTGATGATGACTGCTTGTGTTGTAGTCGAAACGTCGTGAGAATTTTATTGTTTTTATATATATTTTATTATTGTATTGTTTCCCTTCAACGTGACTTTACCGAAAGAACCCAGAATATGAATCACTGCAGTCACGAAAGCTTTAAATCAAAAGCTATGGATATGGGTGACCCCCTTACCCCATCATAATCAGTGCCCCCTTACTTAAGGAGTGTTTGCACTCCTTAAGTATTTCATGCCCACACACAGATCAGTTAATATTCAAAGTTTCCTTTACTTTCTTAAATAATATTCCAATTGAGTATCATTCACATGCTGTCATGAGATCAACATTATCGTATTTGTAATTCACAGCAAGCAGTAGAACATCATCCAATGTTAAGGGCATGGCCTCTGGAAGTTGATATCACCTATTTATGAGGTTCCGCTGCCTCATACAATACTGTATAAGGAACCCATGCCCTACCGTGTTCGTTGCGTAGTCCTCAAACTAAAAGAGTTTAATCCCCAAAGCTGGATTTTGCCAATTTAAGTAAAAAAACACGCAATGGTTTTTTTGTACCGTCGTTCGTACCAATGTGCAGTGATTGGCAACGAAGCCACTAATTATAATGTGTAATATGAATTACAAAATGTTATTGGGCATCTTAGGGGATGGTTATATTTAAAAATAAAAAGTTTTTAAATAGCTCCTGCTAAGCTAAAATGAGTTCAACTAAAGTGTGACTTTTCATGAAGGCAACCTTGCTAAGATAACATGATTACAGCCCACATAATAGCAGTTGATGTCATGTTTTTTATATTAAGAAATTAACACACATTGAGCGAATATTGAACACAAACCCACTTCACATTTGGCATGAGGTAAGTTTGTAGACAAGGAATCCATTCAGATCTCTCGTAAAGCAATGCAATACTTTGTGTTTCAGATCGGCCCATAAAAGCAGATATCACAGGTTGCATGACAGTCAAGCTGATATTTGTAATTCTCACTGCTGGAATTGTGTACGTGTAGGGCTGAAACAATCAACTCACTACACTTGAGAATTTGGTTTAATCAATCAAATCCATGCCTGGATTCAAAGTCAGGTTTATGGTGGTCTGGCCTCTTGAGCCACCTGGCCAACCTTAGTTTTTTTTTCACTAAACCTCAGCGGAGCTGGAGTTGTGCGACGAGATGGGGCAGCTGAAGCACGTGTCTGCATGGCCGGAGCGGCTGGCGAGCGAGCTGCTGGCCGAGAGGGAGACGCTGGTGGCTGTGCGAGTCTTCAGTGAGTGGTCCTCACCACACAATGTCTCACGGAAAAAACAATTTTGGCATCACCACACACTCGGGGGCCATCCATTTAGTACGTATGCATGGAGGGGGGAGGGGGAGGTCAACCCAAGTGCGTACGCTTGCGTATGGGGGGTCTACTGACAATGTGCGTACGCATAGGAAACAGGGGGGGGAGGGGGGGTGAAGCCTCGATAATAATTTGTCTACATTGACCTTCAAATTAGTTAGTCCGGCGGTGGACTATCTGTTTGCTTAAACACGTGAATTTTATTAATCCTTGATCGTTTCTGCGTGGATTAAATATCGGCCGTTCTATAGGATTCGGGGGGGGGGGGGGGGGGGTGGGGCGGGGGGGTGCGTCAAGCGTACGTACGCAGGTGGGGGAGGGGGTGTAAAAAGTCCGCGTGCGTACAGGGAGGGGGGGAGGGGTCAAGTTTTGACAGATTTTTGCATACGCACTAAATGGATGGCTCCTAGGGAATGGCCTAGGGAAGATGACATCACAGAGCTAATTGCCAGGTCACTTCAGTTTTCTCTTATTCTCACTAGGTGGTGATGTGTCTTCTCACATGCCCTACAATATAGGTGTTTACTGCATGACAATAAAACCAATAAAACTTTTTTTTTATTATCCCTGACGTCCGGAGTATACCAAATGGAATGAAAATCCCCCCAAAAATGATGTGTCCAGTTATTGGTAACCGAACTAAGGCAATCAACTTGTGACACTTGACAATCATCAACAGCCACCATCAACTCACTGCTGAACGAAGGCCTCCCTAAAGCCGTCGGCATCTCTCACGGTCTTGAGATGCAAAGATCCATGTAGTTACTGCATATGGGCTGACTTACTACACTTGGTATCCCAGTTTAATCGCAGGGGAATGAAATTCAGATTTGAACCCAGAATCACAATGGTCCTTGTTCAGTACTTTGCCACGATATTTTCACTCTGAGCCACTCAGCCACCACTCATTCTCAATGGTTTTTGTCTCCAAGTTGGTTTGCAGCTGGTTGGTTTGCAAATGAGAGACGTATTTTTGTTGCACATTAAACACCAATACTTATATTTAATACAGTGAGGGAAAAGGTATTTGATCCCCTGCTGATTTTGTACGTTTTCCCACTGACAAAGAAATGATCAGTCTATAATTTTAATGGTAGGTTTATTTGAACAGTGAGAGACAGAATAATAACAAAAAAATCCAGAAAAACGCATGTCAAAAATGTTATAAATTGATTTGCATTTTAATGAGGGAAATAAGTATTTGACCCCTCTGCAAAACATGACTTAGTACACAAAACCCTTTTTGGCAATCACAGAGATCAGACGTTTCTTGTAGTTGGCCACCAGGTTTGCGCACATCTCAGGAGGGATTTTGTCCCACTCCTCTTTGCAGATCTTCTCCAAGTCATTAAGGTTTCGAGGCTGACGTTTGGCAACTCGAACCTTCAGCTCAAAGAGCTGTACAATAATCACCACATTTTACATTAAAGAAGGGGCTAAATCCCCAAAGAAGGAATTCATTTCCCGTATCTTGTTCTGTCTGTGCAGGAGAAGGTGACCAGTTGACGTATCGACCTCTACTGGATGATCCAGACATCGTCAACCCCAAGTTCATCGGTACAAATAAGATATTCTATATCAAGGAGTTTGCTATCGAAAAGACATCGTCAACCCCAAGTTCATCGGTACAAATAAGATATTCTATATCAAGGAGTTTCCTATCGAAAAGACACATGATCCTAATCCCCAGTTAACTTAATGATAAGCAGTATGATGCAACCATCTGTTAAGAAGCCAGGCTCTCGATGGCAAAGAAATAAAAACATACACGTTTGTTTGAAGACCACAATTACATAATCAGTAAGGTTACGATTTTGTCATCATAATTTGACTGAAATCTACGGCTAAAGTGTGGCAAAAGTACATGAATTCACGGAAAGGTCGTGGAACAAGGGACAGTATTCAAAAAGAAATAAATACAGCAAGTTCTTTGTTTGTCTGTACCTCAGTGTCTTTCTGCATCACCCTATATCTGTGTATGTATTTCCGTGTATGTGTGTATCCCCACGTCTCCGTATATCCAAGTGTCTGTATCTCCGTGTCTCTCAGTATATCCCTTTCTCTATCTCCGTGTCTCACTGTGTATCTCCGTCGGCTGGTTTTCTCTTCCAGTCAAACCCTGGAGGGACCTACTCTAATAGGTTTAAATAGTTTTGTATTTTCTAAATGTTGCATTGTGTCTTAGCTCAGCGTACTGTCATCATACACCGCACATTAATAATTTCCTGGATTACACATTGCAGTAGAGGGAGCAGTGATTTAGCACAAGGTAACTTGAATAAAAAAATGTTTTGCATTGCAGTGAATGGTAGTAACTCTTGTGGCTGCAGTGGTGACGTGAATACCAATTAATACATATACGATTTGAAAAATAATCTTACTCAATCGCGAGTTTACAAATCGATATTCATAGGTGAATCTATGCGTATTTCCACCCCTAGTAATCAGTGCACCATTACTGCTGGCACTAACAATAACTGAGCAGTGGAGTGCTGGCACAGCGCTCTATGAACTCGATGACCCGAGTTTAATTTCTGGCCACGGCTAACATCGTTATCGGAACCAGTATTATTATATCGCAGCAATGTGAGAGGTAGCGACAGCATGTGGAGACATTCATCCAGCAGTGGATTAACAATGGCTGATGGACGATACTGATGCCCTCTCGTAGCACGCCTGAGCAGCCGTGACAACTACAGGCCAATGACAAGTGCCAGAAACAAGATCAAGAAAGTGACCAAGAAAAATCCTGCAAACTTTTCCACCTCCAGCTTTGATGGTAGGGAGCCTCATGCCTTACACGTATATGTGGCCAGGTGTCAAATCATGTGTATTGAATAGTAGGGGTGCATGTTACTTGGCCCACCACAACCACCAACAATACTATCACCATCAGCATCATCACAATTACACCATCACCACCACACCACCAATTAAAATGTCACGAGGTATTCATGCATTCACCACAATGGCAACCACACCACTAACGCCATGACCACCACCACATCCACACCGCCAATACTTACCATCACCAATTGATTCAAATGTATTTAGGTATTTATGCAATGCATAATTACAATGCACCAGTGATAGACACTCAAGCGGACGGGTTGGTCCATAGTGATTCATAAAACCTAGGTGCAGAACAATCCATTAAATCTGAAATGATTCTTGTGCTCACGATACATACATTTAATCGATTACTTATGTACTAATAGATCTACAATTATTGCAAATTACATAAAAATGATATATTTAATGCTAATCATGCAGAGGATCCCAAAGCATTTTCCAATTAAAACAATGTTTCGAAAAAAAACATTGGTCAATCCTGCTTATAGATAACTATAACAATGTTTATAAATTTGATTTAAAAGGTTCCGCTGTGCAAGTATTCCTGAGATGACATGCAAATGTTTGCTTAAGAAGAGTTAAACAAACAAGAAATAACTAACATGACAGATGGCACAGATGACAAAGAGTACAGACGAGAGAGAAAATCAAGACAGAACAAAGTAGAGACTATAGAAATGGAATAATATTCATGAGACAAAATATAATTGATTCTTCGCATCAAATCATGATGAACAATTTGTGACAGTTCATCAAATTGCATGTGGCCGCGGGATGTGGGTGAAGCGTTCACTCGTAACAGTATTCACGGGGTGGAAGGAACATGAAGAATCTTTTAGTTCGTTGTCCTCCGATTAGCACTGTTGGCTACGCACGGTGCGAAAGAAGTTAGGCATACATCCTATATGCGGTTGTGTGATGAGTTTTTGCTTTTTGTTTGTTATTTCAGGGCCTCCAAAATCTGTTGGGTGCTCCAATGGTAAGCTGGCCACAGTGAGAAGCAGATCTCGACAGTCCAAAAACTGAGTTTTAAAATTTATAAACAAAACGCTGTGTAATACGTATGATTTACACTTATAATGGATAACTGGGTATGAATCAGTAGCTTGGGTAAAATAGTGTCATCCAATGCAATGCTTAATTCAACCAACTTTGCAAACAAGTGTTCGCATCATTTGTAATTGTATATACATAATGTACGAATAAAAGTTGTGACATGTTTATGTACAGCCCTTTTGTGAATCCACTGCTGGATGAAAGCTTCCCTATGCCATACTCTCAGCATGCTGGCCAGTGTTTGTCGAGGTAAGAAGCATATATATGTGAGTATAGAAACAGTACAACAATGGATTTAGTTGTAAGTCTCGACTGCCCACAGCTCAGCACAGGACTGCAACCTCCTATGAAAAGCTGTCCTGCCTTGTGATCATCCAAGCACTATCCAGGCTCAACTCAGCTAGCTTCAGAAATCTGCCGAGATAGGTCGCATTCCAGGTCAGTTATACCAGCATATACTTTTTAACTAGTATTGTATTGCCATGTTAAATGTTAGTGTTAGCCATGTAAGTTGTACAAGTGCATGGACATTCCAAATGAATGAGCAACATAGACAGGGTTCATTTATGCTTCTATTTTTTATTGTAACTTGCGCAGAAAACCAATGAATCTTGATGCCAAATATATTTTATATACACAATACACTTGCAGACAAAGGTACATTTTCCCACAGAATCATTAGATGCAGCATCTCCAGTATACACACGAAAATGTGTGACCCACAAAAACGAATGACTACTACAGTATAATATATTTTTTCGTAAATCTATTCACAACGAACTCCATGAAGGATTTACATCCATGTTAAGCAAGTTTCTTTCATAAAAAAATAAGAGATCAAGGCATTAAACACATAAATTACGAACAAAAAATTTGCGATGAGCTCAACATTTTTTTTACTTGCAGTCATATTTCAGCGTACCTCAGCCTCAAAAGAGATTTAAACTGAAATTTGCAGCATGTAAAATTACCTGGTGATGGCAAATGTGCAACGTTAGCTCGCTTACAATCGGGTAAATTCTAAACAAACATTTACTCTACCATGGTCAATCACAAAAGGCAATCTGTTGGGGGGAGAATCTCTTCATGCAAGGTTGATCTGGTCAAGAATGCAAGGTCACACAGCGATTCATGTTTGGTGATGAAGTCCCAAGGTCATGCTTTCGCTGGCTCGACGCACTCCAGACAGACTGCAATCCAGGCTCAAGCCAAGTCTCTCTTTACGTTCACTCTTTCTTCTTACTCCCAGCAGGACTGGCAGCTGGCACAGGGTGCCCGTTGTGTACCGCTCCCTCTGATGACTCCAACTTGTCGGTCTGCAGCAGGTCCACACGCAGATAATCGTGTGGACCTTTTCCCTGAAAGAAAACACATGGGCTATTAATTCCTTACCTTTAAGAGCCACTGTGCAAACTGCATGTCAATCCTCAAAAAGCCTCAACAGCCAATATCACTTTCATTTACAATTCTTTAACCGCATGAAATAATCCAAAAATGTTTACATATCCAGACCTTTTGTGGTTTCACTGCTGGATGAGGGACTCTCCACGCCCATGTGGGTCGTGGATGTAATTTTTCCAACACTTCACCGTGATACTCAGTGCGGTGTTGGTGAAGGCGGGTAGCATAGATGTTGGAACGTAGCAGTAGAGAACGAGGTGTTTTGCTGTACTGCCCTCTTCTGCGCAAAAAATAGACCCATTACCTGGCCCAACAATGTTTCGAAAAAAAACACGCATTCTGTTCGTGCTCACTCATTTTTTTACTAATATACTAAACAAGGTTTTGATGCCCTTCATACAATCTCCACAGCCTTTCACACCCAGTGCACCGCAGCCTTCCCACCCTATTTCACGTCATTGTTACTCAAATTAAACTGTACAGCAATAGTTACATGAAATGTTATGAAAGTACACGTTAAATTAAACATGAGTGGATTGTTATTCAGTCAGTAAGTATTAACTAAATGTCTTGGCTGTTAATTAAACCTATATATTCTTGACATGTTTTTAAATTATATAATTTATTGGGGTATGCAGAAAATCGATAGGCCTGGTCAAGGTACACGGGCCACTGACGGGGCAAGTATGGGATGCGTGGAAATTTTATAGGGCAGGGAGGGGGGTACATCATCATCACCATCACCATCCACGGACAGATAGCCCGTAGGGTGTCCACTGCCCACTTCGTAATTTGTTTCCACTTTCCTCCGTCTCGACGAAAGAAAGAAAAAAAAGGCTGGGAACCAATGCGCTACCTCGAAAGCACTGGGGTGCTTGTATGATCCCGCCAGGCGGTCCCACAGCGTGAAGTACTGCCCGTAGTTGCACTCGAAGTAGAGGTGGTGGTCGGTGTGGTGCGCCGAGCCGTTGATGACATCCCGCAGGATCTGCGGCACGCGGTAGTCGCCGTCGTGGATCGACACCGTCCAGATGTTAACGAAGATGTAGAGGCCCAGGTAGACGCCCTTGTGCAGCGGGAAGAGGAAGGGGTAGATGTGGTAGGGCAGGCTCTGCATGAAGCCGTCGATGGGGTGGAAGGCATGGCTCGCGAACGGCGTCGGCACCTTCCACTTGTGGTGCGGCTTGTGTAACGTCTGTTGAGGCGAGAGAGAGGCAGGAGAGGTTCCTTATCATCAACATGCTAATTATTGATAATTGTTATTATTAGAGCTGGGCTATATCATTTTTATCATCTCTTAACTCTCGATTAATTGGATACAACCTAAAATAGTAGGGAGGAGCGGGGAAGTCTCACCTCCAATCCTACGTGTGCCGCTGGATGGGAGGCGATGGTTGGTGCTTGTTGGAGAACATTATTTAAATACAGACATCGAATAGCCCTGCTCTACTGTAAAGTGAATGTTTTTACTTTTGTATTTCTTCTTTGGCACTTTTTCCCAGATTTAGTCCAATTGTGCTATTGGTTTCATTGTCGTGAAATTAATACATTTCAATTCACTAATACCTCAGCAAGCAGTGCACCATGTTGTGTCAGGCAATGACCTTTCTTAAATCATTAAAAAATATATCTATGCAATAACCTAGAAGCACACCTGCTATACTGTACAAGTGATCATGGCATGCCAATCAAACTTGTCTTTGTTACCCCCCCAACCCCGCCACAGCTGCATTAAGACGAATTAAGTGAAACAAAATAAGTTTGATATTTATTTTGTGCGGCTGTAGGTGACAAGGTTGAGACTTTCAAACCTTTACACTCGATGACCCGTTTGAATCACGGCTGAAACCCAGATTAGAACTAGGGCTGAACGATTAATCGATTTCAAATCGAATTTTGAAAAAATGTGATTAGAAAATCACAAAGGTTGCGATTTGTTGCGATTTGAAAAGTCCTATTACTTTCTTATTGGAATTGTTTTATTTTTATGATAACTTTATTTATTTAACTTAACAATTGTTCTATGTTTGATTATTCTATTTCAATTAAAACATTTTAATAAATACATGTTCCAAGCAATTAATATATTTTAAGTTGCATTAGCATATATAGAGCAGTTAATATTTTGATGTTATCATGTGGTAATGCTCCATCACATGTTTTAAATCTATTATACAGTGAATATTGAACTGAAGCTTGACTTTTAAAAATGTAATCGCAAATCAAATCGCAATATCTGTCAGAAAAATCGCAATTAGATATTTTCCCTAAATCGTTCAGCCCTAATTAGAACCCAGGATCTCAGCTGTGCCAGCTTCAGTGTTCTAAGATGGCATTAGCCTTACTCCCACCAGAGCTTAATTTCAGCTGGGTCAATCTGGGTTAATATATCCACGTTTATCACATGACTGTCACTCGCTATGGCTACGATTAACTTACCTAGCTTAGTCTGTCAGCGACTCAATACAATCTGCAGTGAGGTTGTACTCCAGGCTGGTGAGAGTGGTGACAGTGGACTTGCCTTGTAGATGGACTTGTGGTGGAGAACGCGGTGTATCCAGTATATGACCATGTCGGTGAAAAGCAGGAACGACAGCATGCTGAACAGCACGCCCAGCAATCCTGGTATCCAGGGAAAACACGCCATATGTTTAATGCATTCCCAGCAAGGTTGAAAGTAATGATGTATTAACTCTGTCCGTCTGTTCGTAGCAAGGGGATGAGGGGGCACAATATTGCTCATGAAGACGTGAATTAAATTGAAGTATAAAGTTGTGTTGCTATTCGGGAATTCGGGACTTAGCCTGTAAAAAAACTTGCTGAGCCGACCCTCGTGGACTTGTGAAAAAGAGCTTTATAGCTCATCGGATTCCTCCAGTCTAAATAAAGAAAACTTCCCATATTGACATTGATCAACGGGTTTACAAAAACTTAGCGGTAAAAAAAACCCAGCGCTAAATGGCGATAACATCATGAACCCATGCGTGCATCTTGCCCTCCCATCATAACATCATTACATCATCTTGTGATATCACACATAGTGTAACATCTTGTGCTGGTCGGAAAGTAACCTTATTCAATACTTACAAGGACAAAAGCATGTAGGAAAGTGTGATATAATCCATGCATATGCATTATTTTTTTTGTCTACATTTTCTGCGAATTATAATCCAATGCACAATTGGCATCGTGACAGGAGATGAAGCAACACCTGCTCGGGAATTCTCGCAGCTCCAAATGCACTCCCCTGTGTCAGAACAGCCCACGGAACAACTTTCTGACGTCACTTCAGCAGGACTCTGTCCTCGCTACCATACAAAAAAATCACTGCTGGATGGGGGACTCTCCCCGCCACATGGGTAAATATTTGTCAAACGTCAAATATATTTCCCTCCAAACTTAAATGTCAAAAGTAAAAAAGCCAAATTATATTCGATGGGCTTTTTTGTGAAGTCACTGCTGATAAGGCAAAGACCATCAATTCACTATACTAGAGAACCCAGTTTATTAAATAGGCAGCTAAAACCTGAATTGAAACTCAGGTTCTCAGCGATCCTGGCTCAGTGCTCCCACATGGTATTAGTGACCCGAGCCAATTAGTCATCTCTTTCTTGCCTAGCCAAAGCTTACTTTCAACAGGCATCAGTTCCCAGCTGCCGGTGGTAGTCAATACTGACCGGCCAATGTTATTTATTAGCTGTCACTTGCGCATACGAGCTCATCGCTCGTGCATACCGGGTTCACCACAAGGGAAATCGTGAGCTTCTCCAATCAGTTCCTGAAGAAGCTTCCAGCAGGGGGAATGAAATGTCGAACATCGGAGAGCTGCCGTGTGCGATATAATTTTGTGGGTGCACGTGGATGGGCGGATGTACCGAAAGCTGAATTGTCGAGGCTGTCGTAGAGTCGGCTGTAACCTCTGACCTCCAAGAAGAACAGCGCGACCGTAGGGATGCTGATCCAAGGCATGGACTGTACTGCGTACTTTATCTCCTTGCGCACCTGGTTCTGTAGAGAGATAGCCGATTGAAGGGAGACCACAACTCAAAAGACAAAGTTCTTTTCACGTATACTCACACCTCAGTTGTGCATTTTGGGCGGTCAAATAAGAGTCCAAAACTTAATTTTACCTCAATTTCCCAATTGTGATACCAGTGTCATGTAATGAGATAGATAATCCCTTGGGATCTCTCAAAGAACAGTTACAGAATGGTCCACAGAAGCAGATTTTATACAGCTGCCTCTGAGATCCCTTCCAGTGAACTCTGGTCCACATGGTAAGGGGCAGCACTTTCCCACTTACCTTGCCAGTGAGAGTAAGTTTCATTACATGGTCAAAATTATATTTTGAATACTCAAAGAGCTGAAATTCACTCAAGTTAAGTGCCCTAATGTGCCCGCACCTCCAGAAACAGCGGGTGGCTCATAAGCTTGTGATCGAAGATGAGGTAGTAGCTGAGCGTGGCGAAGATTAAGTAGATGGCGACGCCGCCCAAGTTGGTGACGAGGAGGAGGCTCAGGGTCTGGCGCACGGGGTCGTCCTCTGCCCACCACGCCGGGTACACGTACGGCGTGAGCACCCGCGAGTCAGCGTACTGCAGCACGATGTCCATGGTGGCTGCAATGCAAAGGGAATCCAGTCGGGAATGTCTTGACAGCCATCCCGCCCAAGGTGCCCGGATGATGAAAGCAAGGCAGAGCTTGTGTGTTCGGTGTGGTGCAATGGTTCTAATCAGGGCTATTAATAAAAGTATCGATGAAATGGTAATTGGTTTTGGACTCGGATTATATATTCCAAAGTCAGTCATGAAATCGATAATGAAATCCAATGCAATTGTGTTCACGAACGTGCCGATTGGCACGCACAAAGGATCAAACTGCACGGTCATCATCAGTCACTGAGTGGTATGTTCCAACACACACATACACACAGGGCTGATATTTTAAATGTTAAAGACATTTTGATCGTCATCATCAGCCATGATCAATTCACATCGGGATGAAGGGCTCCCCCCAAGCCGTCACCATATGCTCGGTCCTTCGATGCAACAATCCACCCAGCACCCACACGAGCTGCTTTCATTGCTCCGTCTCCGTGGCAGACGTGCTTTCGGGCGTGTTTCCTCCTGTGGACGCTAGTCTGTTGACCACTGCCTATCATCTTCATCGAGCAATGTGCCCTGCCCAAGCACACTCTGCTGAACAGTTTGAATGATTTTGATTTGAAGCTTTCGTGACTGCAGGGATTCATATTATTGGTTCTTTCGGTAAAGTCACGTTGAAGGAAAACAATAAAATAATAAAAATATAAAACAATAAAATTCTCACGACGTTTCGACTGCAACACAAGCAATCATCATCAGGTGTGAAAACCACAGCAATAGTTTTTTTCAAATTTTCTTGCTGTGGTTTTCACACCTGATGATGATTGCTTGTGTTGCAGTTGAAACGGCGTGAGTATTTTATTGTTTTATATTTTATTGTTTCCTTTCTACGTGACTTTACTGAAATAACCAAGAATATAGTTTGAATGATGTCACTAACTTGGGTATATCCTCTAAATCCATGCATTCTCCTTGTCTCTTCAGCTTTTCTTCCACTGTCTTAGTTAATGATCCATATGTCGAAGCAGGGAATATCAACCGATTATAAAGAGTTTTCTATCGACACGTTGGTATGTTTATTTTCATTATCAATTTCATTTTTTACAAAAGCACCCCAACCTGCTCTCGTCCGTCTCTCTATTTATATTTTTTATCCTTTTAGTGTCACAGTTTTCCTGACTAATGTGTTGAGTTTTTGTCAATTGCGATTGTGCACCAACTGCCAATGCAGCAGCAGAGCAGAGTAAAATGTGTTTCTTTAGAATAGAAAATAAATGTAATTGTATATTGAGCAGTAAAGCATCGCCCTGTGTTAGAGAACACAGGGCGATGCACTGACTGTCTCTGTGTACTATCAATAACTGCTTTGGAAATCAATTTAAGTAATCTCAAATACACGCAATGAGGTAGCACTTTCCCAAAGTGCACACAGAGACAGTCCACAACACAGACAGTACAGAGACAGTCCACAACACAGACAGTACAGAGACAGTCCACAATACAGACAGTACAGAGACAGTCCACAACACAGACAGTAGAGAGACAGTCCACAACACAGACAGTACACAGAGACAGTCCACAACACAGACAGTACACACGAGACAGTCCAGAGACAGTCCACAACAGACAGTACAGAGACAGTCCACAACACAGACAGTACACACCAGACAGTCCACAACACAGACAGTGTACACAGAGACAGTCCACAACACAGACAGTACAGAGACAGGGCACAATACAGACAGTACAGAGACAGTCCACAACAGACAGTACAGAGACAGTCCACAATACAGACAGTACACAGAGACAGTCCACAATACAGACAGTACACAGAGACAGTCCACAACACAGACAGTACACACAAGACAGTCTACAATACAGACAGTACAGAGACAGTCCACAATACAGACAGTACACAGAGACAGTCCACAACACAGACAGTACAGAAACAGTCCACAACACAGACAGTACAGAGACAGTCCACAACACAGACAGTACACAGAGACAGTCCACAATACAGACAGTACAGAGACAGTCCACAACACAGACAGTACACAGAGACAGTCCACAACAGACAGTACAGAGACAGTCCACAATACAGACAGTACACAGAGACAGTCCACAATACAGACAGTACACAGAGACAGTCCACAACAGTACAGACACAGTCCACAATACAGATAGTACACAGAGACAGTCCACAACACAGACAGTACAGAGACAGTCCACAACACAGACAGTACAGAGACAGTCCACAATACAGACAGTACAGAGACAGTCCACAATACAGACAGTACACAGAGACAGTCCACAACACAGACAGTACAGAGACAGTCCACAATACAGACAGTACAGAGACAGTCCACAATACAGACAGTACACAGAGACAGTCCACAACACAGACGGTACAGAGACAGTCCACAACACAGACAGTACACAGAGACAGTCCACAATACAGACAGTACACAGAGACAGTCCACAACACAGACAGTACAGAGACAGTCCACAACACAGACAGTACACAGAGACAGTCCACAACACAGTGTACACCAGGAAGTCTAAACAACACCCGCAATAACACTATGACAACAATGTAGGCACAACAAAGTACATCTCGAATGTAGCCGTGTATTTAAGGTTAAATACAGTAATTATGTACAGCAGCACTACTGTAATAAAAATGCAGTTTAGACACCGTCGCACATACACGCGTATGTGTGTGACATGCACACGTGTGTGTGCGTGTAACATGCACGTGTGTGCGTGTGACATGCACGTGTGTGTGTGTGCGTGTGACATGCACGTGTGTGTGTGTGTGACATGCACGTGTGTGTGTACGTGACATGCACGTGTGTGTGTACGTGACATGCACGTGTGTGTGTACGTATGACATGCACGTGTGTGTGTGTGTGACATGCACGTGTGTGTGTGTGACATGCACATGTGTGTGTGTGTGACATGCACATGTGTGTGTGTGTGACATGCACATGTGTGTGTGTGTGACATGCACATGTGTGTGTGTGTGACATGCACATGTGTGTGTGTGTGACATGCACATGTGTGTGTGTGTGACATGCACATGTGTGTGTGTGACATGCACATGTGTGTGTGTGTGTGACATGCACATGCGTGTGTGTGTGACATGCACATGCGTGTGTATGAACTCTTACTTGGCCGAGTCAGAGGCCCCACAAGGGGTTACAAACGATACCGTCCGCCTCTGCTGTCGGTGATGGCAGTGCTGGTGGTGGCGGGCGTTGAGAGTGACGGTAACTGGGGGTGGTGTAGAGTGACTTGGTGGTGATGTAGAGTGACTTGGTGGTGGTGTAGAGTGACTTGGTGATGGTGTAGAGTGACTTGGTGGTGATATAGAGTGACTTGGTGATGTTGAGAGTGACTTGGTGATGTTGAGAGTCACTTGGTGGTGATGGTGTTGAGTCACCTGGTGATGGTGTTGAGAGTGGCTTGGTGGTGATGGTGATGAATCACCTGATGATGATGTTGAGAGTGACTTGGTGATGATGTAGAGTCACTTGGTGATGGTGTTGAGAGTGGCTTGGTGGTGGTGATGTAGAGTCAGAGTCACTTGGTGATGGTGTTGAGTCACCTGGTGATGGTGTTGAGAGTGGCGGTGGTTGTCGGTATTGGTGGTGGATGGTTGTGGGCGGGGCCGTCTCGCGTCCCACGCCACCGCCGGCAGAGCTCCGCATTGGCTGAGGCGCTCTCCTGACCGCCCTCGCGTCACGGTGACGCCACCGCCGCCGCCGCCAATCACCGGCGACTCTCACGGCCCCGGAAGAGGAGGAGGCGGTGCCGTTGTGGCTATGAGATGTCAACTCCCTCGCCTGGTGTACAGGAGGTCGTGGCTCCATCCCCACCCTGACACGCTGTGGCTATGAGATCTCAACTCCCTCGCCTGGTGCACAGGAGGTCGTGGGCTCCATCCCCACCCTGACACGCTGTGGCTATGAGATGTCAACTCCCTCGCATGGTGTACAGGAGGTCGTGGGCTCCATCTCCACCCTGACACGCTGTGGCTATGAGATCTCAACTCCATCGCCTGGTGCACAGGAGGTCGTGAGCTCCATCCCGTCCCTGACACGCTGTGGCTATGAGATGTCAACTCCATCGCCTGGTACACAGGAGGTCGTGAGCTCCATCCCCACCCTGACACGCTGTGGCTATGAGATGTCAACTCCATCGCCTGGTGCACAGGAGGTCGTGGGCTCCATCCCGACCCTGACACGCTGTGGCTATGAGATGTCAACTCCATCGCCTGGTGTACAGCAGGTCGTGGTTTCGCTACATAGGGTGCAAAAGAAGTTCAACACACATACATCCCCTCTCCCCCCACCGCAGACAACTTGAAAGGGGGGGGGGGGGGGGGCGGTAGGTGGTGGTGGCTCTGCTGCATCCCGTGTCATTTCCGCACTGTGCAGGCAGCGAGGGTTTGTGGATCACGCACGATTATGACATTTCACTGTCCCGTCGGTAGGCGGGACAAGCGTCGACGAGATGCCAAATACCGTCTGGGTCTGCCAGGAGGATGCGATGCAGCAACGATGTGGACCAACATAATCTGTCGCTTCTGTATGGGATAAAAGCAAAAATGTGCACCACGTTGCAGGGAAAGTCAACAGTGGGATAGAGCGTTGGCCCCTCGCTGAGCACCCACAGAAATCAATCAAGTTTACTCCAAAATGTATCAAAGCTCATTAAATGGCCGAAGACATCTTCATATATAGAGGACTGCAGAGCTGTCAGCTTCCTCAGAAATTGTGAGATGCAGTTTGCATGAACGACAATTCTTTAAAAAACTGTTAGTATTTTCAACACGCAGGAGCACCACGCCCGACCGCCTTTGTCTCTCCGGATCTGATGTTTATGCAAATCATCAATCACTAAACAACCTCATTGGCTGCAGAGGCAAGTGCTGTCAGGGAGCACCTATTAAGGCAATCATGGTACACAAATAACTGAAAAGTAGTACAATTCTCGCCCGCCTTTGTCTTCCCAGTACTGGCGAGTATGGCAAAAGCGACCTAGGGGAGACACAGGGCAGGTTCAGATATCACTCACCACCAGGTCTAAAATTTTAAAAGAATATTTTCCAGCCTCACCATCCCCGAAACTCCCAGCTACCTGGACCCATCTCCACAACAGCGGGGAAATACCCTGAGAACGATTGTTTAAGGACGCTTAATGCATTTAAATTATTGTTTCCCAAATGTCAGTCCCGAACAGCTACAAGTGAATGAAGTCCTTCCTCGCCACTGATGTGCATGACCAAGAACTGAACCTAGGACGCTGGGGTTGAATCATTATCATCATCATCAACCACGCTGCTGCTCTCTAAGGTAGATCTGGAAGGACACGTGTCCCCCTACTGGAGAACAATGCCCGGCACAATGCGCACGAGCAGTGTGTGCCCCATCACTTTGTATGTCCACCGATAGCAGTGTAAGTCTATCCTCTCTGCATTTTCCATTCCAAAAATCGTCCTGCCATCAGCGTGCCAGCGTCGCATGTGCTCGCTGGAGCAAGAACCTCCCAGCACGATTCGCTTGGTCGTGAATAACAATTGCACGTGCTTGTGAAAGCGTGGAGTAAACCAACTTAAACAATCACGACAAATCCCACTTGCGGTCACAACTTTAAATTCAACCATCACATTCGTACTTTATTAAAGGCGTAATTGTCACGACGGCTAGCTAACATTTCTCACAATACTGCCGGTTATGGACTCGTAAAGTTGCTCACTTCTTGCCAAGTTGCTGTTTTGTATTATTAGTAATAACAACACCGATATCATGGGACCTCGACACCGATAGTGCATTGTCCACACGTGCCTCTTTCTTCCGTTGAGACTCTCACGGGAAGCAAATGGCCGGGGTCACAAATGTGTGGGTGGTTGTTGGCAATAGTAGTGGAGACCCGCGGATGAGGAGGGGGGGGGGTCCTCATGAAATGCTCCATCAGCTCATTGGTTCCGAAACAAGCCGGGGATCAAAAGGGGAAATCAGTGCACGGGTCAACAACAACTGCGTGGAAAAAAAACAGGACACCGTGAGCCCCAGCAGACAATGTGCCAGGCTCAGCCATACGGCATGCCGAGACGGAGTGTCTTCTAATCGTGCTCAGTGTGTGATCCGTTCGCGTGCGCGCGCTGCGACCTGCACATTTGTGTGTGCGTCTCCTCCTCCAACCCACGCGGGCGCAAGATTTCACCATACGGTGATGGCCAAGAATTGGGTCGTGGCGATGGTTCAAGTGGCGCTAATCTGCATGGCAGGTACGTGTCTGGGTTTGCCTTTAAGAACCAGGAGACATAACTCGGGGAGGTGCGCAACCGAGAGAACGTCAACCGCGGAGATGGAGCAATGAAATCAGCTCGTGTGCAGATGGTATGCGGACCGTTACATTGCAGGATCGGGAGAGATGGTGGCAGGTTGGAGAGGCGTTTAATCCAGCAGTGGATTGATTTCGGGCTGAATAAAGATCAGTACTTCATCAATCCACTGCTGGATGAAGACCTCCCCACTCCACGTTGGTAGTGGAGGTTGTTCGCTCATACGTCGCCACATTCATCAGTGCGGGTTGGAGAAGTAGGCGATGAGCCCACAACAAGTTCAGATCTCAATCACTTACCATCCTTCTCCACTTCCATGGTGAATTTGATGGATGGGTGTATGGAATTGATGTGGTTAAGAAATTGGTTTAACGCTGGCAGGCCATGTGGCCAAATGACGAAAGTATCATCTACATATCTCTTCCACAAGGACGTAGGGTGGATGTCTGGATGGCATCTGTTTAAAATTTCTCCATGAAAACATTCGCTATCACTGGTGATAAGGGGGAACCCATGGGGGTACCTTCATTTTGTTTGTAGAAAGTACCATTCCAGGTGAAGTAAGTGTTGGTAAGTCAGTGCCTAACCAGAGTAGGTACTTCAGGAGTCAGTCCATGTTGGACTAAATCAGACATGGGCAAAGTACGGCCCCCGGGCCGTATACGGCCCGTTGGGCTTTTTAATCCGGCCCGCCGAACTTGTCCAAATATTATTATTAAATTAAATGTTACCTTTCTCCTGTAATGCCCCCATTTCCCCATTAGATGGCGCTGTTTTCATGATGTTTGATCAGTCACGTTACGACATGTTTTTGTATTGTTCATGTTCGTGCAATTTGTTAAATTGCCTTGCAAATAAATGCTTTGCTACCTGTTAAAGGCCAAATCCTTTCATGTAATGATTTTTACACGACATTTATATTAGTTCACACAAACACTCCATCCATCTGTTCCTGGCCCGGCCCCTCTGTCAAATTTTAGAACCCATTGTGGCCCGCGAGTCAAAAAATTTGCCCACCCCTGGACTAAATCTTCAATTATTGCTAAGGTGTCAGGTACAGGAACCTTGGTGAACAGAGAAACTACATCAAAGCTGACATGTAAAAATCATTACATGAAAGTATTTGGCCTTTAACAGGTAGCAAAGCATTTATTTGCAAGGCAATTTTACAAATTTCACGAACATGAACAATACAAAAACATGTCGTAACGTGACTGATCAAACATCATGAAAACAGCGCCGTCTAATGGGGAAAGGGAGGCATTACAGGAGAAAGGTAACATTTAATTTAATAATAATATTTGGACAAGTTCGGCGGGCCGGATTAAAAAGCCCAACGGGCCGTATACGGCCCGGGGGCCGTACTTTGCCCACGTCTGATCTAATCCCATCTGTGAAGGATGTCATTCCTGACATGTAATATCCTGGAGTCTACAAACTAAGTTGCACCTGTGGTGATTGTTACATTGGGGAAACGAAACGACATATCTCGGACCGTGTCCGTGAACACAAGGCAGATCTGAAACACGGCAGAACCAATACCTCTGCCTTGGTTGACCATTGCTATAAAGTTGTGGGCTCGCATGATATTGTTTTTTTCCGAGACCAAGGTACTCTGCAAACCTTCTGGCTACTATCAAAGGTTTGTTCATGAAGCCATCCAGATATACAAACATAAACATAACTTCAACCGAGAAGATGGATACAAATTGAGCAATCATTGGAAGGATGTTATTAACCAGGTAAAACTTAGCTGTTTATGGTTGTTCCATCATATCTGCCGGGTACGAGTCTATTTTTCCGAGTTAATTTCCCCCCGCATCTCCAGCGTTCCCAGCCTCCCACTTCCAGCCCCGCCCACTCCCCCCCCCAGCTTCACGTCCTCTCTCCCCCTAGCGCTCACGCAGCGCCCCCCCCCCCCCATATCCCCCTACCCCCCCCCCCCCTTTCTCTTTCTCCCCCTTTGCTCCTTCCCCCTCTCTTACCTATATAACCTCTTGCCACGGCAACTCTCTCGCCCACTGCATTGGCATTGCTGCTGCATTGGCATTGTTGCTGCATTGTCATTGTTGCTACATTGGCATTGATGCTGCATTGTCATTGTTGCTACATTGGCATTGCTGCTACATTGCCATTGCTGCTACATTGGCATTGCTGCTACATTGGTATTGTTGCTGCATTGTTATTGTTGCTACATTGGCATTGATGCTACATTGGCATTGTTGCTACATTGGCATTGCTGCTACTTTGACATTGTTGCTACATTGGTATTGTTGCTGCATTATTACTACATTGGCATTGCTGCTGCATTGGCATTGTTGCTGCATTGGCATTGTTGCTACATTGGCATTGTTGCTGCATTGGCATTGTTGCTGCATTGGCATTGTTGCTGCATTGGCATTGTTGCTGCATTGGGATTTTTGCTGCTGGTGCTGTTGATACACTTGGGCTACGCCCATCCCCAAACCCTTATAAACAGTTTGCCTTTAGAGGCTGACTCCTTTGCCTGATGACGACCGCTTGTGTTGCGATCGAAACGTGATTTATTTTATTTTATTTCTAACTACGTGACTTTACCGAAAGAACCAAAGAGTATGGATTCCTGCAGTCACGAAAGCTTAAAATCAAGATAGATCCCCAAATGACTTAAGTAAAACCACAAAGCAGCATTGTCCACTACTAGCAGACGACCATAGACGTCTGTGAAACAGCGCCTTTCGTGATAGCCTTGCGCTGTAAGATTGGCGCGAATACCAAAGGTTCGCATCTGTAACGTCCAGATGCTCCAGTTTCCTCCCACATGCCTACTTCATGAATTGGCTGAAAACATCATATTTAGAGGACTGCAGAGTTTGGACAATTGTTGTTCACAGTGTGTTGCGCCCTCACATGCGTGGGGTTTTTTAAATTTTTGTTCCGGGTACTCCGGCCTCCTCGCACATTCCTTCTTAGATATGAACCAACAAGATCACTCAGATCCCCCCGGTCCGGTCTTTTAGTCGTCCAGAAGGGCCAGAACCCAAACTCACAGAGAAGGCGGCCTTCAGTGTGCGTGCTCCTCACCTTTTTAAACTTGCTTTTATTTAAGATTATTTTATAGTGTTGTTTTTTTTAATATGCTTTCGATAGCAATTTATTATAATGTAATTTTGTTTTGTATGGAAATTGCTTTCATTGCTCTTGCGATGTAGTCTTTTAACAATGTTTTTTTGTTACATATCTGTACGGCACTTTGAATGTCATCCTTTTGCACGAAACAGTGTTATCTAAATAAAGACTTGATTGATTCATTGATCCCTAAACGCTCATTGGCTAAAAACATCTTAACGTATAGAGGACTGCCGACCTTGGGCTAATGTTGGTGGCGCCTGCTCACCGTCTGGCGACTGCTGCCTTCTCGTCAGTTTGTGGTTCCTCGACTATTGCGTGAACGGTGACGCTCTATAAAATGCAACGTTATTACTATTATTGGAATACACTCGAGAGCTCCCTGTAGTGGACCGAGGCCCTTCCGCCAGCAGTGGCGTGGAACAAGCAATTGGAGGGCTGCACCTCTTACCTTATTTTACCTGTGGGTTTCCTCCACAGAGCGAGCCCGTGCCACCTCCATCTGCCCTCACTTTCAGCGCGCGACGCTGAGCGAGATGGTCAGGGGCCACGCCAAGCCCCACGTGCGTCACGTCATCTTCACGGCCCGCGACCACCGGGACCCTGGTGACCCCTCGGAGCTCAGTCGTGACCCCGACCCCGAACCCGACGAGTTCGCCTCCTGGAAGGTCGAGCCTACCACTGCACCCAGCGTGCGCTGCCGATTTTACCTGCTCCCTAGCTACGACAGTGATACTGACCAAGATGCTGGCGCCGCCGCCGCTGCTGCTGCTACTGCCGCTGATGGTGACGACGGTGAGGCTGGTGGAGGTACTTAGTGGTCGTGGCGGTGGTGGTGGCGGTGGCGGTGGTGATGACGGTGGTGGTAGAGTTAATTATTGGTGGATGGGCTTGGTGGTGGTAGTGGTGAGAAGGCTGCGGTGTTGGTTTGGCTGGTGGTGTGCTGGAGGAGTAGTGGTCAATTGGTGGTCGTTGTGGTGGTGTTTCCACTGGTTTGTATGTTTCTACCAGATAAAAAGACATGCAATATTTGTATTTCTTTATGAGTGTAGGGCCCCATTTAAAAATATTTAAAGTTTGGTACCCCCCCCCCCCCCCCCACATACTCCCCCCACCCCCTCTTCGGAAGTTTCTAACTCCACGTGTGTATGGTGGTGGAGGTAGTGGTGGTGAAAGTCATTTGGTTAATGATGCTGATATTCTTCGTGCTTCTCGGGGTAGAGGTGGTGGCAGGAGAGGCAGCGATGGTATTTGACTCCAAGTATATGTTGACAGTGATGATGATGGTTTGAATGGGGACGATGGTAGAGGTGGTCATGGTAGAAGTGGTGGAGTTTTGGTGCGAGAAAACGTTGATGGGGGTGATGTTTGTGGGTGCTGTTGGGGCTGGTAGAGGTAGTGGTGGTTGTTCGTGGTGGTGGTCGTCTTTCGGCTGCGCATGTCAACACTATTATAATGCTTGTTTACCCAGGAAAGCCTCACTGAGTCTCATGACACAGTAGGGTCCTGCCAAGTTTTTGTAGTAGAGGCAATGATTGCCACGTATTATCCCAATTGAGTAATTTGTGTTTAATTTTTTTCTAATTTGACAAATCTGGACCGTGGCGCAAGCAAATAATTTCTGACTCTTGCGAATGACGTCACTGAAGCACGCGACGGAAATTTTGCGGTTAATACACCCGCAACAATAACCAGGGCGGCCGCTAGATTCGAACCCTGAACCTCTGCATCTACAAACATGGGAACGCGCTAGGCCACGGGCACCGCAGCAGTTTGGCGCAGTGCTGGTGGCATTTCTTGCTTGGAGGTGGCACTAACAGAGTCCTGTCGGTGATGGTCGTCCCGTTGGAGGTGGTGGTGGTGGTGGTGCCGGTGCTGGTGGAAGCCCTGATCCTACAGACCCAGGAGACGAGGAGGCGAGGCGCAAGCGGATCCTGCTGCTGAAGGAGCACCTCGCCAGGGCGGGCTTCAACGCCTCTCTGCCCACGACCATCCTCATTCACGGGTATACTGCACTGACAAAACACGTCAATCCCCCCCTCCCCCCCCCCCCCCACGCTGGTTGAGGACCTACAATCACGCCGTGCGAGTCGTGGGGGTTATTTGACCATACTTCACCGTGCTCGAGAGTGCAGGTCGCTAAAGCCGGGGAGCATATGAAGCAATTGGCGGGACCCCGGGGTACCATCACTGCCCCGGGGTGGGAAAAACCGCGTAGCGACACGAGTCTTGCCTTACCGACAACAAAACTAGTGGTCAATCGATTGGCCTCGTCGAGAGCTACTCGGGGCACTAAGTTTCGTAAAAAGTAGAAAAATTACACAAACACGTTAAATTCACTGCCTGGGGGGCGGGCTCGCCTTGGCAAAGAAGCTGAGGATCGACGGCTGACCGGAGGGTGTCGTCGCCGCGCGCGACTGCGGCGAACGCCGGGGCTTGCGTTTGGCCGGAGGGGTGGCGCCCATCGTGTTGATCGCCGCCTGCTGGCGCTTGTTGGCGCGAGTCTGGGCGGGCGGCGCGTTGCTGTCGGGATCACGAGTGGGCGGACTGAAAAATAATAATTATTGACCTGATTTTTGCGGGACCCCGGGTTCCCGGTGAATGATTCATATAGGCACGGGAGTGTGGGAGTAAAGTATAACCAGGGCCGGATTAACCCATAGGCCCTCATTTTTACGAGCCTCCTTCGCAGAGGCCGTTATTGATTGACACCGCTGGTACCCAGTCGTCGGCAGGGTCCACTTAGCTCCACATCCTCCTGTACCAACATCTCTCCTCTAGCTCGTGCCGCGCCCGTTTAGCCCCAATATCCTGCCAAGCTGCTCAAGCTCGGAGTGGCTGCGCATGCGGGCTACGTGACCCAGCCAACGCAGCCTCGGCCGCTCGGAGGAGCTCACTGATGGGAGCGTGTCCAGATAACACCGTTAACTTGTGACGCCCTCGACAGTAGTCGCTCTCGACAGTAGTCGCTCACTCTCAAAGATAAATAAAACTCAGAGGTATGAGGAGGAACCACAGACACACGGGGAATGGGCGTAGCTGCGTGAGTGAAGCGGCGCCAGCAGTTGCCCAAGTTCTGCGGTCCTATATATATGTTAAGATGTTTTCAGCCAATAAATAATGTGGGAGGAAACCATGGCTTCTGGAGAAAAAGAAAACCCCACGCGCGTGAGGAAGCAACACTCTTATCCCATACAGCTGAAACAGATGGAGTCCACATTTTTGTTTTAACTCCTTCTCCTTGAGAGTCAGGGTATGGGCACCTCTTCAAAGCTCAATGGAAAGTGAGTTTCACAAAACATTCGTGTGATCCACAGTTGCTGGATCACGGGCCACGTGCACTGCCACCAACACCGTCTGGCTGATCTTCGTTTAGTATCCACCCATACGCTTACTGTATACAAAGACAAAGACCCCCCCCCCCGTGTAGCCTTAACAGACTATAGGGGCAAGTGCTGTTAGCGAGCACCTATAAAAGCCGGCACGGTACACGAGGGGGTGGGTGGCCAACACCATGCCCGGCCGCCTTTGTCTCCTGAGTGGCGATGTTTACACATCACACCAAGTACTCTGAGTCGATCTAGGGGAGGCCCAGGACCGGTTCAGATAATTGGCACTGGTGTTGGCCGTCAGCAGGAATCGAACCCGGGTCGCCAGGTTTGTAGCGCAGCACGCTAACCGCTACACCACCGCTCCCTACTGTATACTGTATGTATATACACACACACATTTATAATGGACGTGGGTACGTACATTGAAAGGACTGTGGCCCCCCGAATCCGTTATGAGGTCGCACTCATTACACACAAAATGCTTGCCACAAATAAACCCCAAGACCTTGCTGACCTCGTCAAGGAGCATGAACCATCATCATGCCAACTCCGAGTCATCCTCGCACCAGCTTTTGGCTGGCCACTGAACAAAGACGGTCCACTGCATCGCGCACTTTCAAATGCGCTTCTGTGGCCTTCTGGAACGTTCTTCCTTCCGCTATTGGGAGCCCACTGGAGCTAACCACTTGTAAATCATCTCGATTGAAAACCCATTTTTTTAGAACAGTTGTTTGTGTCTAGTTCGTTGTGCTTCCTCCACTCCTCCGATTAGCGCGCGGCTGGCTACGTACGGTGCGAAAGAAGTTCAACATACATACATTCAGATGAGCCCTCGTGTCCAGGTACCGCGTGTCTGGCACGGAGCCGGACTGGATCGAGGAGATTGCGGCGGCGGTGCTGGAGGCGTCCCAGGGCCGCATGAACGTGATCGCGGTCGACTGGATCAAGGGCGCGAGCAGCTCGTACTCGCGGGCCGTGCGATACGCACGCACCGCCGCCGCCGCTGCCACGGCCGCCCTCGTCAGGGACCTCACGGTGAGAGTCCAGCCCGGGACGCGCCTCGTCGTCCTCGTCGTCGTCATCGCCGCCGCAACCCATCGTCACCGCCGCGGGGAATCGAGCTCGGGTCGTAACGAACGTCAACGCCATCGACTTCATTGTCATCATGATTACGATCATCACGAGCATCATCATCATCATCACGTTGTCACAACCATTATCGACAAATAAGAAATCGCCAAGAGGAACGCGTTCGCAACACACGGAAGAACATCCCTCAACGTCTTCATTGTCATTATCCTCATTGTGTGCACACGTGCGTGGCGCACTGCGCTACAAACCCGGCAACCGGAGTTCAATTCCCGATCACCATCAGTGTCAAATATCTGAACTCTTCCTGTGCCTCCCCTAGGTCAACTCAGTCTTAAATGAGTACCAGATGCAATGTGTAAATATCAGAACTGGGGATAGAAAGGCAGGTGGGGCGTGGTGCAGGTTACACCACCTTATCGTGTGCCATTCGGGCCTTCATAGGAGGTGCTCACTAACAGAACTTTCCCCAACAGTCTGTTAAGGGTATACGGGCGGGGGGAGGGGGGTCTTAGTCTTTGTAGTGATATTAATAATCCTGGAATGAGTGCTCTACAGGGTGTGTGGGGGAACGTATAATAATACACTGTGACATGATAACAAAAGTCAAAGAGTCTCCACTTGTTCGCCATCGTTGTCAAGGCACGACTGGAATCTTCTCCAGGAGGTCTCCAGAGCCCCCGAGGCAACACATTTATTGCGGTGTTGTTGCAAATTCTCCGAAGTGTTAACATTTTTTGAAGCACCCTATATATGGTGGGGGGGGGGGGGGGGGGAGTTGGTCATTGTGCACTCGTGTGCACCCTTCCTGCCTCCCCACCACCACCTGTAGACCCCAGAGGTGGGTGCACGGGAGCAGTCGCTGCACCTGGTGGGGGTCAGCCTGGGCGCGCACCTGGCCGGCTTCGTGGGCCAAAGCTTCCAGGGTCGTCTCGGCCGCATCACCGGTGGGCGCGCACGTGTCCGGCTCACGCACCAACTCCTAAGGGGCGGTCCACAAATGACGTCACGCACCGGGGGGGGGGGGGGGGGGTCAGACATTTGTGACGATGTGTGACGAGGGGGAGGGGTTGAGAAATGTGACATCACATCAAAATGCGCAACTTTAAATAAATATAGGCAACACGTTCTACTTAATTAAATAGACTTTTTATTAAATGTTTTCTCCTACAACATCAGAGTGCAGCGCCACATTAAATACGCACTACAATGGCAATAGTTTAAAGCGATTTGAAGCATGTTTTATTTTTTTTGGGATGGGGGGCGGGGCAGAGCTTTGTGACGTCATATTTGAGGGGGGTCTGACTTTTTATGACGCCGTGTGACAAGGGGGGGGGGGTCAAAAATCGTCCAAAATCGCGTGACGTCATTTATGGACGCGCCCTAAGTCAGCGTTCTTCCCTAATTTTCCGAGGAGGGGGTGGGGGGGTGTCACCATTTGTGTTTTGTGTCGGGGGGGGGGGCCGCACTAAAGGCCACCAGGGGCTGCCAGTGGCCCGCAATGAAGAACACTGCTCTAAGTAATTTATCACTATCGATTAAGTATCGGTTCGATTACTGTATTCAACTAATCAGATAAACACAAATGGTTGGGAGAAAAAAAAAAAAACCTCGCTTCTGTTTCCACATGTGCCGCTGGACGGGGAGTGATGAGCGGGACTTGGTGACGTCATCGGCATCGTCAACCGCGTCGGGCTGGGCGTGGCTTGTGGGGGTTTTCAGCCTTTAAGGGGCAGGGTTTTCGAGAGAGAGTCAACCACGTGGGGAGCTGTCAAATTACAACTTCTAGTCGACCACCCAACTGAATCGACCAATTGTCCCAGCTCTTAACGATTCTTACAGATCTTTTACCAAATCACCTGACATGTGCCCGGTCTCGTTAAGATCTCGAAAACGAATTGCGCTCGAGCCTGGAGAGTGCTGCAATAGGCTGCCGCGACGCGCACCAACAGATTGTCACAGGCGACTGCAAGGCTGTGGCTCTGTGGTGGGCAGCAGAGGCCAGTGCAGCACAATGTAACGTGATGCGGCTTGTGGGAAGCCTTTATTGCAGCAGTGGTTTGACCATATCTGATGTTGATGATGATTGGTAATCATGATTATGACATTTTTAACTGCTCTTGTCATATCAATACCAATACCCGTCGTTCGCCACTAAGTGACGGTAATGTCACCACGGTGCCTGTGCCAGGCCAGGTGCACTTTGAGGCCACGTGAAGTGTCGAAGGCTCGCTGGCAGGAGGTCTCGGGACAGGCCCCAGGTGCCATGGGTTGGCTGAGATGACTGGTAGATGCACCCAGCTGTACCCCCTACTGTGCCATATCACTCCTCTACCCACACTTCCCCCCCTCCCCACCCCCAACGCACCTGACCTCCGACCTCCGCCCCTTCCCTCACTCAGCCCTCGACCCCGCAAGCCCCGGCTTCTCCCAGGTCGGCCCCGCAGAGCGACTCGACCCGAGTGACGCCGCCTTCGTGGACGCCATTCACACGGACGGCGACAGTGAGAACCGGAGTCGGCTTAGTGGAGTGCTGGGCCTCCAAAGGGGACCCAGAGATAAGGCCCTCGAGACCCCAATGGAGGACCTCTGTTGAGGCCCAAGGGTCTCTCCAGAGCTGCAGATTATGTCTTTATTCAACTTTGAATAAATGAAGTTGGCGGAATGGCTCATGAGAGCCTGGGTTCATATCAGAACACACAATTGAACGAAATTTGTTTCAGGACTTAAATTAAATTCCGTCTTTGGGAATTACAAATATGATTTTAACTGTCATACGACGAAAATGACTCTCTGTGGCAGGGGGAATGGGGTAGTGCTTCCACCTCCTGCCTGCATTATAGGTCACTCAAACAGATCTTAGAAGTAGCTCTGCAGTATCTGCTTCCGCGAGATGATCTCAGAACGCCAAGGGTTGCGCTGCTCTGCGAGAGATCTGAATCGTTATCACCGTGACCTGATGATGCTGATAGCACGGTCGTGATAAACCTTCGATGGGGGGGAAACGTTTGTTTTAATAGTACATGCTGCTGTATCCATGGTCTTGAAATGCTTGTTGTTGTGTGCCTGCGTTTCTCAGACTTCGGTCTCCGGCAGCCCGTGGGCCACGTGGACTTCTATGTGAATGGTGGCGATGATCAGCCTGGATGTGGAGGGTTTGGTAATTTAAAAAAAGTCTGCGATCGGCAATGATACGGAAAAAAATGTTTCTTCGTGATCGTCGTAGCCAGCAGCTCGCCAACTTGTTTCAGCCTTGGGAAGATGACGTCACAAAACTAAATCTGAATATACTTCCCACACGAGAGACACGCCTTTGATATGTCCTGCAAAGAATGTTTATTATACGTCAACCCACATTTAATATGATGGGTTTTCTGTGTGTGTCCGTGTGTGTGCAGTCGATCAACATGATACACTTGAGAACCTGATTTAACCCACAGGTGGCCGAAACCCAGTTTCAAATGTCGGATCTCAGCAGTTCCGGCCATTCATCCACCTCTTGATTGGACCTCACGGCCTTCAATTGTGCACAGAACACTCTTTTGCAGCAGGATCCTGCATTGAGCACGGTTGGCTGCATATGGTGCGAAAGAAGTTCAGCGTACATACATATTTGGCCAGTTCCAATAATCAGTTTTTGGCATGTTGTGGGAAACTGCAGTGCCAGGAGAAAATTCACACATCCGAGGGGATAAACACTCAAAACTCCATGCAAATAGAACCAATTCACAGATATATAAAAATCATGTAAATGATCTGTGAACTAAAGCCAATGCTGTACTGCCACCTCGTTGCAACTTTGCGGTCCCTACACCTACACCGGTGGTCACTTTCAGCGCGGCCCTGCTCAAGTCAGCATGCGCGCGTGTGCGTCACATCACCACGCAGGCTACCAGTCGATGATCTGCGACCACATGCGCGCCGTGCGGCTGTGGCTGAGCTCCCTTCGCTCCCCGTGCGAGCTGCGCGCCTTCCCGTGCGACTCCGTCGCCGCCCTGGCCGCCGGACGCTGCCTCGAGTGCCGCACGGAGCGCACGGCGTCGTGCCCCCGCCTGGGCCTGCACTCCGGTACTCACAGAGAGGGCCACTCCGGTACTCACGGAGAGGGTCACTCCGGCACTCACGGCGAGGGCCACTCCGGCACTCACGGAGAGGGCCACTCCGGTACTCACAGAGAGGGCCACTCCGGCACTCACGGAGAGGGTCACTCCGGCACTCACGGCGAGGGCCACTCCGGCACTCACGGAGAGGGCTACTCCGGTACTCACAGAGAGGGCCACTCCGGTACTCACAGAGAGGGCCACTCCGGTACTCACAGAGAGGGTCACTCTGGTACTCACGTAGAAGGCCTCTCCGGTACTCACGGAGAGGGCCTCTCCGGCACTCATGGATAGGACCACTCTGGTACTCAATAGGAAGGCCACTCCGAGACCCTGATACTCTGGAGGTTTAATGGCCAAGATCCCAGAATAATCCCAAAAACCTAGGAGCTCAGGACCTTTTGAGAACCTGGAACCCTGTGACCCTGATACCCCAAGAACCCTAGACGCCAGGATGCAGAGGCCCAGGGTATAATAATAAAAAAGGCAAGTTATGGATTGAATCAGCCTTAAATAAGCACCTGGTGCGTTGTACAAACAGACCCTGGTGCGGGCCATGCCGCCCCCTGCATGTACCGTTCCGGACTTAGTAGGTGCTCACAAACAGCACTTGCCCCGATAGTCTGTGCAGGCTTCACCATGGGGGTGGGAGGGGGATCATTGTTCTTGTGTGTTTTACAGTGGACGCGGTTCGAGACCCGAAAACGTGGCCGGACAACAGCACGCTGACTCTGCACATGCTCACGGGACACTCGCCCCCATACTGCGGTGAGGGCCGAGCGGCGGGCAGCGACGCCAACTCCTTTAAAAGCAGAAAGTCGCCAAACCAACCTCAACGCGGTTCCACGTGTCCGCCGGATAATAGAATGACACGTCAAAGATTCCACGGGACAATTTAGCCTCAGAGTAATCTGATAACAGAATGCTTGTACACACCTTGAAAACTCAATACATCAATAAAAAACACTTCCTTAAAAGGAACAAAACATATAAATAGGTGAAGTATGTATACATGTATTTTATTGGCTATGAAGAAGGATCATTGTCAAAAACGTCGCATTTTTTTATATTTTTCGCTTTTGGCTGTGTTATCGACGAATGTGTTGATTTGTTGTTATTTGTGCTTGTGCATCATTTGCCAATGCAGTGCGAAACCAAATAATTTGTTTTGCACAGCTCCAATTGCTCCGACTTCTGCATCATGACCTCATCCCAGAAAAGTCGCCGGCCACTTTTACAACGCTTCGGTTATAGAGACACCCAAAAAGTCACTAAATCGAGCGAGTCGGCGACACTGCACAAAGAGCGACTTCCCACCAAGCAAAGGTTGACCGCAGGAACGTGTAAATAAATATGCGATTGCGCCTTAAGAATACAGTTTTCAGTCATTTCATAATTCCTCTTTTGACAAATGGATCAGAACTCACCAGAGTGTATGGCCACCATGCAGACAGAGCTACGAGACGATTCAAGTGCAGTAGGGAAATATATCGTGGTATCGCAGGACTCGGAGAAATTGTCATGGCGTGGGAAGGCCTTCATACAACAGTGGATAGATCACGGCGTACGATCATGACGGCATTTCGAGGCATCCATCCAGCAGTGGATTTACAGTGGCACATGATTGACAATAATTAGAGCATGGGGAGGTCTTCATCCGACAGTGGCCAGGCCGTGGTGCACGGTGATGACGACAAAGGTATGTATGCATCATGCAGAATGAATGTGGCATTAGTTCTGTTCTGCCACGGATGACACAGCGAGACCGGATAAATAGACCGACGCCACAGTTCTAAGCATCGTGGACCCAGGCAACGCAACAGAGACGATCGTGAAGGGCGGAACAATGGAGACAATGACCCCCCATTGTGCCCTGCACGCGAGTCGCGCCTGCGTGGCCACGGCGCTGAGGAACGTGAGAGTTGGCAGTTGGCGTTCCGTTTTCCCGTAAAAACACAGCACGCTCGCTGGAAGGAAATAAAACACCCGGACATGACTCATGTTTGAATGTTAATTCGCAAGCCCTCGTCAATTTGCCGCTGGGCGAACGTTCTCCCTCCCCCGTGGCGTGTCAGTCATGGAGATTGCCTGACCATACTTCAGCACGCCGGTCAGTAAGGGTGGTGAAGACAGGAAGCCCAGGACCGGTTTAGGTATCGCTCGCCAATGAATGGAGCTGTTCCTGGGAATCAGTCAGGTCACCAGGTTCATAGGGCAGTGTGCCAACCACTGCGCCACCACTCCACCCTGAAGGTCCATCATCTCCACTTTCATAATATAGGTTTTATGGGATAGATCGCATGAATATAAGTGTGTAGTTAAACCCGCCACCACCCGACACAGACAATTAGTAAGGTGTGTCACGTAAATAGAACACACCAATTCGTTACTAGTACAGCACCACCGGGTGTTGGAGAGCAAATCTACAACATTTACAATCTGAGTACGACGTTTCGGCAGTAATTACAACTAGCTTCATCAGGCGACAGCCAGATATGTGGAGAAATCCTCCTGTTTCGTTCCTTAAATAGAGGGATACATGTGATGATGTCACTTGCGAAGGGGGGTGGGATTCATTTATGCTTATAAATTACAATGGATATCAATTGCCGGTTGGAGGATTTCTCCACAAATCTGGCTGTCGCCTGATGATGCTAGTTGTAATTACTGCCGAAACGTCGTACTCAGATTGTACATTTTGTAGATTTTCTCTCCAACACACCGGTGTGTTGTACTGGTAACAAATTGGCATGCTCTGTTTACGTAACAAAGCTTACTAACTGTCCGTGTCGGGTGGTGGCGGGTTTAACGACACATTTACATTTACGTGTTCTAACCCAAAAATGTATATATTATGGATGATATTGGTCGCAAAAGCCTGCTAAGTGTTATTTAAACCTACAATTCCGTTGCTCACTCATCTCTTATGCTAATGGCTACACGCGGGGCGGGGGGGGGAGGTGTTTGTCGTTGATCTTTGCAGTGTCCTACATGCTGGTGGAGATGGACACAGCTGGCGAGGCCATCAAGGGCTCACTGACCATCAAGTTCATGGGGCAGACAAGAGAGACTGCCGAGATGGCCCTCTTCCAGTTAGTGATCACACCAGGATGTTCACTCGCACCCCTTTTCGGGACCATCATATTTTATTTCAGTCTAGTCGAAGACTACCCGTGGGATTTTATTCAAAGTCTCAGTGAGGACTTAATTTTTTTCCCCCGCAACAAATATTGTCAGGTCAGCCAATCTGTGGACTCGATACATCGATTTACGTGCATATACAGACAATGACTTTATCATTGTTGGTTCTCCTCTGTGCACTGTTGTCTCTAATAACGTCACCAAATTATCTCAGTCTATGTCTCCACTTCGGGCTATTTAATGTTGTCTCGTCATCGTCCAGCAGTCCAAACGTCACGCTTGATTTTATTCCACTCGTAGTCGTCGTCGACTGAAACAAAAACGTGACGATGATATCCGTGGCCAAGTTCATTAACAACATGAACTCCGTCTCGTTACCTCCTCCGCACCCCCCTCCACTTCCCCCGGGGGGGGGGGGGGCGGCTTTAGGAGCCTGCACAACTTTGTTCCGGAGCGCGGCGGCACATCCCGGGTCCTCGCCCTGGAGCGAGACCTGGGCCCCCTGCGATTCGTGGCCCTGCGATTCTCGCCGAGCTCGCTGGCGTGGAACTTCCTTCGCTTCGCGGCCCCTCGCGCGTCGCACGCTGCCTCCACGCTGAGGATCGCGCGGCTCCGCATCACCCACCTCCTCGTCGAGCACGGGTGAGCTCGGGGTGACACTGCCGATGCCCTGGATAGTGACGCGAGGCTGCTGCTGGTACCCTGGGAACCCACGGGTCAGAGTGGCCAAGGGGCCAGGCTACGGAGGGGGGGGGGGAGGCGGACGTGATGGGGAAGGGGGCATTTCATTAATTGCACCAAGGCCCCTTGCCATCCACGCTACGCCACCGCTCATCAGCCTGCAGGAACTCCCGTGAGTAGTTGCTGTGTGTGTGTCCTGAGGAGGACGTGGGTGGTGTGATGTAGGGTGTGACATGGAGTTGCGACGTGCGGTGTGTGCTGCGCGGGGTGTGATGTGCGGTTTGACGCGGGATGCGATGCGCGGAGCGTGACGCGTGTTGTGCGAGGTGTAATGTGCGGGGTAGCGTGGTGGTACATGCGGTGTTTGCAATGCAACGTGTGGTGTGACGTGTGGTGTGATGCGGTCTGTGTTCACAGGGAGCAGTTCTGCCTGTACATGGTGCTGCTAAGTGAGGGACAGGTGGTGGGGATGCCACTCTCCCGCTGCCAGAATTGACTCCACCACCACTCAATCACTCATCCACCACCACTCAATCACTCATCCACCTCCACTCAATCATTCATCCACCACCACTCAATCACTCATCCACCACCACTTAATCACTCATCCACCACCACTCAATCACTCATCAACCACCACTCAATCACTCATCCACCTCCACTCAATCATTCATCCACCACCACTCAATCAGTCATCCACCACCACTCAATCACTCATCCACCACCACTCAATCACTCATCCACCTCCACTCAATCATTCATCCACCACCACTCAATCAGTCATCCACCACCACTCAATCACTCATCCACCACCACTCAATCACTCATCCACCACCATTCAATCACTCATCCACCACCACTCAATCACTCATCCACCGCCACTCAATCACTCATCATCCTCCACTCAATCACTCATCCACCGCCACTCAATCACTCATCCACCACCACTCAATCACTCATCCACCACCATTCAATCACTCATTAACCTCTACCCAGTCAATCCATAACCTCCACTCAATCACTCCTCACCCTCCACTCAATTACTCTTTAAGTTCCACGTGATTACTCCACTCGATAACTCCTAAACTCCACTCCATCACTCATCGACCTCCACCCAATTACTCCATAACCTCCAATAAATCACTCAACCTCCACTCAGCCACTCCATAACCTCCGCACGATCACTCCTCAGTGTCCATTCGATAACTCCTCAACCCCCACCTGATCACACCTTGATGCACTACACGTGCACACAGGGCTTAATATCTCACTCAATATGTTTCTGGTCTCTGGTAGGCCAGAAGGTAACACGCACATTCGTAGCCACATACATAGCCAGAAGTACACTGGATGAGATGATGTTCTGGGTTTAGAAAATGTTTCCAGGTTGCACATATGGACTGATCCGACTTAAATCATCTCTACGGCTATATACGTACACACAAACAAATATAGAAGATGAAAAGTTTCCAGTTTGGTGAGCCTAAATGTAAAACAATCAAAAGGTTACAAAAAAATAACAGAGGAAACAACGAGCCTGACTTTTTTGCCCAAATGGGCATCTTCAGAATGTGTTGAGGTTCACCGAGATGTGAATATTTTGGAGAGGGTAAGCAGGAGTTGGGTAGTAAGTCATTTGGGATTGAGTGGAGTTTGTGGACTCAATGAGAATGAATGAGTCATCAGCGTTTGAAGACTTCTAAACGCACTTCAGGAGTTAATTGCGGGAATCGTCTAACTGAAGTGTAATGAGTTTGATGAGCGTGCGGAAAATCCATTCAGGGGATCTTAACGGGTGTCCCTGTGTGATGGATGAATGAAGCCTGTTGTCAGCTTAGCACGTAGGCTTTCGCGACCAATATTGTTGTGGAAAGTGGCTGGGTGGCACGAAGTGTCGGACCGTCAGAGCGCAAAGCAGGCAACCACTGAGATGCGACGTTCGAATCCATGTTTCAAACCGCATTTGATTAAAGCTGGTTCTGAAATTAATGTACATATAGACCCACTTAATTCGGCTGAATCGCAGCTCTGCGAATTAAAAATATATAAATGTGGCTGTCATGCGTCGAACATTCACATATCTGTCAACCCCTTATCAGTGCCCTGCCTTATTACAGACAAATTCACACCTTATTGGTCACCCCGTGTCCTTATAAATGTCAACATTCACCCTACAAAGTCCCATCAGAATGGAGAAACACAAACTAATTGACAAACAAAAATGTTTCGTCGGGCAAACCGTATGGGTTGACAGCTGTGCATTGATTACTTTCATACGGTTGAGTGGATGGGAACGTGTTGCCACGTAATGTGTCGAACAGTGGTTGAGCCTCCCACATATTTGGGTCGCTGTTAGTTGTGGTTAAAGATGGAGAGGATACACGACTCAGCCCAATTGACTTTTTTAAAAGGATGATATAAAAAACACTCAAGCAAATACACGGCTGTGTCGATGAAGCTCACATTTGTACGTTATATATATACGACTAACATACGTTGACGGATTAAACTTCTATTGTTTATGTCTTTAGACTCTTTGGTGATTTGTCCGTGCTTAAATAGTCTTGGATTGCCGGGGGGTGGAAAATGTGTGGACAGTTTCAGCAAAAGGCCAGACATAAACACCCGTACGACACGAGTTCGATTCCCGCTCACGGCCAACACCAGTGACGATGATCAGAACCGGTCCTGGGCCTCCCCTAGGTCGACTCAGCCTCAAATGAGTACCTGGTGTCGTGTGTGAACATCGCCACTGGGGAGACAAAGGCGCTCGGGCGTGGGGCTGGCCACCCACCCCCTCGTATACCGTGCCGGCCTTCATAGGAGCTCGCTAACAGCACTTGCCCCCACAGTATGTTAAGGCTACACGGGGGATCTTTGTCTTCGTGTGCGCTGCCCTGCCCTCTAGTGGTCTCCTAATCGAGTCGGAGTGTGTGGCTGTTGAACCAAGTTGGACAATAATAAGTATTTTTTTTACTTTTTTTAAAACACGCTTTAATGAAATGTACACTACTAGTAATGTAAGAACTCCACGACTCCAGGAAGTGGCCCCGAAGCTTGCCACAACGTAAGGGGCCGTGGTGATTAACAGACCCAAGCCGAAACATAATATAAAATAATGTTTAATATATATTTTATTTTTAATGATAGGCTATAGTATTGTCATCAGTATGACATAAGTATACCAAGTTTGCAGTCGATACTACATTGGGAAGTGGGTTAAAATTGAGTGACAAGATTTGAGGATACAACAACAGACAGTGAGTTGATAAAAAGCGTGTAATAATAAAATAAGCAACCAAACATAACCACCAAGCTAGCATGCTTCGTCTACTTCGTTAAACTCAACCCATTTGTCAATAACACTGTGACTTGACAGTTCATATATATACACACGCACACGTAAATAATAGGCGACGTTTCGGCCCATGGGCCTTCAAAAGAGGTCAGAGATATATTCTCTGAGACCCCCCTATGTGCAAAAGGCAATTGCCCGAAACGTCGCTTTTCATTTATATATATTTTTTTCCTTTTAATGCCACAGTGTTATTGTCGAATGTGTATAATTATCGTTTGCGTTATGTTATTTCACAGCGAGAGAACGGGTGCCGCAGTGGTTCCCGGTGGAATCGAGTTCCAATCTGGCTCACGCCAGCGGCGAGCGATGGTCCGAACTGGTCCCTGGCGCTTTGGGGCAGTCCATAAATGACGTCACGCACCTAGGGGGGGGGGGGGTTGAGAAATGTAACGTCACATCAAAATGCGCAACTTTAAATTAATATACAACATCAGAGTGCAACGCCACATTAAATACGCACTACAATGACAATAGTTTAAAGCGATTTGAAGCATGTTTTATTTAGGGGGGGGCAGAACTTTGTGACGATGGGGGGGGGTGGGGGGTAAAAAATCGTCCAAAACCGCGTGACGTCATTTATGGACGGCCCCTTTGTAGAAGTTTCCCAGGTGACCGGACAATGAGGGCGCCGTGGTGAAGTGACCAGACGTCACGAATTAAAAGTCGCGATGTTTAGATGACTTCAGGTCTGCTCGAGTGAACTGCACCTGAAGGATCTTGAAGCGTTCTTTGCGCTCGGATTCCACGAGAGAGAGAGAGAAAATGAATCCTAAATACTGCAGGAACTGATATCGCGATAATCGCCATTCGCGATGTTTTATATCGTATCGAGAAACATTAAAATCGCATACCTTTTCACCCCTTAGCAGTGCCTACCTTATGGGTTGACAGCTGTGCTGTGTTTATCTATGTGGGTCTCTGTGTATATCTATGTGGGTCTCTGTGTGCATCTATGTGGGTCTCTGTGTATATCTATGTGGGTCTCTGTGTGTATCTATGTGGGTCTCTGTGTGCATCTATGTGGGTCTCTGTGTGCATCTATGTGGGTCTCTGTGTGTATCTATGTGGGTCTCTGTGTGTATCTATGTGGGTCTCTGTGTGCATCTATGTGGGTCTCTGTGTGTATCTATGTGGGTCTCTGTGTGTATCTATGTGGGTCTCTGTGTGTATCTATGTGGGTCTCTGTGTGTATCTATGTGGGTCTCTGTGTGTATCTATGTGGGTCTCTGTGTGTATCTATGTGGGTCTCTGTGTGTATCTATGTGGGTCTCTGTGTGCATCTATGTGGGTCTCTGTGTGTATCTATGTGGGTCTCTGTATGTATCTATGTGGGTCTCTGTGTGTATCTATGTGGGTCTCTGTGTGTATCTATGTGTGTCTCTGTGTGCATCTATGTGGGTCTCTGTGTATATCTATGTGGGTCTCTGTGTATCTATGTGGGTCTCTGCGTGCATCTATGTGGGTCTCTGTGTGCATCTCTATGGGTCTCTGTGTGCATCTATGTGGGTCTCCGTGTGCATCTATGTGGGTCTCTGTGTGCATCTATGTGGGTCTCTGTGTGCATCTATGTGGGTCTCTGTGTGCATCTATGTGGGTCTCTGTGTGTATCTATGTGGGTCTCTGTGTGTATCTATGTGGGTCTCTGTGTGCATCTATGTGGGTCTCTGTGTGTATCTATGTGGGTCTCTGTATGTATCTATGTGGGTCTCTGTGTGTATCTATGTGTGTCTCTGTGTGCATCTATGTGGGTCTCTGTGTATCTATGTGGGTCTCTGCGTGCATCTATGTGGGTCTCTGCGTGCATCTATGTGGGTCTCTGTGTGCATCTCTATGGGTCTCTGTGTGCATCTATGTGGGTCTCCGTGTGCATCTATGTGGGTCTCTGCGTGCATCTATGTGGGTCTCTGTGTGCATCTATGTGGGTCTCTGTGTGCATCTATGTGGGTCTCTGTGTATATCTATGTGGGTCTCTGTGTGTATCTATGTGGGTCTCTGTGTGCATCTATGTGGGTCTCTGTGTGCATCTATGTGGGTCTCTGTGTGTATCTATGTGGGTCTCTGTGTGTATCTATGTGGGTCTCTGTGTGCATCTATGTGGGTCTCTGTGTGTATCTATGTGGGTCTCTGTGTGTATCTATGTGGGTCTCTGTGTGTATCTATGTGGGTCTCTGTGTGTATCTATGTGGGTCTCTGTGTGTATCTATGTGGGTCTCTGTGTGTATCTATGTGGGTCTCTGTGTGTATCTATGTGGGTCTCTGTGTGCATCTATGTGGGTCTCTGTGTGTATCTATGTGGGTCTCTGTATGTATCTATGTGGGTCTCTGTGTGTATCTATGTGGGTCTCTGTGTGTATCTATGTGTGTCTCTGTGTGTATCTATGTGGGTCTCTGTGTGTATCTATGTGGGTCTCTGTGTGTATCTATGTGGGTCTCTGTGTGCATCTATGTGGGTCTCTGTGTGTATCTATGTGGGTCTCTGTGTGCATCTATGTGGGTCTCTGTGTGCATCTATGTGGGTCTCTGTGTGCATCTATGTGGGTCTCTGTGTGTATCTAGGTGGGTCTCTGTGTGTATCTATGTGGGTCTCTGTGTGTATCTATGTGGGTCTCTGTGTGTATCTATGTGGGTCTCTGTGTGTATCTATGTGGGTCTCTGTATGTATCTATGTGGGTCTCTGTGTGTATCTATGTGGGTCTCTGTGTGTATCTATGTGGGTCTCTGTGTGTATCTATGTGGGTCTCTGTGTGTATCTATGTGGGTCTCTGTGTGTATCTATGTGGGTCTCTGTGTGCATCTATGTGGGTCTCTGTGTGTATCTATGTGGGTCTCTGTGTGCATCTATGTGGGTCTCTGTGTGCATCTATGTGGGTCTCTGTGTGCATCTATGTGGGTCTCTGTGTGTATCTAGGTGGGTCTCTGTGTGTATCTATGTGGGTCTCTGTGTGTATCTATGTGGGTCTCTGTGTGTATCTATGTGGGTCTCTGTGTGTATCTATGTGGGTCTCTGTGTGCATCTATGTGGGTCTCTGTGTGCATCTATGTGGGTCTCTGTGTGTATCTATGTGGGTCTCTGTGTGTATCTATGTGGGTCTCTGTGTGTATCTATGTGGGTCTCTGTGTGTATCTATGTGGGTCTCTGTGTGTATCTATGTGGGTCTCTGTGTGCATCTATGTGGGTCTCTGTGTGCATCTATGTGGGTCTCTGTGTGTATCTATGTGGGTCTCTGTGTGTATCTATGTGGGTCTCTGTGTGTATCTATGTGGGTCTCTGTGTGTATCTATGTGGGTCTCTGTGTGCATCTATGTGGGTCTCTGTGTGCATCTATGTGGGTCTCTGTGTGTATCTATGTGGGTCTCTGTGTGTATCTATGTGGGTCTCTGTGTGCATCTATGTGGGTCTCTGTGTGCATCTATGTGGGTCTCTGTGTGCATCTATGTGGGTCTCTGTGTGCATCTATGTGGGTCTCTGTGTATCTGTGGGTAGCTATGTATCTATGGGTCTCTATGGATCTCTATGGGTCTCTGTCTATTATAATCATACCTGTCAACCCCTTATCAGTGCCCTACCTTATTGGTCACCCCGTGCCCCTTATAAATCTCAAAGTTCATCCTACAAAGTCCAATCACAAGGGAGAGAAACACAAACAAATAAACAACATTGTGCTGTCGGTATTGAAACGGCTGTTCTCCCTATGGGCTTGAAACTCAATTTCCCTGTACAATATAATACGGGGTAACCCGTATTGGCGTCTTGTTTACGTGACAAATTCCTTACAAGTTCGCTGTGGTTACGACACACTTATACTCATGCGATCTAAGGGGCCGTCCATAAATGACGTCACGCACCTAGGGGGGGGGGGGGGGGGGGGTGGTCAAACATTTGTGACGATGTGTGACAAGGGGGGAGGGGGTTTGAGAAATGTGACGTCACAGCAAAATGCGCAACTTTAAATAAATATAGACAACACGTTATATTTAATTAAATAGAATTTTGTAATACATTTTTCTCCTACAACATCAGAGTACAGCGCCACATTAAATACGCACTACAATGACAATAGTTTAAAGCGATTTGAAGCATGGTTTTTTTTTTGGGGGGGGGGGCAGAGCTTTGTGACGTCATATTTGAGGGGGGGGGTTTGACTTTTTGTGACGTCGTGTGACGAAGGGGGTCAAAAATCGTCCAAAATCGCGTGACGTCATTTATGGACGGCCCCCAACGTCGCCGATCCCTTTGTCGCTGGCGGGGGCTGAGTTCTGGGTGAGACCCCCACCCCCCTAGCACTCACGACACGGCTGCGTTGCCTCCACTCGCCTCCTCCTCCTCATCCTCCTCATCCCACCCACAACTCCCCCACCCACAGCTCCCCCACCCACAGCTCCCCCACCCACAACTCCCCCACCCACAACTCCCCCACCCACAACTCCCCCACCCACAACTCCCCCACCCACAACTCCCCCACCCACAACAACTCCCCCACCCACAACAACTCCCCCACCCACAATCCATAACTCAGCGGCACCGGCACAGCCATCGGGAGGATCGGAGCAACACCGGCCACACTTGTTCTGCTGCGAGCAACACTCGGTACCTCTACTCTCGGTACCTCTACTCTCGGCACCTCTACTCTCGGCACCTCTACTCTCGGCACCTCTACTCTCGGTACCTCTACTCTCGGTACCTCTACTCTCGGTACCTCTACTCTCCGTACCTCTACTCTCCGTACCTCTACTCTCGGTACCTCTACTCTCGGCACCTCTACTCTCGGCACCTCTACTCTCGGTACCTCTACTCTCGGTACCTCTACTCTCGGTACCTCTACTCTCCGTACCTCTACTCTCGGTACCTCTACTCTCGGTACCTCTACTCTCGGTACCTCTACTCTCGGCACCTCTACTCTCGGCACCTCTACTCTCGGTACCTCTACTCTCGGTACCTCTACTCTCGGCACCTCTACTCTCGGTACCTCTACTCTCGGCACCTCTACTCTCGGTACCTCTACTCTCGGCACCTCTACTCTCGGTACCTCTACTCTCGGCACCTCTACAAGGGAACGGGACTTGCTCTCAGTGCACCGTTTACAACCCGCGGTACCTCTGTACTCGTGGTCCACCGGGGACATCCGTCAGCACACGCTGTTCTCACTGAACTTATCGCCGCCACAGCTGTCAGTGCGACCCAAGTCACGAGCAGTAACATCGGTAGCTGTCGAGTACGCTCAACCAACCTCCGGTTAGCTACGTACGGTGCGAAAGAAGTTCACCGTACGGTACACACACGGGCATCTCTGCCGGTACACAGTATACTATTGTCATCGTCTGCCAGCGTGTGCCGATCCCTGTGCTCTGTCAATCGCGAACGCATCGGAACCTCCCGGCGACTTGCAAACGAAGGAGGAGCGGCTCGGAGCGGCTGGGAGGTTGTCTCGTAACGGAACGGGGACGCGCACCTCTGTGCCCATGCGTGGCACGTCTGGGCTGCCGGGACTTGTGGCTCTGCTGGGATGGGCTGCAGGTAGGAGCCGTCGTGGTCGTGGTCGTCACCATCGCACTCATCGCCGCCAAGCCGGTTCATGAGCATCATCACTGCCACGCGAGCGAACTCGACTCCATCACCTGGCGTGTGTGTAATTGAGACAGGGTGTGTGTGTGTAATTGAGACAGGAGGTGTGTGTGTGTGTGTGTAATTGAGACACACACACACCCTAATTGAGACAGGAGGTGTGTGTGTAATTGAGACAGGGTATGTGTGTAATTGAGACAGGGTATGTGTGTAATTGAGACAGGGAGGTGTGTGTGTAATTGAGACAGGGTGTGTGTGTGTAATTGAGACAGGAGGTGTGTGTGTGTGTGTAATTGAGACAGGGGGTGTGTGTCTAATTGAGACAGGAGGTGTGTGTGTAATTGAGACAGTGTGTGTGTGTGTAATTGAGACAGGAGGTGTGTGTGTAATTGAGACAGGAGGTGTGTGTGTAATTGAGACAGTGTGTGTAATTGAGACAGGAGGTGTGTGTGTAATTGAGACAGGGTGTGTGTGTAATTGAGACAGGAGGTGTGTGTGTAATTGAGACAGGAGGTGTGTGTGTAATTGAGACAGGAGGTGTGTGTGTGTAATTGAGACAGGTGGTGTGTGTGTAATTGAGACAGGAGGTGTGTGTGTAATTGAGACAGGAGGTGTGTGTGTAATTGAGACAGGAGTTGTGTGTGTAATTGAGACAGGAGGTATGTGTGTAATTGAGACAGGTGGTGTGTGTGTAATTGAGACAGGAGGTGTGTGTGTAATTGAGACAGGGTGTGTGTGTGTGTAATTGAGACAGGGTGTGTGTGTTATTGAGACAGGAAGTGTGTGTGTGTGTAATTGAGACAGGGTGTGTGTAATTGAGACAGGGTATGTGTGTGTAATTGAGACAGGAGGTGTGTGTGTGTAATTGAGACAGGAGGTGTGTGTGTAATTGAGACAGGAGGTGTGTGTGTAATTGAGACAGGAGGTGTGTGTGTAATTGAGACAGTGTGTGTAATTGAGACAGGGTGTGTGTGTAAATGAGACAGGAGGTGTGTGTGTGTAATTGAGACAGGAGGTGTGTGTGTAATTGAGACAGGGTGTGTGTGTGTAATTAAGACAGGAGGTGTGTGTGTAATTAAGACAGGAGGTGTGTGTGTAATTGAGACAGGGTGTGTGTGTGTAATTGAGACAGGAGGTGTGTGTGTGTGTGTAATTGAGACAGGGGGTGTGTGTGTAATTGAGACAGGAGGTGTGTGTGTAATTGAGACAGAGTGTGTGTGTGTGTGTAATTGAGACAGGAGGTGTGTGTGTAATTGAGACAGGAGGTGTGTGTGTAATTGAGACAGGGTGTGTAATTGAGACAGGAGGTGTGTGTGTAATTGAGACAGGGTGTGTGTGTAATTGAGACAGGAGGTGTGTGTGTAATTGAGACAGGAGGTGTGTGTGTAATTGAGACAGGAGGTGTGTGTGTAATTGAGACAGGAGGTGTGTGTGTGTAATTGAGACAGGTGGTGTGTGTGTAATTGAGACAGGAGGTGTGTGTGTAATTGAGACAGGAGGTGTGGGTGTAATTGAGACAGGAGGTGTGTGTGTAATTGAGACAGGAGGTATGTGTGTAATTGAGACAGGTGGTGTGTGTGTAATTAAGACAGGAGGTGTGTGTGTAATTGAGACAGGAGGTGTGTGTGTAATTGAGACAGGGTGTGTGTGTAATTGAGACAGGGTGTGTGTGTTATTGAGACAGGAAGTGTGTGTGTGTGTAATTGAGACAGGGTGTGTGTAATTGAGACAGGGTATGTGTGTGTAATTGAGACAGGAGGTGTGTGTGTGTAATTGAGACAGGAGGTGTGTGTGTAATTGAGACAGGAGGTGTGTGTGTAATTGAGACAGGAGGTGTGTGTGTAATTGAGACAGTGTGTGTAATTGAGACAGGGTGTGTGTGTAAATGAGACAGGAGGTGTGTGTGTGTAATTGAGACAGGAGGTGTGTGTGTAATTGAGACAGGGTGTGTGTGTGTAATTAAGACAGGAGGTGTGTGTGTAATTAAGACAGGAGGTGTGTGTGTAATTGAGACAGGGTGTGTGTGTGTAATTGAGACAGGAGGTGTGTGTGTGTGTGTAATTGAGACAGGGGGTGTGTGTGTAATTGAGACAGGAGGTGTGTGTGTAATTGAGACAGTGTGTGTGTGTGTAATTGAGACAGGAGGTGTGTGTGTAATTGAGACAGGAGGTGTGTGTGTAATTGAGACAGTGTGTGTAATTGAGACAGGAGGTGTGTGTGTAATTGAGACAGGGTGTGTGTGTAATTGAGACAGGAGGTGTGTGTGTAATTGAGACAGGAGGTGTGTGTGTAATTGAGACAGGAGGTGTGTGTGTGTAATTGAGACAGGTGGTGTGTGTGTAATTGAGACAGGAGGTGTGTGTGTAATTGAGACAGGAGGTGTGTGTGTAATTGAGACAGGAGGTGTGTGTGTAATTGAGACAGGAGGTATGTGTGTAATTGAGACAGGTGGTGTGTGTGTAATTAAGACAGGAGGTGTGTGTGTAATTGAGACAGGAGGTGTGTGTGTAATTGAGACAGGGTGTGTGTGTGTAATTGAGACAGGGTGTGTGTGTTATTGAGACAGGAAGTGTGTGTGTGTGTAATTGAGACAGGGTGTGTGTAATTGAGACAGGGTATGTGTGTGTAATTGAGACAGGAGGTGTGTGTGTGTAATTGAGACAGGAGGTGTGTGTGTGTAATTGAGACAGGAGGTGTGTGTGTAATTGAGACAGGAGGTGTGTGTGTAATTGAGACAGTGTGTGTAATTGAGACAGGGTGTGTGTGTAAATGAGACAGGAGGTGTGTGTGTAATTGAGACAGGAGGTGTGTGTGTAATTGAGACAGGGTGTGTGTGTAATTAAGACAGGAGGTGTGTGTGTATAATTGAGACAGGTGTGTAATTGAGACAGGGTGTGTGTTTAATTGAGGCAGGGTGTGTGTGTGTGTAATTGAGACAGGGGGTGTGTGTGTAATTGAGACAGAGGGTGTGTGTGTAATTGAGACAGGAGGTGTGTGTGTAATTGAGACAGGAGGTGTGTGTGTAATTGAGACAGGAGGTGTGTGTGTAATTGAGACCGGGTGTGTGTGTAATTGAGACAGGAGGTGTGTGTGTAATTGAGACAGGGTGTGTGTGTAATTGAGACAGGGTGTGTGTGTGTGTAATTGAGACAGGGTGTGTGTGTAATTGAGACAGAAGGTGTGTGTGTGTAATTGAGACAGGAGGTGTGTGTGTAATTGAGACAGGGGTGTGTGTGTAATTGAGACTGGGTAAGTCGCTTTACCCCTGCAGCCACTAGATGCCGCTACATTTACCGAAGTTTTACACAAGTCATGTTACAATTCTAATCGCGACAATTCGTCAGACCAATGAACAAGCTCGACAATCGATATTAATCGACGATACTACGTACAACGACAGCGAGGGGTTAAAACAACTCCACATATTCGTCGACAACACTGTGGCCTTATTAGGAAACATTACCGACGTTTTGGGCGATAGCCCTTCTCGGCGCATAGAGAGGCCAGAGAGATCGAGTGGACGATAAGAGGTGGACACCACACTTTACACCATGGAGCCTGATGTAAATTACATTTTTTTTTTAAATTCCGATTTTAATTATATGGATGCGATGGGTTCTCCGTACGCGCGTGTGTTTCATTCATGAAATTGCTCGCCCCTCCTCGCATCCTTCCCGCAAATTTCTCGCGGTGTGCCGAACTGTTTAATATCCTGTGGAGTTTAATCTCGCTCTGTACGCCCTGTCCTGCGTACCCAGCCTTGCGTGGTAACGAGAGCGCACAAGCGTGCGTTTGGGTTTCCTTCGGCGTGGTGGCGATCAGCCATATGTATTTCAAGTTTCAGCACGAACGGCAAGAATGGCAAGAATGTAATAATTCGCAATGCAGCCAGACATTGTTTTGTATAACTCTTTATCATCCACTCCCTCGCCTCTCTCTGGGCCACGAAGACGGAACGTTGGTCAGAACGTTGCCTATTGTGTACACGTGATTTTCTTTTTAAAGGCCACGCGGTGTTATTGACGAATGTGGCCATGCAACCCAAACTATGGACCATAACCCATAGAGAGACACAGAGACGCATGAAGAACCGTAGATAGACACAGAGACCCACGGAGATGCATATAAACACTTCAAGGGAAAGCCACACGAGTGTGATTGTGGCCAATGAAGCCAGACTCCGGACCGTATCGGAGTACACCACCTGCAGTCTGCGCTCCGTCCAATGGAGGGGGAACAGCAACACGACACAAACTCTCCACTGAAGCCCTCTCTCTCGTCGTGGCCAGCAGACCTCGACATTGGCATCGAGCTGCTGAGCACATCGCTGCAATGCAAGATTTAGAACAACATTGACGAATGTGTTGAGGTTTAGGTGTTCATTTCACGGTGTTTTAAGGTCACGGTGTTATGGACAAATGAATGTGTTGAGTGTTGTTTTGTTACTTGTGCTTGCGCAACCACTACCAACGCAAGTGCATCACAACATAATTTGATACTTGATGAGCGTCAACTCTCTTCCCCATGACAACGGACGCATTCAGACGAAACAATTGCCCCTTTTATTTAACCCAGGAAAGCGTCACCGTCGTTTTAAAAACAACTTTTATTTTTACGTGGATAGCTGTGGGAAGGAGGCGAAAGGTTTCCACCACCACACACGTTCACGAGGAGGCGTTTTGTCAGCTTAATTATTGTGTCGCCTATATCGTCTTAATTATTATTTTGCACCATACCTTGGCCACTGGTTTGAGTTGTGTAAATCATATTCTTATTTTTTTTTGCATGGAGAGATAAGTACAGTATGGAATGGAGGCGCTATTTCATATTAGATACGAAAAAACATCTTCCTGGATTCCTGCCTGCCTGGCGCATGGCGAAGCACACGTGCACGGTGGTGACGTCACCGTCACCATATGCGTGCTGACGTCACGTCACGCCTCACCCACCCCCCATCCACCGTCTACCCGAGCCGTCTATCCCGAGCAAATGCGCGGGATACGCTATCGTACGATCACGGGTTGCGGAAGACCCGACTTACGCAAATCCGAACTTACGGAAATGCTCCCATAAATCATGTTAAAAGACTAAATGCGTGGAAATGTTTGCGTTAGTTACATAAGCCCAAGGAGTGCAGCGCAGTGAGGTTGCGGATGAATACCGCGAAGCGAGGCGTAAGGCGGAGTCCGCCTTACGCGTCAAAGCAACAAGTGGATGCGACATTGTGGAACCCCCCAAACCCCCTCATGTCAATGATCATCTTTGTACCCAAAGTTATCTTCTACCCGGGCGAATCCTTGACCGAGACTCCGACATCCAACCCCGTCTCTGCCTCGCCGCCGCCACCATCGCCACCACCGACGGCTCCACCACCAACACCACCGACGCCACCACCACCAACGCCTCCTGTTTACCCAGGCGTCAATTCGACCCCGGGTTCTGACCCCCCCTGTGCTGACTTCAAGCCGAGCTCGCTGAGCGAGCTTCTCTTCGGGGTATGGACGCGGTGTCTTTTGAGTCGGCTTGCTTCAACAGACACTTTCGTCAGTGACACTGTGGCCTTGAAAGGAAAAGTACGGGTTTCCTTACCTAAAGCGCGTTCGCGATTTGTGCAATTTCACGTGTATATGGGGCAACCTACTTCTACCCAAAATCTGCAATAATCCGTTTGAATTCACTTACATGCGGCTATGCGATCGGACTTGGAACAACATTGTGTGCATTTGTCCAACAAGCTTGACTGCTTAGAAAGTTTAACACCGGTCCAGAGTTCTCTTGCTTACACAAAATGCCTCTCGTTAATATTGGTCTGGAGAAGGGACTGAACCACCGCGACATTTAGATGCGGAGACAAACAGAAGCAGAGCTCCATAATACAGGTTTGTTTGGGTTAGATCGCGCAAATAATTAAATGTGTCATTAAAACCCACCACCACCCGACACAGCCAACTGGTAAGGGTTGTGTCACGTAAACAGAACGTGGCCAATTCGTCACTAGCGCAGCAACACCGGTTTGTGTTGGAGAGCCAAGCCACAACATTTACAATCTGAGTACGACGTTTCGCCAGTAATGACAACTAGCTTCATCAGAGCTGCGTGCAGAGACGTCGCCGATTCTCCTGCAGGGAACGGAGCTGGACGTGCGATTTCTGCTCTTCCCTCCGCGGGGCTCGCACCGCCACCCGCTATGTGCGCTGCCGCTCCGAGTCGTCGTCGGAGAAGGAGGAGAACACGAAGAAGAAGACGAGGAGACGATGAGGCTCATCGACCCCGGGGCAACGACATTCGTGCTCATCCACGGATACAGGTGGGCGCGGCGTTAAAAATCAAGGGGCGGCGAAAACCGGGGTTAGAACCCAGACTCTCGGCGGTGCCGGCTCAATTTGGCGTGACCTCTGAGTCACCCGGGCCACCTCGCGTCTTGTTTTGTCGACTCATCCACCCCCTGCCATAGCAATGTGGCATTACCGCCACCAGCTGATGGCTGTAAATGGGAATGGAGCACTGGCATCTCGCTCTTTTAGCGGGGAACCACTTTTCTGAGAACCTGTTGTAATTTGTGTGCCCGAAAAAAACCCATCACACTCAACCTCTCTGCCCCCTATTCTTTGGGTCTTTCGGTAAAGTCACGTAAATAGGTTCAAATTAGTTAAAATAAAATAAACAAAAAACTACGACGTTTCGATCACAACACAAGCGATCGTCATGTTTTCCTCCTGATGGCCATTGCTTGTGTTGTGATCGAAACGTCCTAGTTTTTTGTTTATTTAATTTTTATTCATTTGAACCCATCTCCGTGACTTTACCGAAAGACCCAAAGAACATGAATTCCTGCAGTCACGAAAGCTTTAGGTCAACATTTCTCTCTGCCCCCTCTTTGTGCTGTGAAGGGCCATTGCCTGAAGCATCGCCGATGATAAACTTTTTGTTTTCAAGGCCAATCTGCGGTTACCATACCTGCAGTCATTGAAATTGTCATATGCTCATAAGAAAACTTGAACCTTGTAGATCACTGGTAGGTTAGCGCACGTGAAGAATATTAAAAATGTTTTCCATGATCACTGTCACTGTACCCCACATCCCCTCATTGTATCCTTGTCTCCTGTATTTCTCCTCATGTGTCCCCCATACATCCCTTGCAAGTCCCCCGTGTGTCCCCGTCTGTTCCCCCGTGTATCCCCTGTGTCTCCCCCATGTGTCCCTGTGTGTCTGCCATGTGTCCACTTTGTGTCCCCTATGTATACCATATGTGTCTCCCCCATGTGTCTCTGTGTGTCTCCCCCATGTGTCCCAGTGTGTCTACCATGTGTCCACTTTGTGTCCACTTTGTGTCCCCTGTGTGTACCATATGTGTCTCTCCCATGTGTCTCTTTGTTTCTACAATGTCTTCCCCGTGTGTCCCCCGTGTGTCCCCCCGTGTGTCCCCCGTGTGTCCCCCCGTGTGTCCCCCCGTGTGTCCCCCCGTGTGTCCCCCGTGTGTCCCCCGTGTGTCCCCCCGTGTGTCCCCCCGTGTGTCGGGCGCGTGTGTCAGTGTGGGTGGCGTGGAGCCACGCCCCATCTGGCTCGATGAGATGGTGTCTGAGCTTCTCGGGGCAACTCCAGACCCCCCCGGCACCAACATCATCGCCGTCGACTGGAATCACGGCGCAACAAATTGGTGAAGCCTCACAGCGTTGGGTCTCCCGCCTCGGTTACAATAAAGGACGCTTCGATCAAATTGGATATTTTACTTTGGCCATAGATTTGAGCTGTTTTAAAAAATAAATATTTTTTTGGTGTGCAGAGACAAATATTGGGGGGGGGGGGGGGGGGGGGGGGAGGCTTTGTTTATTTTGTTCTGAACATTCTAAAAAAATCCAACTTTATGTATATTTCGTGCGACGTCTTACTGTTGCATTGAACTGTTGCATTGAACTCGGACCCATTTCTTACAGAAAGCGTCTTTGCCCATAAAATTCGAACAGTTCACCAGCATTAATTCAAGCAAACCTGACTCCGCTGGTGAGATACTGAATGTCGAAACCAGTCCAGAGTTTGCTCTATTGAACCAATGTTGCTGATAGGAAACACTCCCAGGGACAGGTGGATTGTGTAACCAAGAAACTTGTATTCTTTACGTGGAGAGCCAGAATAATAATAACTTTAATTTTATATGGCATCTTTCACGCCAACAGCATCCCACAACACTGTACATTAATTTTAAACACAAGGACCAAATCCCACATACGCGGTTGGCTACGCATGAGGCAAAATAAGCCCAGCACACACGCGCACGCCCACCAAATAAATTAAAACCCCACTACCAGTATGGGAACGAGGCCTCGTTTGTCTTGTCAGTAACGCTTGGCGTTTATTTTGCTTTAGTGAAGAACGTCTCAGTCACAATTCGAGAGCCCGTACCTTGGGTACTCACTCGATTAAATTATTGCCCCTTTAATCGAACTTGGAGAGTCACACAGTGGCTCCACTCTAGCCTCGTCACATGAGGGCGCGCTGCATGAAACGGGCTGCGCTCCCAGGTACCCGCTGGCGGTGCGGAAGACCCGGGAGGCGGGCAGGATCATCGCCAACATGATCACCACGCTCACGGTGGGTGCGCACAGCATTGATAGTTGTTCCCCCAGAAACAGATGTTTGTCCCTCCCTCGGAAGCGATTTTCAACGATGTTGGTTCCCGTACCGAATATTTGTACCCCCTTATTTAAAAAAAAATAATCGTTGCTGGGTGAACAGGCATTTCGGAAAAGCAAAATCTGGCTGGCGCCCGATGATGCTGGTTGTAATTGCTGGTGAAACGTCAGGGTACTCGAATTGTAAATGTTGTAGTGGGTTTACTCTCCAACACACAACCGGTGTGCCGTACTAGTAACGAATTGTCACGTTTTGTTTACGTGACAAACCTTACTAATTGACTGTGTCGGGTGGTGGCGGGTTTAACGACACATTTATATTTACGTGATCTAACCCAAAAAACCTCTTATGGATGATATTGGTACACCCATTCACATTCATATATCCATTCACATATCCATAATATCCATGCACATTCATTACTTACTTAGAGAAAGGGGGGGGGGAGGGTGGGACACCACCCTGAGTGGGCCACAGATACCCCCAATCGATGCCTGGAGGCACCTCACCCCGACCCGATACCTGCCCCTCAGGTGCAACGGGGCGTGCATGCGGAGCGTGTGCACCTGGTGGGAGTGAGCCTGGGAGCGCACGTCGCAGGCTTCACGGGCAGCTACTTCTCGGGGAGGATCGCGAAAATCACAGGTGGGCATTGGGGTCGCCACGATTCTTCGATGTTATCGTACTACGTTGGGGGTGTGGGGGGGGGGGCACCATGGTGGTAATGGTTCTGACACTGCACTTGCAAACTCACGGAGAGGGCTAGTTCAATCGTCTGGGAATGGTAGTTGAAACAATGGAGCAAGTTTCGTACATCCCCCTGACTCTGTACACCCAGTGGTATGAATTTTGAACAGCAAACCAGAATCGTGGAAAATCGTAAAATCGCGAGGTGGGAGATTTGTTAGGTGACCAACACCTACAATATCCCCGATTGACCCCTTTGCATGGGAAGGCCTTCATCTAGCAGTGGAAGAACCATGGCTCATGATGATGATAAATAAATTAATGCTGAATATTCATTTGTAGAAATTGTAAATAGTTGATGAAAACAAAATAATCTTTTTGATTCCATAAATCATTGTGTGTCTGACAACTAAGAACGTGTTACTCATTGCAACGCATAACCATGACAGATGGCGATGGCTTGGAGAGAGAGGCCTTTATCCAGCAGTGGATTGACCATGGCCGACAATGATTGATAATCATGAATAAGATGAGAACACGTCTCCTATCGCTCCTCTACTCCACCTCCCCCAACCCTCCATCTCCCCTGGCCCCTCTCCCACTCAGCCCTCGACCCCGCAGGACCCAAGTTCTCCCAGGCCGACCCCGAGGAGCGACTCGACCCGAGCGACGCGGCCTTCGTGGACGTCGTTCACACGGACGGCGACAGTGAGACCCACGCAGACCCCCCCGCACCGCACTGCGCTAAGCGCCTCTGCCTCTCCATCGACGGCGCCGATCCTTGCTATTGCAGCGGCCGCTGCCGCTTCGAGTGGCTTCTCCGATGTCCACGTGGGCTGATGCGGCACCGGCAGTCTTCCCCGCACGCCGTGCAGTCGGCTGTAATCCGGTTATGTTCGCGTGCAGCCCCTTTGATTCAGTTTAGACATTGAAAGGGGTGCACGCGTTTATGCGTACGTACATGCGTGTGCGTGTTGAATGCGTGTATGAGTGTGTGTGTGTGCACCCGTGTGTGTGTGCGCACGTGTGCGTGTGTGCGCACGTGTGTGTGTGTGTGCGCACGTGTGTGCGTGCGTGCAGAGTTTGGTATTCGGCGGACCCTGGGCCACGTGGATTTCTACGTGAATGGCGGAGAGGACCAACCGGGATGCCCAAAGACGACGCTCACAGGAGGTGAACTCTACACACCGCTCCATGCTCCTGTCACACGGCACTGTGCCAACGCCTTGGTTCGTGAAAATCGGGATTTTGTCCTCAGTTTAACGTCTGTCCAGCTTCGCGCTCGACTCAAGATGCGAGCAAAGGGAGTGGCTACCGAATCAGTGGGCGGGGCTACCTGCATAGTGGGGGTGGCTACCTGAGCAGTGGGCGGGGCCAATGTCAGAAAGAGGGAGGAGGCCACTCTGTGTGGACAGGGCTCGTTATTCAGTGGGCTTGGCTATGTCAAATGGGTAGAACTTTGAGTAGAGCCCCCCAAAATAACGTGGTGGGGTCGTCACCACTTCGCTCCTCCCGCCCGCCCGCCCGCCGTCCTTCACCGCAACCTCAGGATTCACCGAGGACATGGAGTCACCCGTGATCTGCGACCACATGCGCGCCGTGCGGCTGTGGCTGAGCTCCCTGCGCTCCCCGTGCGAGCTGCGCGCCTTCCCGTGCGACTCCGCCGCCGCCCTGGCCGCCGGACGCTGCCTCGAGTGCCGCACGGAGCGCACGGCGTCGTGCCCCCGCCTGGGCCTGCACTCCGGTACTCACAGAGAGGGTCACTCTGGTACTCGCGGAGAGGGTCACTCCGGTACTCACGGAGAGGGCCACTCCGGCACTCACGGAGAGGGTCACTCCGGTACTCACGGAGAGGGCCACTTCGGTACTCACAGAGAGGGCCACTCCAGTACTCACGGCGAGGGCCACTCCGGTACTCACAGAGAGGGCCACTCCGGTACTCACAGAGAGGGCCACTCCGGCACTCACGGAGAGGGCCACTCCGGCACTCACGGAGAGGGCCACTCCGGCACTCACGGAGAGGGCCACTTCGGTACTCACAGAGAGGGCCACTCCGGCACTCACGGAGAGGGCCACTTCGGTACTCACTGAGAGGGTCACTCCGGCACTCACGGAGAGGGCCACTCCGGTACTCACAGAGGGCCACTCCGGTACTCACAGAGAGGGCCACTCCGGTACTCACTGAGAGGGCCACTCCGGCACTCACGGAGAGGGCCACTCCGGTACTCGTGGAGAGGGCCACTCTGGCACTCACAGAGAGGGCCACTCCGGTACTCACAGAGGGCCACTCCGGTACTCACAGAGAGGGCCACTCCGGTACTCACTGAGAGGGCCACTCCGGCACTCACGGAGAGGGCCACTCCGGTACTCACGGAGAGGGTCACTCTGGCACTCAAAGAGAGGGCCACTCCGGTACTCACTGAGAGGGTCACTCCGGTACTCACTGAGAGGGCCACTCCGGCACTCACAGAGAGGGCCACTCCGGTACTCACAGAGGGCCACTCCGGTACTCACGGCGAGGGCCTGTGTACGTGTGACTGTGTTTGTATCTAACCCTAACTGCTTAGGTCGACTCGGCCACAATTGATTGCCTGGTGCGGTGTGTAGTAAACATCACCACTAGGGAGACAAAAGTGGCCGGGTGTAGTGCTGACCACCCACCCTTTTGTGTGCCGTGCCGGCCTTCATAGGCGCTACTTGCAAACCAAACAGCACTTGCTCCGAAAGTCTGTGCAGGCTATACAGGGGGATCTTTGTTGTACAGTATTTAAGTCTGGCCCCAAACCGAACACATAACCCTAACTCTAACCATAACCCTAATCCTGTCCATAGCCTAATACCACGCGCCTCAGCCAGCGCACCGGTTCACGTGGCTACGGTGGAGGGTGCCTCTCAGATCCCTGTTTTTTTTTTAATTACAAGACTCCTAAGCAACCTGTGGCCAATGTCTCTGTGTGCGTGTATGTAGAGCAGTGTTTTCTCAACAGTCGTCATGACCCCTCCACCTCCCCATGGTACAACTTTCCATGATTACCAATCATCAGGTGCATGCAGTGTGTTGTAGTGTCTTAACTTGCATATGAATAGAAATGATTGGAAATCGTGAAAAAGGTGTGCAACTTGCCAGTAATCTCAGAAAACTAACAACACCTTGGGCCTGTTCCATGGCCTCTTGTCAGTGAGTCTTCAACGTACAAAATAAGAGGTAGCATAGTTGGTAGCACACTGCACTTCGTGACCCAGCCACCTGAGTCAGATCCCTATCACGGCCTCCCCCGAGGCTGATTCGGCCTTCAACGAGCGCCTCGTGTGGTGTGTCAACATCAGCACTGGCAAGACGCAGGCGGCCGGACGTACGTGGTGCTGCCCACAAACATCCCCTCTTGCATCGTTGTGCCAGCCTTCATCGACGCTCGCCGATAGCCCCTTGCGGCGCCAACAGTCCGTGAACGGCGTCAAAGGGATCGTTAGTTTTTGATGATCGGTCACAAATGTGAATACTGTTGATAATGTCCTTTGTATTGTGTCCGCCGACCGAACAGCTGACGGGGTCTGTGCGGTGAGCGAGTCTGAGTCGATCGTCCTTCACATGAACACGGCCAAAGCACCCCCTTATTGTGGTGAGTGAACACAACAACACCAAAAACAGCAGCAGCGGCATCAGACGCTTCACACGATTTTAGATGTGGTTGACACGGCCGAGCGGGTACCACGACTTCCCCTGCTCGTTGCAAAGGTTTTACAGTTTGAGCTCAACGGCCACCCTGGTTAACGCTGCAAGTGTATTGACGATGCATGCCACGTGCCGTCTGCGTCGCAATGGATCTTACAGATCTCGTGAGGATATTGGTAAAAAAAAAGTAAGCGATGGGTAACGATGTCATTATAAAAAAATTACATTTTTTTTATTAAGAGCAAATTACATAAGGTAAAACCATTTGGCAACAGCGCCCTCTCCTGTGAAACTACCGCAGGCTATTCATGTCCTATGGCTCTTTCGGTAAAGTCACGTAGATATAATTTTTTTTTAAATAAAGTGATTAAAAATATCACGATATTTCGATCGCAACACAAGCGGTCGTCATCAGGAACAGGGGGGTTAGCCTCTGAAGGCAAGCAGGCGACTCATCTGTGAAACGGCACATTCCTGCAAGCTTTGTGCGACAATAGCACAAATTTCAAATCTACAAATGGTTTCATTTAACAAACAAAATGAAATGGCCTCACTTTAATAGGTAAGCGAATAATTTTTTTTACAAACGTTTGATAAACATTCACAACAGACATGACCACAATAGCAACAGCAACACCAATAACATAATTAAAATCATAATCTGTATTTATACTGGAGGAATCCGATGAGCTATAAAGCTCTTTTCCACAGATGTCCAGTAGCAGAAAATGCTGAAAAAAATGTCCTAAACAAAACGCAACCAAGTCTTAAAAAACAAAAAAAACCCACACATTTTTAACTTCTACAAGGGGGGGGGTGTCTTCTTTCTCTTTTGCGATTGCAGTCACCTATTACCTGGCCCAGGTGGAGTCTCGTGACCCCGTGGTGCGGGGGTCGCTGTTCGTGCGTCTCCACGCTAACCGCTCGGTGACGGAGGAGGTGGCCGTCGTGCCGTGAGAGACTCGCGACACCCGGCACGGACGGCGGCTTCTTCATTCCTCTTCAATCCCCGCCGTCCTTGTTACCATTCGGGGGCATTTTTCTGCTCAAGCGCTTGTTGAATATTTCCCAGGTCGCTGGTAGACTGGAGGGCGCACGTCAATTGTAGCCACAGGCACAGCCAATAGCGGGATGTATACTCGATGTGGTGTGTACATATTTTCCGGGTCTCTGGTAGCCTGTATATATATCGAACTTCTTTCGCACCATACGTAGCCAACCGTGCTAATCCGAGGTGCATAGCTCCAGTGGCTTCCTAATATCGGAAGGAAGAGCGTTCCAGAGGGCCTCGGAAGCGCATCTGAAAGCGCGCGATGCTGTTCGATGACAAAAGTACGGAAGGTTTTTGTTTTTATCTTGTTGGACAAAACGTATTTTCTTTTTTGTTTGGAGAGACATTCTGAAGGTTAGTTTTTTTAATCAATGTTGATATCTGAAAATGCGCCCCCATCACACCTTAGAAGCGAAGCGGGATTTTAGAGCCTTGTTATAGCGCTTTGATGGGTGACTACCATGTGTGGTCAGAATGTGAGAGGATGTTGCAGGACAGCAGAGGGCAGTGCAAGTAGACTATGTTGTTACTCTGCTTCTATGCTGTGCCACGACATCTATGCTCCCCGCCTTCACCTAACCACACTGACCAGCGTGAAGTACAGTGAAATAAACCACCAAGATCCCTCGTCCAGCTGCGGATTGACAAACTCCCGTACAAACCGATGCCCCCACCACCCCCCTATACGATCGAACTGGTCAGAGAATAAGTCGTGAGCATTTGCGATCTTCTTCCACTGTGACCGGAGCGTACAGAACCTCCAGAAACTTCATGGAAGGACGCTCGGCGATGCGTCTGCTGTTTGTGGAGGGCCTTCCGGGGCCCCTTGTTGCCGTGACCTTTCGTTTCCGAGGGCCTTCGTTCCGCCGCCTGTTCGTCTCCTATCGTCTCCACATCGCCCGCCTCGTCCTGTCGCCCTGGCCCATCCACAACGGGTAGTGCATTCACACGGTGCACCCAATTAGGTCTTAGTGGCCACGCCCACATGCGCATTTTACACAGTGCATCCAGATTGTTAACACCACGCCCACGTGCACATTTACATGGTGCACCCAGGAGAGAATCATAGTCACACCAACATTGCACATTTACACAATTTGGTAAAATCCAAAGCATTAACAATAATCATCCTTCAAAATATTGTGCCTGAATTACATAGGCCGGGAAAGATACGCTTGTACTTTTAAATTCAAATTCCTCACAATTTTCGGAGTTCATTATCATACATGTAAAGTATGATCATGACCCATGATGTGAATGGAAAAATATTGTAAAAAAAAACCCCCGCAACTACAAGGGCAGAGGTCAGTGCAGCAAAACGTATTGTGCTGGGCTCTATGCTCCCACATATATGCAGCCCTGCCTCCGCAAACCTGCACGGTAAAATATGGTCAAATAACCCAAATGACCCGCATGGCGGGGGATGAGATCCTCATCAGGCAGTGGGGAATGTACAATGTCCACACGTTCATATCAAACTTGCCACAGGCCACCGGCTGCTTGAATCCGTTTGTGTGTCTGGGCCCGCGTGCAGGGAGCGCTACTGCACCTACAACGTGAGCGTCCAGGATGGAGCGCCTGCCCTGGCACCACTGGAACCCTGCAACCTGCAGAGATAGCAGCACCCGACACAGGCCTCCCGTCCTCTGGCTCGGCCATGGTGCCAGGCCAACCGGAGGGGTTGTGCCGTTCACCGTTCGGGGTTATGGTCAACAACGGTCTCCCACCTTGTCCCCAGTAGACCAAACCCAGACACCATTCTAAGTCAGCGCCCTCGGTTTATTAAAACTATATCGAATACTTTTGCAAAGGTCGACGCAATAACACAGTGACTTCGGTAGTTATACATGAGTTGGTGCAACCTCAACACAGATGCCAATTGCCAGACTGTTTGGGCCAAAAGGAGAGGTCCTGGACCCTCACACCAATCGGAACTGGGCAGCTCAGCATCGTGTGTTCTGGCGAATGAGTACAACCAGACCACTGCTGGGCATCCTCACACTGATTTATGCCAGGGGCTGGATAGACTTTCAACCCCCTTTGGCGTGGGCCACAAATTATTACAGAACTCAAAAGTCACTTCGACCAATGCAATAGGGTTTTGCAGTGACAGACGTGTCTGGCCCATGGATCATAGATTCTCCAGTCCTGAGTTATGCTTTTTGACTATTTGCACTCTCACGTCTGTAAAACTCTGCCGGAGCTGTCAACCCCGTATCAGTGCCCTACCTTATCACAACCCAATTGAGACCTTATTGGTCACCCCGTGCCCTTATAAATCTCAACGTTCATCCTACAAAGTCTCACCACAAAAAAAGACTTTACTCAATTTTTCCTGTACAAGAATACGGGCAAAGAGTATGGGTTGACCGCTATGCTCTCACGCACATGCAGGTGGACCGCTACTTACAATGAATTACGTTGTGGCGGCCCGAACTTTGGAATTGAAGATGCTTGAAAAAAACATGTTTTAAATACACATATGTAGGCCATTTGGCACGAGCTCTTGGTAACGAGGGAAAAAAAAAACTCTTAAAAATCACAACCAGGTGCTCGGTCATAGCTTTGCGGTGACAATAACATTGCACTTATACAGCGCCTTGCAGGCCAAAGGCATCAAGAAGCACTTAACAATCCCAGGGGGCCAGCCTCGCGTCGCAGCCTCGGGGGCAGTGCCTAAGAGCCCTTTGCTTGAGAAAGTGTGAGTTGCGTGGCGAGGGACACTGAAGGGCCGCCGAGTCATTGACGCGTCTCGCTGCCACTTTCTGCCAACGTGGCCTCCCCAGTAGAGCCCCACGGCTTGGACAGAACTCTCCGTCGCGGCGTGGTCGGCAGGGAACAAATGCACCACAAACAACCACTTGCGGTGGCGCAGGATATTTATTCAAGAGCTTTTGGACAATTCGTAAACATTTTTAAGGCAATTTGCATTCTTGTCCATTGTTTTTTTTTTATATATGTCAGAGCGTAGTTTGTATTGTTCTTGCATGGTGATTTAAACTAATAAATAGTTGAACTACTGGAATCATGAGCGCATTTCCTAAAGTACGATATCCATATTGATGTGCATGTACAGGAAAGTTTTGGCGAGTTTTAAACAGTTACATTCGAGATGTGAACCAATTGCTTACACTCAACTTGCTCATATCCACCCATCACCCACTCACGCAAACACTCATCTATCCAGATACTCAATAAATCACTCCCCCCTCCCCTCTCAACTGTTCCACCAGCGGCCACTTTCGGAGCCATAAACCTGTCCATCAAAATAATCCTCTCGCAAATGTCTTTATATAACGCTGACAATGAGGCCAGGCCAGCGCGAGATAGACGCTAATCCTCTCCCTATTTTATAGGTAGGCTTTGACAACCAATAATCATTCATAATTGGTTTATTTTGGGTTAGGTTTGAGTAAATGAAATGCATGTTTGTAAAGCCTCCTGCACCCAGACACAGCCAATTAATAAGTGTTACGTAACAAACGTCGCAATTTATGACTACTCCCAAACACACCAGTGGTGCTGAAGTAATCTCGCAACATAAAAATTGTTGAGAGATTCCCCTATGTCAGAGTGCAGTTGAATTTCCCAATAAACTCCCCAACACCCAGTCTTCTCCATCCTTGCACAGATATCACGGAACTGATAAAATTCCATCACGCGGTTCTCAAGATTCAGCTCCAGCCGATAGCTCACGAGGTTGCCGTGCAGCTGCCACCCCATGCACGGGTCTCCGTTTTCCACTGCACAACAGAGTCGCACCTGGGCCATGGCGAGCCGAGCCAGCCCGGAGGCGCCCCAGGCATGCCCTCGGTTTGTCGGTGCCATGTCGCAACTCCCGCAAACTCCCGCAAACGGCAACGAGCGAGATCTGCTGCTCGTGGTGGTTCATCTTGTAGTGACGCGAGCCCTGTCGTGTGGAACGCTCTACAGCACAAACTCAAGACCAAATATTGACCATTCGACCGCTTACGAGTGTGACCTAAAAACAAACTTAAATGACCACAGCGCTTTCAGCACGATTTTGCGTTACTTAAATTACTATTTACATCACATCAGTTTGTTATTCCACTGCGGAAGCCAACCCGTGTTGCAAACACCACACACAATGAACGAGTCGAGACTCACGCGGATGACACGGCGACGCTGTATTTGAGTTGTATACTGACGCCACACGCAATGGATGCATTATTAGGCCTGCCCGGGACCCGAGCCAGATTGACAAGTTTTGCTCGGCCAGCATATCACGGGTTGGTTCTGGCTTGGCACAGGATATGGCCAGCGAAAAACCACCTGCGTCGTGATGGCGCCACGTTGCCAAGGATGTGCTTATAGCGGTAAAGGTGTAATTGTGAAGGCAACAACAGGAGAGCACTGGACGCGTGTTAAGACAGAATGGCGCGTGCGGGGTCTCCGGGCACAGCCTTGCTCTCCGAGTCGCTCCGCTCGGCACCGTTGGCCGTGCCGGCGCCGCTCCTCTCCGTGTCGCCGCCGCCGCTCCCCTCTGTGCCACCGTCACCGCCCTCCTCCTCACCGTAGTTCTCAACGCGCATGTCGTTGATCCCCAGGTCGTCGTTTTGGTCGTAGCTCCGCTCATATCGTTCCACGGTCATCTCCGGGTCCGGCTCTGGCGCGTAGATGTTCTGAGGTTGGCAAGAAAACGGTCATGTTGCAGACGGATATGTTTCCAATGTCGTAGATGGTTTGTGACCGTCATCGTTGTTATCCTCGTCATAACTGCACACTTCAATAATCGATGTACGAAGCTGATGTTGGGTGAGGGGCGAGGGTCAGGGAGGGGTAAAAAGTGTCAGGGAGGTGACAACTCCGATTAGCACGGTTGGCTTTGTGTGAAATAAGTTCAACATGCATACATGCAAACATGAAAGTCGGGTGAGCGTCACTACATCAGGGGTAGACACGGACTCACCTGGAGGTAGCTGTTCCCAGCGGAGTCATCGAGAACCACGTGCACCACCATCTTCCCTGCCTGGATCTAAACAAGTTCCCAGGGACTGCCATTAACGTACGCACAGCCATGTGTGATCATCGTGAAACAGTAAGAAAACTGCAAACTAATAAAATCTAAATCAACAACTGCATTTGGCAGTGTTGCAGAAGCGCTAACCAAATAGTCATCATTCTTCACTTGCAATGGCTTACAAAATAAAAACATGCACATGGTGTCTATAAATATGCAAGGGTCATGTGAGGACACCTGAGGGTAATTAATAAACGACTGAGAGGGGGGGGGCACAGTTGCTGGGAAGCACGACGTGGGATTGGTTGAGAGGTTTAATTGGGAGAAAAATGTGGGAAAACGGGACGGTTAAGGAAAAGCGGTGATTGAAGCACATCATTTGTTAGTTAGTTCATTTATTTGGTATAGCCCTGTGAGCCATTCGGCTCTTGAATCGGGTGCAACCGCAAACAAAAACATGAACAAGAAAACATCTTGAAATGATTGTGACTGTGCAAACAGAAAATCCAGGAAAAAAACATCAAAATATTCCTGAAATAGCACCGTACACCAACGCTGTGTGCAAAAATCCCAGTGGGATGCAAGTCAAAGAACAACAACAACCACAAGACAACTAAGATTAAGGCCATCAGTCTAACTCCATACTACAATAAGCAAAACATGGCCAAAACAAAAAAAAACGTTTTCGAAATCACCAAAATAAAAGCCATAAATGCAATGTAACAGTGATCATAGGGACTGTGACCGAATCTTTAACAATAAACCACATAAATAAATTATAACACCAAAATCTAGAACCATATTTTAGGCCACTGAATAGCAGTGGCAGCTAGGGGTGTACAACTCCTCTAGAGCAGTTTTGAGTGAAGATCTCATAGGTAGTGATTCAAGTTGCAGTTTATTGGCAACAGCATTCCAGACCCTGGGGGCATCAATAGCAAAGGCCCTTCCTCCGGTTTTTGTATGGCAATAGGGAATGTGAATCTGGTAAATGAGCGAAGACCTGAGGTCAAATTTGTTCTTTGAAACAGAGAGGAGATCCAGTAGGTAGTCTGCAGATTTTCATGACGTCTGTAACATGTGACCACGAACGTGTACCTTAAGTTTTCAAGTCTCTCATCGTCGTGTTGTTGATCACGCTTTCATCTCGCTAATCTCGACCTCTCTCCGTCTCCAATATGCACCAAATTAAAATATTCCTCTTTCGGCACATCGGTTGTAACAACAACAAGGTCCCCGTATCTCTCACTGGTTCAAAAATACCTCCTATGCATTCCACACCCCCCCCCCCATCCCCACAATGATGCTCACCTCCTCCAACTTCCGTCCAAACTCCTGTATCTTCTTATTCCTGTGCGGAGTGGAGCTGTCGCCAGATAAGAACGGGTTCTTGGCAACGATCTGCGAAAAGAAATACCGCACACGAGAGCTCTCAGACTTACAGACACATAAAACTTTGGCAGGCTCGACGCAGACACGCCCACAAGCAATTGTACAGGGGGCGTCCACTGCTAGCAAGGAGGGCCTCCACGCGCTCTAGAAAGCCACTCTAAGAGGGTATTTCATCTGATCTTCCATACTGGTCAAACATCTTGGAAGAGAGGTGGGGATGGGGAGTCCCAAGCATTTTACCCAACCAAACGCAACCTAGCAATCGACTATTGGTGTATGTACGTGTATGTATATTTAACTTCCATGAGAGGGGTTTTTTTGGGTTAGATCGCGTATATATGTGTCGTCAAAACCTGCCACCACCCGACACAGCCAACTAGTAAGGGTTGTCATGTTAACAGAACATGCCAATTCGCCACAAGCACAGCATACCGCTGTTCACGTGACAACCCTTACATGGTGGCTGTCGGGTGGTGGCAGGTTTTAATGACACTTTTATTTACGCGATCCAACCCAAAAAAAACCTCCGTTATGGATGATATTGGTCACGAAAGCCTACGTGTTAAACTATGTTTAACTTATATTCTTAGTTTTTTCGGTAAAGTCACGTTGAAGAGAAACAACAAAATAACAAAATATATATAAAACAATAAAAAATTCTCACGACGTTTCGACCATAACTCAAACGGTCATCATCACACCTGATCATCACACCTGATGATGACCGTTTGAGTTATGGTCGAAACGTCGTGAGAATTTTTTATTGTTTTATATATATTTTGTTATTTTGTTGTTTCTCTTCAACGTGACTTTACCGAAAAAACTAAGAATATGAATTACTGCAGTCACGAAAGCTTTAAATCAAAATTTATGTTTAACTTGTTTTGCCCGTTGTTTCAACTGCTGTGCCACAGGGATTGCACTCAAATGGGCCTCTCGATTCATCCATTATTTAAGAAGAAAAATGTGCCCACATTTTAACCCACAGTTGTTATTTAGTTCTCTTCTTTAGCAATACCGAGAATCGGGAAAAAAAAAAACGATTACATGCATGGCTGTTGGCGATGCAGGTAGAGTTGGTGCCGATGCTGTTTTAATAATGATGATGAATGCAACGATCTGGTAGAGTTTGTGGGTCTGGCACCAGGTCCCTGATGTCGGCGAGCAGCCCCTCGAGGGTGGTGAACTTGCCGCCCAGAGCTCCCATGCCCAGCTCAAACTCCAGCTCCGGGATTCGAACCGCGCAGGTTTCGGACTGCGGGCACCGCACGGACCGTCCACATTGGCACAACCGCACACGCGCGCACGCACACACACACACACACGGCGACAACCATATAAGCCAACGTGTCACAACCGCATATACAAATCACAACCTCCAACGCTGGCCCAACACACGCGTGAACACAACACAACTGCCAACATTGCCACAACCGTGCACATGACCAGCGAGGGAAGGCTCGGGGGGATCAGTTCGGATATCGTTCGCCACCGACGTCAGCTGTGACTGGTATAAACTCACGTAGCCGGATTTGTTGCGCGGTGCAATAAACACACTACCAAAGACAAAGATCCCCCGTGTAGCCTGAACAGACTGTTGGGGTAAGTGCTGTTAACACACGACCACAAACTGTCACAACCACACACATGAATACATAACAATTCTGGCAAATCGCCCGAAGATGCTGGATGTAATTTCCAGCGGGACGTCGTACTCAAATTGTAAATGTTGTAGATTCACTCTTCAACATAACGTTGGGCTAAAATAGTAAACTATTTGTCTTTTGTCAACGTGACACTTTTTTTTACTGATTGGCCGTGTCGGGTGGTGGAGGGTTGCGACACGTTTATAAATAACGCGATCTAACCCAAACACCTTTATGATGACTAAATACAGAACTCGCCCATCAACACTGTCACAATCAATGACAAAGATCCCCTGCGTAGCCTTCGACAAACCGCTTTGGAAAGTGCTGTGTGCGCGAGCACCTATTAAGGCCGGCACAGCGCACAGGGTGGGGTAGTTGCGGTCGGTGTACTACACATCAGTGCTGATGTTTACACACCGGCACCAGATAACTAATTTATGGCTGGGCCGAGCACACACGTACGTACGTATTTAGAAACTTATTTCGCGCCAAAAAAGCAGTTCTAAAGAAATTCGTTTTAAATATAGATTTAAAAGTGCGTAGCTCCGGTGGCTTCCGAAACTTAACAAAGACACAACCACAACACACGCACAGCCAGCGCCACGCATTACGGTCAGCATGGCCGTCGGGCTGTGGGAGCCATTACCTTGAGTAGGTCGCGTGTCATGTCCGAGGGGTCGGTGACCCTGAGCGTGATTCTCGTCCCCAGTGGCTCGATGGCTCCTCCTGACTTTACCTAGGGTGGGGTAGAAGTGAAAGGTAAAGCCGCAGCACTGCAATTGCTCGTGAACGCCACTGCCCACCCAATGTATGTATGTAGAATTTATTTCGCACCGTACGTAGCCAACCGTGCCAATCGGAGGCGAGTTGCGGGGGAATGACAACTAAACACAAAAAGCAGTTCTAAAGGAATGAGTTAATATAGATTTAAAAGTGCACTCGACAGCATCCACCAGAGAAAGCACTCGTACAGCCCCCGCCCGAGAGGGCATTTGGCCTACTCTTCCACACCGACACCGTGGTGTAAACATTTAGACTGTCAGGTGGGCAGAGGTGATGAGAGGGGTGGGGGCAATTTATAAACGTTCCCATTGTTCCAACCACCAAGCCGGGAGGTCGCATCGAACCGGCCGACCTCCGAACTGCGAGTCCGGCGTGCGAACCGCTACGGCACGGCGGCAGCGTCTGCGGTGCTCAAGGGGCAATTGGTGGCAGGTCGTGGAAACGGCGAAAACGAGATCGGGGCGGACACAACCAAACGACGGCCGTCGTCGCTCTTGCGATGTCGATGCGACGCGGAGTTAAGACGAAGGGAAGGAAACCCCTGGCGTGCGCCGGGCAGGGTTAGGGCAAGTCGCACATTCACGATTGTGTTGGTCGGTTGCGCAAACGAACGTGTCATAAGAGAGGGCTGCCAACAGGTGATGGTCTCGTGGCTCGAGCAAGGGTTGGCAACCTGCGGCTCCGCAGCCGCGTGCGGCTCTTTAAGGACTGCTTTGTGACGTTATTCACACGCATTGGGGCTCTTCAAATATTGAGGGGTTTTTTTATCGAATTAGAAAAAAAATGTCGGGTTGCTGACCCCGGTGCTAGAGGAAGGTTGGCTCGTTGGGCTAGTTGAAGAGCTAGTGTATTAATGCTATGGAGAACAATTCCATGCATGCATCACGAGTGTAATAATCAATTTTAAAATCAGTGTATCATACTGTGAATGAAAAACAAGGTTAAACGTATTGATGAATTTAAACAAAACGGAAAAGTCACCTCGTTAGTCCGGTGTCCGCACACATCGCAGTTGGTGGCCATAATGATGACTTCCTTGAAGTGAGGGATTTCTGGGAGGTCGAAGGTCAAGGTCAAGCGGTAACGGCGCATTTCAATCTCACCAATAATTATCGGCAATGACGCAGGAGGGCAGATGACACAAAACAACGAACGACGCATCGAGAAGGGGAATTAAACGAAAAAGGGGAGGTAAACTAAGGTGGCTCAGGGGGAAAATGCTACGTCAGAGACTTGACATCCTCGGTTTCAATCTGGGTTTCAGCCACCCGTGCTTCCACCGACTTGTAAAGTGTAGCGAGTTACCGTATTCTCCGGATTATAAGATGCACTTTTTCCCCGCTGTATTTTTTTAAAAGTAAAAGTTGGGTGTGCATCTTATATTCCAGAGAGAATACGCCAGCGATGGGAAACCCAGACGGGTAGTCAGTGGCTCACACGGACAGCCCTCCTCCGCCTCAGTGGGCCACAAGCTAGCCATCGTGCCTGTGCACTAATCGTGACCCCACGAATCACCCTGGAGACACACCGAGAACAGGCCACCGTGAGAAGCTCCACGGGACGCAGGTTGCCCACCACTGGAATACACCTGTCTCACGGAAGATGTGTTAGAATAAAGTTTCTTAGGAGCACGTTTTGGAAGGCCTTTCTCCATTTCAATCGAAAAATACCCTGAGGATAAGAAGACACCACCAGCCATGTAGAATAATCTTCCATAAGACATCTCCCCCCATTTTAGCACGGTTGGCTAAGTACGGTGCAAAATAAGTCCAACATACATATATATACATTTTAAAGCAGAACATTCGTATTCATATTCTGGAAGAGGGTTCTCCGATTATAAAGACACTTTTTTTCAAATATGACCCCAAAGCCATGGGCGTGTCTTACTTTCCAGAGCATCTTACAATCTGGAGAACACAGTAAAAGTTGCAGCCAGTCACCAAGACTGTAACAAAAAACCATTATATGAAGATTTAGTTTTGCCACATAATGCTTCTAGCGACTATAAAATATTGAATGAGAAATTAAGCCGAGGATACGGATGAGCTTCATGTTGGTCGATGCCGGCGCGTTGCACTCGGGGCAGTTTGTGGAAAACTTGAGGACCTGGGGACAGAAGCACATGGCGATGTTTTGCCACATCAGTAAATTTGCGACCTTTGTAAACAACAGTCCTGGCTGACCGGTCCCGGGCGGCCACTCACCTCGTTTCTGAGGTCTTCGTCACCCCCTCTGTCCACTTCAGGCTTGGTTATCACCTCCTGTGCGGTAGTCACGTCTTCGTCACCTTCATCATCGTCTGCCTGTTCCAGACATGATCATCATCATGGCTTACTTTAAGCCAGTTCTGTCTGGACCAGCGACCAGTGACCCAGAAAATATTTTTGCACCTGAGCCACCTCGTACCTCTCACTATATGAATAATTTCACTTGGTTTAGTGAAAATCAAGTCCTGATCATCATCATCAAATACTGTATAAATGCATGGTGATGATGGCCTCCCTCCCCCCCGCCCCCCCCCCCCCCTCAAGACATTCCAAACATTTATCTGGACGAATGCGATAACCGGATAATGAATACACCATTTTGTTTAATGATTATGATTATTATTGCATGAAACTAGGTTGTGAATTATGTTCAAGGGGGTGCTCCACTCAGCCTCTCATCCCCCCGACACTGCTTAATCGACTGCCCCTTTGTTACAGGTCCACACTTGTAATAACCCTTGCCGTAGTGATGTAGATGTAATATTAACACAATGTACAGCCATGTGTCAATATACTGGGGGTAGTTTGGACCACAATTCACTACGTGCAGTGGACGTATGAAGTGAAAAGCGAACAAAATGTGAAGTAGAGCCTTGGAGAAGCAACAGAGGTGGCGCTGGGGTTGAACAAGGGTTGGAGCTAGCAGTTTGGTTGGCAAGTTGGTTTTGGTTATGAGTATAGCTAGCATTTGGTAGGCTAAGTTGGTAATAGTTGGTGGTAGGATTTGCTTGGGTTCAATCCCGACCGTGACGCCTGTATACTTGGGAGTTTGCATGTCTCTATCCCCGTGGCCGTCCTCGGGTTTTTCCCCTCCCCATTTAAGATCAACGTCACGCGTTTAAGAGTACTTGGCTGCGATAAAAAATTCCACTTTTAGTTTCTGGAGGAGACGGCGCGCCGCTGACCTTCAAGCCGAGCGCGACGTCCTGCGCGCGGCTACGCTCGTAGTGCGAGGTGTGCAGGCCCTCGTCACGCTGCGGCGCACTCGGGTTCTCCACAAAGCTGTTCCCCGAAGGGTCATCGATTACCTGAGGGCAAGGCAAAGGATCGTTATTATTATTATTATCGTAAAGCAACGAAACAACATGACAAACGTATGAAGATGTTCATACTAAGGGAGATGAAATGTCTCAAAACCAATATGCCTTGCATCATTATCTTATCTTAACCATTCCAAAGCCCAGCAGCTATCTAGTCAAGGGGATTTACAGTGGCAGCTGTCCCCTATATGGCACAACGTTTAAACAGCACTGGCCTGCAAATGGGCATTAGTCTAGCAGCATGGGCATTGTTGCCATGCAGTTTTTCCATATTTCTCCAAAAGTTATTTTCCAGGTAATTTTCCCAATCTGGCAAACTTTCACGGTAAATCCTCCTGCAAAGTTCGACGAAAAACGCCGAAGGGACGAGAGGGAACGGTGCCACTGGCGATACACCATGGCGGAGGAGGCCCACCAGCGTGAACGGCGACCGCAGCTCCTTGAGCTCCTTCAGCTTGGCGACGAACGCGTCGATTTTCTCCGCCGCTTGCGGGTCTTGCGTCTGCGCGCGGGAAGCGAAAAGGTTGAACCAACGAGCTGGAACAGGTAAAAATCACTCAACGACTCTACACCGTTGAGCCTTGACCAGAATTTCAAACCCACAACTTTCTGATTGCAGGTCACGCACTCTACCCACAGAGCCACTCGGCCACAGAGAATACACCGACCCTTTAATGTGGACGCATATGAGAAGCAAAACCCACACCGCCTCGGAGGTAGCACTCGTGATTGAGAATCGAAGGCAGCAGTGGGCATGGGTGTATGTATGTAGAACTTCTCTCGCATCATAAGTAGTCAACCACACAAATCTATTGGATATATTTGAATAAGAGCTTTATAATGATTGGTTTTTTACCCTTTTATCTGGCAACAAACTGACACCTTTTTTTTACAAGGAGTCATGTTTGCAGTGACCACAATACCTGCGGTCAGAATGCAAACAAAAAACATAACTCTGATAATGTATGTAGATAAAAGGGTAAAAAAACAATCATCATATTTTGCTACTGGCAAAGGAGTTTTCAATGGTGTAAAGAGCTTTATAGTTCATCGGATTCCTCCAGTATGAATATTCTGATTCTGCTCGGAGGTGCTGCGCTCACCATGCGTTCAGGTTGGTCCTGCTCCAAGCCGGCGACAGCGCGATCTATGAGGCCCTCGATGGTGGAGAGAGCTGCATGCGTACGCACAAACACACATGCACACACGTGCACGTGAGAACACGTTAACATAAAAACATATGCAGTGACACGCAAAACACGCACGCACACAAGTACATACGCATACATGCACACAAACACATGTATGTAGAATTTATTCAGCACCGTTCATAGTCCAACCGTGCTAATCAGAGGAGCAGGGGAGGGACAACAAACTAATTACAAAGATCAGTTCTAAAGAACACTCGCACAGGTATATTCAAACGACAACAGCGACAGTTCGCTAGTAAGTGTTGGTGATGTCACCACAATGCTTGTGCCAGGCTAGGTGCACTGAGGCCACGTAAAATGTTGATGACTCACTTTTTACGATGTTGGTTATTGCAATATCAGTTTCCCATAACTCTAGATGCATATTTCACATTTTTGTTGCATGTTTTTTTTTCAAATTCAACTGCAGTTCACTCAGTAAACACCTGCTCATAAATTTTTCTAACAATTACAATTTATAAAGCTGATAACAAGCATGATCTGCAGGTCCTCCGGTTTTTCCCTCCACATTTAAAATCGACATGCGGTTAGAGTATTTTGCTGCTATACATTTCCGCGTGATAAACCACTTCGGGGCGTGATCAATTGTGGCCAGGTAGCTTCTGAAAAATAGCTATGTAGCTCAGTGGGCCTTACCTGCTACAATAAAAAAAATAAGTTTAGAATGAGTTGATAGTCTGTGTGGGCACTCACCTCCTTTCTGTGTGAAGGCTGGGATCTCAAAGTCGAGCTCGGGGATGAGCGTGGTTGCACTGCCGGCCTTCACCACTTCGCGGTCCAGGTCCTATTGAGGGTCAGGGGTCAGGTTGCTCGGTCACACGGAAAACTGGCTTTCATTTACAACCGGGCAAGAGCTCATTATGAAAGCAATAAAATACAGCGTGGATTTATATAGAGTTGAAAACGCAAACAGCATCTCTCGAGACGCTGTGCAAAAAAACGGTGGTCATTTATGTTGAAATCCAACAATTTCTGTAGATGATGATAAGACCCATCACAACAAAAGAATACGTGCAGGCTGAAAACACAAAGGTTTAAAACTGAACAACAGGCAAATCTGTGCTGCTCACAAACAGCAGGGAAGGCACGACCCCCATGTCACGTGCTCACTGCACTGCTATGTCCAATTCGTTTATTAGTCTTTCGTCACGGTTACAATCTCTAAAAGCTCAACGTGACCGTGTTATTGTTTTGGCCACCAATAAAAAATATATATAAGTTGAAAATGCAGCCGTCCTAACAGGTAAAACAAAAATGTTTAAGCCTGGACTTCAAAGGGGGTAGGTGGAGTCAACAGCACAGATGGGTGGGAGTTAGACGATTGGGGCACCAGAGGAGAATGCGCCATTTCACTACGCATTGATTAATCGATTAAAAAAACACATCACAGTATCATGTTCGTTAACTGATAAAAAAAAAACGGTTTATGAAAACGACAGGTTGTTACATTTGGGCTAACCAACTTATAAACATGTGACAATTCAAAATTGTGGCTTCTTCAATCAAAATCGCAACCATGAATCGTGACGAGCCATGGAGATTACAGGCAGGGGTTGATCGTGAACATGCCGTACGCCGAGATGTTAACTACCTCGCCTGGTATACATAAGGCCGTGGGTTAGATCCCGACCCTGATACCTGCTTTATATTTGGCGTTAACGTGTCTTTCAACGCAGTCACGTGGATTTTTCTCCCGGCCCTCCGGTTTTTTCCCGTGATGAGCCACTTCGTTGAGCCATCATTTGTGATAGCCAGGTCGCTCAGAGGGTTAAAATAAAAAAATAGTTCAACACAGTCCCCCCTCCCCCATGCCGTCTCAAGAGGCGAGGCTGCTCTTCACCTTGGGGCTCCGCACGCTGAGCTCGTAGCGCACTCCCTTCTCCTGCACGCGCCCGGCCGACAGGACCTCGCTGTTGGCGAATCCGCAGTGCTCGCACGAGAACGAGCTGAGCACCACCTCCCTGAAGAACGGGATGCGCGTGAAGAGCAGCCGCGTCACTCCCTGCAAGGGCGCAAAGGACGACCCCGACGTTAGCCTCGCGGACTGTGGCCTACTACGAACACCACTGCTTGCCCCGACACACGGACAAACACTACTGACTGCTCGTCATGACAGTACCAGTTAAAAAAAAAAGATACAATTAGAACGATGCGACTGCGAGAAACACCCATCCCTAACAATACCGACACAAGAACTACCACCACCATTGATTACACCACTTAGCCATGACTCCATCTCTTGACAATACCACGAGTTATGATACGACCAACCCTAAATTGAGTACCAAACCATAACAACAATGACTCTGCCACTCTAACCCAGACAGAGTACCAAACCATAACAACAATGACTCTGCCACTCTAACCCAGACATCAATGCCAACACTGACAATCATGACACCATTACCAACCCTAACTCCGTCGCTACGCCCGTCTCTACAGCTACCCCCTACTCCCTCCCTGGCCGCTATCGCCATCCCCACAGCCAGCACGCACGTTCTCGTAGCACCGCATGCACAGCGACTCCATCTCAGTGGTTTCCTGGTCGGGGTCTCCGGCGTCAAGGTCCGAGAAGACGGGGCCTCCGGACCGCAAGCCGCGCGCCTCGGCGTCCTGGTTCGTAGACATCGCCTACTCGCGACAACAGCCAAACGGCGGTAGCGGCAGCAGCTCCACAGCAAGACCAACACGCAGCAGCAGTCGACAAGGAGCGCAGTCAGAGTCAACACGCAGCAGCTCCACCACCCCACGTGTTCCTGTACAGTGCCGAGGGTGACGTGCAGCGTCCTCCGGCCAATCAGACAGCGCCGTTTAATTGACAGGTGCGGGAGGGCGTGACGGATGATATAATAGTAATAATAAAAGTAGCACTAACTAGGCGTCTTTGACAATGTCTCAAGGCACCACGCGTGAAAACTAAAATCACGAAGATAATAAAGAACCAGGTAGCAAAATAAGAGGCAGAAAGGGAGCAATGCTAAATACACTAAAGCCGAGTTAAAGTTGTGTTCCTAATCGGGGCTTGACTATTTATATACTTACCGGATGCGACGTCACCGGCACGAGTCAGTTAATCCAATGGTTAAATGTAATGGCGCTGAAGAAAGTTCATTACCCGAAACGTCTCCTATTATATATTATATTTTTTTCGTTTTAAAGCCACGCGGTGCTTATTTACGAATGTTTTGAGTTGTTTTTGTTAAATCTGACGGCGGGTGGTCGAAGTCACATCCGGATATTGGCGTTGCTCATTACCGGATGTGACGTCTGCGGTTAAGGATACGGAAATCCGTGACGTCGACCTCTGAGGCCGCGCTCTGTCGACCACGTGACGCGCTTCGCCCTCCGCCCCCGAATGACGTCACACGACCAATAGGAGAATCGCAGGAAAGGGGGAGGGGACGAGAAGTGAAAAAAAACTCCCGGACGTGACGTCGAAACAACGACACCCCCCCCGGTGCTCCGACCACGTGATGCGCCACGGACCAATGAGAAGGTGAGTGCTCCATCATTCAAACCGGGTCGCCGGACGTGACGTTCCGGAAACGGAACTCGCCCTGCCCCACACGTGACGAACGTCGGACCCCCCCCCCCGCCCCTGAAAGGGAGAAAGCGGAGCACCGCCCGATTCGGAAGCGGACGTGACGCGCCGGAAACGGAAACAGTTGCTGGGGGGGGAGGGCACGTGACGCGGCGCCGGCCAATCGCAGCGCGTCGCGCTAGCACATGGAGTGAGCAGTGCGGGAGGAGGCGCGTGCGGCGCGGCGCGGCAAGGTTACGGGTAGCCGGGCCGGCTTCGACTCCTCTCACTCTCTACCCACCCCCCTCCTCCTCGCTCGCCTGCCTTCCTCGCACCGATCAAACGAACTTTCCTCGAGCCGCCTCTTGTCATGGGCAACGTAGCGGCGGCTCAACCGCCGCCGCCGATGATGTCCTCGCCGGGGTTCCCTATGCCGCCGCCCGGGATGCCGGGCCTCGTGGCCCCGCAGTTGCCTCCGCACGGGGCCTCCGGAGCGACTGCCGGGGCGGCGGGGTCGGGTGGGGAGGCCGCGCCGCGATCCTCGCTGCCCAACCCGGGCACGTACGACGAGCTGCACCGCAAGTGCAAGGGTGAGTGAGGGTCGGGAGTTACGTGGAGGAGGGGTCGCGGTGGCGGGTAGATTACGGGAAGAGCGCTGGTGGATTCTTTTGGGCGAAAGGTCAGCGGTGCCATCACGTGCGGCGGGCGCGAGGCCTCGCTCTTGTCACCCATCGCCAGGCGCGGCGTATCGCGAGCGCTCTTCATTCATTCATTCGGCGGTGTTGAGGGCGCTGTCGCGGCGAAGTTAATCATTCTGAGCAAAGCCTCCCGCGCTCGGGAGTTCGTTCTGACTCGTTTGGAGGCCCGGGGCTCGCACGGAGTTTGTCGTGAGAATGGCATTCGCAACTCTCTCGTACATGATCCCACCAACGCTTGTCTTTAAAGCGATGTTGTTCACAGGCGTGCATGGTAACCCGCCTCATGCCTTGGAGTCCCAAGTAGCCAAGGACCCATGATGGGATTTTTTTTAATTGTTTGAATGGCCACTACTGCAGCACGTGCCTTTTATAATTGCCACCACCCCCTGTACACCGTTTCCAAAGATCATGGACGAGACACGCTGCTCCTGCAGTGAATAATAAGGATAAGGGCCATTCCGACAGCAGTCATGGCTGTCCCGAAGTGAGAGACGAGCGATGGGGATAGGGGTGGCTGCCCAGTTCAAGGGCGGTTAATTGCCCTTGCAGGGCCGTGATTTTTGGAAAATGGATCGTGGTTAATGATTATGAAAATGAAGTTCATTAAGACCTCACCGAGTCTCAATACAGTTTAATGAGTTTCCTGCAACGTTTAAATTATTGGATCATTACAGGCATTTCGCAATGTACGCGGTCACTGCATCACACGCTTTCAGATGCGCTTCTGCGTCCGTCTGGAACTCCCTATTCCAATATTAGGAAGCCACTGGAGCTATGCACTTTGAAATCTAAATTGAAAACTCATTTCGTCAGAACTGCTTATTGTGTAGAGCTGTCCTTCCCCCGCACCTTCGACGAGCACTGTTGGCTACGTACCGGCGTGAAAGAAGTTCAACACACACGATGGAATGCAATTTCCATAATTGACCCCCCAGAATGTCTCGCTTTCCTGCATATGAACGTGACCATTCAGACGGTGGCTCAGAGCTGTACACTGGAGATGACCACTGTCTTGTACGAGTTGTGCATGTCTACAACCCTTTGTCATTCAAGCGATGAATGAGAGCCTCACTCGCCACGCGGTTGCGGCTCGTGAAGGTTATTTTACTTCACGCTAGTCAGTGCGGATTGGTTGCCCATAACTTCACTACCCTGGTCGGTGCAGGTTTGGTGAAGGCGAGAAGCACATGCGTTGGAGCACAGTACAGTATAACAATGTCATTGTCTGCAATGGCCCCTTCTGGCAGTGTAGCCCCCGCAGCAGCCTACACAACGTGTTATGCATAGTGATGTCTGGTCTAGGTTTAGGTTTTATTTCGGCATAGGTAAAACCAATCGTGCAATAAATGCTCATTTTCGACGGGGACTTGGTTCCAAAAACCTGGTTACAGCAAAAAAAAACCGAACAAATGAATCCAAAACAACTTTACATGGTCAAGTTTCCGAATGGCTAGGTCGTGCATCAACATGGTACAGCTAGCAACAACATATACAAGGCTAATAGAACATGTCACATGCAAAAAATATATCTTTAACTTAGTCTGCAAAGCGGAACCATCAGTTGCACGCACACTTGAAATAAAATCTGAGGTTCAAGCACTGTCCAGGATCAACCTTGCTTGACTTCCAACTTCTAACGGCACATTCCGGATGATTGTTTCACGAGTTGAATTGCATAAGCACTCGAGCTATCGGTTTGCAGGTTTTTAATAAATAATCATGACAGAACTATTCTGTTTCCTTGTGTTTTGTGACTGTCTCATACATTCTCCATGAACAAGACTTGGAGACGTTATAGGTGGAGCCTTCTTTATAATTATAATAAAATAACCGTGTAATAACAGATGTGTTTTAATAATCCAAGGTAACGCTATCTCGAGTGCTATGAACGTGCGGCAGGTTTCGTCTGGTGTGCCTCCCCCTCCAGCAACGTGTGCTGCCCCAGTAATTGCTGAGCATTCATCAAAGTGACCCGAAATGCCCTCTTGTGAGGATGGGCGAATGACGGAGAAGAGAGGGTTTGAGATAAAGTGGTACAAAACCCACAGCCTGTGACCAAATCGCCAAATCATGGAACTAAGCAGGTTTAAGCCTGGATGGTGCTTTGTATGGGCAACCACCATGCATAAAACAGGTGTTGTATGTGGTTTCGGGGCTACTTTGTAAGCAGTGGACAGTTCAGCAGAATCCCTTGTTATATTTTATTACGCTCCGATGTCCAATACTGCTGCCCGCCTCCACCAACGCACACAAACCAGTGTGGTGAAGTATGGTCAAATTGCCCCTATAACCCGCGCCACAATGGATCGACATAGGGCTGTACATTTACATCGCACAACGTGCTGGCTAGCACTGCTTTTGGGTAGTGAGAGTTGTGCCTGTTGACTTTGTATTCTGACCTCTCCTTTACTGTGTTCCCCCCACCCCTCTCCTTGCCATTCATTCCCGATTCTGACCCTCTCCCTTTTACCCGCACCACTTTGCATCCACTGCCATCCCACAAACCATCACCCGCCAACCTCCAACATCCAGAGGTGTTTCCCGCACAAATGGAAGGAGTGCGGCTCGTTATCAACAAAGGTCTTAGCAACCACTTCCAGGTAAAGTCACTCGGGGGGACGAGGGTCGGTTGGGGTCGCGGGGGCCAGGATGGAGAGGCTCTCCTGAAACTGAAACTTCGCATTAAAAGGAGTCTTAGATACTCCAGATCTCTTAAACCGCCCCCTTAATCATACCCTCTTCGCTTGCAAATTCGTACGGTTGCCATTAAACGCATGTTTGTTTAAAAAAAAGTTGTGAATCGCGACCGCAGCTCAGAGATTTTGTTGTTAGCGGAAGAGAGGAGTGAGGTCTATGAGGGTACAGAGTAGAGAGAAAGGCGATTTATAACATTGATAACATGTATGGGTGGTTTAGGGCGTTCATAATGGCTGTGTTGGAGAACTAAGCTAGCACCACTTAGATCCTTCCTGGGCTTGAGTGATTTCAGCTGCCCTTGATTAGACCAGATACTCATTTGCATGAAGTTGATGGTTCTCGGTCGAGTTATACCAATCGCTGCACAATATCGGCGTTCGTGGAAGGCTGGAATACTCCTTTTATTAAAACTTGACATTGAACGCGAATAGGCATGTTAGGTTGCATTGATGGAAATAGATTCTTGCAAGGAGGTTGCTGGGTAGCTTTGAGGTTGGAGCACTGAGTCAGCACTGCTGAGATTATGGGTTCGAACCCAGGTTTCGGCTATCCGCTGTCAAACAGCGTTCTGAAGCGCGGCAAGTTGATAGTCTTGTTCCGGTTATCAGCGAGACAAGATGGTGCACCTTTTTGCAAAAGGTCCCAATGGAAACGTCTTTGTCTCATGACATGATTTTGTAGCAGCGTGATTGGACATTAATTAGGAGGGGAAAGAGCAAATAAACTGAAGTAACCCAGTCTGTTGTGAACAGCAGCATCTGCAACTCCGAGCACCAGCTGTGTTTGCGTTGTTCAAACAAGCGCTGTCTGCCGCCAAACCTGCACTAATTCGTGTGGTCAAATATGGTCAACTAACCCCATACCTGTCAACCCCTTTTCAGTGCCCTACCTTATTACAGACCAATTCAGACCTTATTGGTCACCCCGCGCCCTTATACATATCAACGTTCTTCCTAGAAAGTCCCGTCACAAGGGAGAAACACAAAGAAATAGACAAAAAAAAGCTATTTTTACTCAATTTCCTTGCAAAAGAATTACGGGTAAACCGTATGCGTTGACAGATATGTAACCCCGGCAACCCATGCTGGCATGAGGAGGCCATCATTCAGCAGTACATCGATAGAAGGGCTGTACGCAATGCAGATACGTTCCGCCTTAGGTGTGCGTGTGTCTGTGAAGCATGCGCTGACTGTGTCTTTGTTAGGTGAGTCACACCGTGAACCTGAGCACCGTCGGCCCGTCTAACTACCACTTCGGCACGACCTACGTGGGCACGAAGCAGATCAGCCCCACTGAGGTGAGATGCCAAGACAGCTGCAATCGCAACCGTTCGCTCGCATTCATTCAAGTTGACAGGACGGCTCTCATACGTATGGGTGCAAGGGGACAACCCCCTCTATAAAACTATTGGTCTGCCTCTCTTCGAGAGCAGCAGCATTCTTGGCCATCCACAGCTGGCTATGCAAATTATTTCTCAACTCTGCCTGGGATGACCATAGGTTTATAAAAGCCATGAAGTGAGTACCCAGGGAGCAAACATTTTGCCCCGGGGAGGGATAAAGTTGTAAGGGAGTGGCATCACCCACACCAAGCCGCCTCGTGATCTGCCAGACTTAATAGGTGCTCTCGCTATAAGAGAACTTGCTCCAGAAAGGCATCCTGGTGGGCTAATAGGTCGGTGCACAGAGCTGGCACCGCAGAGGGTCCTGGCTTTGATTCCAGGCAGGCACCCTCTGGTTTTAACTGGGTTCTCAAATGCAACGAGTTGATGATCTCATCCCTGATCACAGATGAGATTGCACACGAAGTATCACACTAAATTTAATTCTGCTTTTTGGATAAATTCAGCTCTGAAAATGACATTGGTTTTTGTTTCGATGTGTCTGACCTTACTCTCTGTAGCAGCATGTTTGGGAAAGTTCTTCATGTGGACCAAAGGACACTTGAAGGGATCTCAGAAGCAGTTCTGTGATATCCGCTTGTGTGGGCCGTTCACTCGCACACAAGTTTCTTCATCTCTTGACATGACGCTTATAGCCCAGTTGGGATAGGACTGGGGAGAAAGACAGAGCACGTGCTCTTGAAGTTTGTTGAAGTTTAACGGGAGATCATTGTGTCTCTGCATGTATCCCTGGTATCCGCGTGTTCCCTGTGGCAGTGTTTTCCCGTTATCATTGGCGACGTGGACAACACGGGGAGCCTCAATGCCCAGGTCATCCACCAGCTGACGCAGCGGCTACGAGGGAAGGTGGCCCTGCAGGTTTGTGGATCAGAGTGAAAAAATATAATTACAGCAGATTATTTGTATCTGCAACGTGCGTGCCATAAGCATTTAATCTTCCTCTACTTCCCCCTTCTCTTGTCCCCTCGGCTTGAGTTGTGTGGTGCTTGTACCCACACACCTGCGTTCATTGGTACAGGAATATAAATAGCTGTGGGTTTGTGTAGAACTTGTGCTGCTGAATTAGCTCATGTTAGCTAAGACGCGATGTCAAATTACATACAGCAGGGTTCTTCAATTAGGGAGGGTCCCCGGGCCACATCCGGCCCACGAAGGCTCTTGGAGTGGCCCGCCTAGCTATGACCTGCCGAGAGATACGGCTCCCCCGGGACACGGAGAGATTGGTGAGATGAAAGCGAGATATATAAAATACTGAGATGAGAGATCTGGAGACGAGAGATGTACATTGGTCACCTGTACAGAAGTCATGACGCCAATATGCCATGTGACACCATAACTTCTATATATGTGATATTGCGATAAAACGTGGAGCACCGAAAGGTGCATATTTTTTTCATTGTGACCTGCAGGAAAATATAGTTGGAAGGACCCAGATTTATGGTTTTGGTGCTTAGATTTTCAGCGTCATGGCAGAGGAGTTGAAGGCACGGTGTATCTGAGTCTTTAGTCATACTCAGTGACGTAATCAAACAGGCTGTGGCAACCACATAAAAATTTTTAGTCGCACTTGAACTCCCCCGTGGAATCTGTATTGCAGACGCAACCGTTACCAATCGCGCATTGGCTCTGCGAGCCCCCCCACTGACTATCAATGCGCTACTGTTCAGCCCCGTGTCTGTAAGAGATGTTCTTGGTTCCAGAGCATTCAGACAGGGCCGGGCAGTGCAGTAGACAACATCCTGTGACCGATCAGCATGTGTGTATATTGACTTTCTTTCGCACCGTACGTAGCTAACCTTGCCAATCGGTTGGCTATGTACGGTGTTGTGCCACCAGACAGAAGGTGACACCACCCCAACCACACGGCCTAAGCTTTGAACGCATGTGTGGCCGTTTACAGAGCCCCATATTCCACCCTTTGTGGTGGTGGGGAGGAGGGTTGTCATGGAACATGACGCATAGCTTGTTGGTGGAGATCGTGTCTGCTGCACTACCGCTGTTTACCACCAGGGTGGAGCAGGCAGCGAGACGATTGGAATCCTTTATAACGCCAATCAATGATTGACCAAGACTGGACAGCAAGCATCGGGTTTTTTTCCAGCAGTGTCCGTCCGCGTGCCTACCTTGTGCCTCATCGATGGGTTGATGTCGTCATTGTATTAACTGTTACTGCTTCGTGTGCCACACCTAGCACACACATCCAACAAGTTACAGATTTCACGTTATGTAACAAGGGACACTAATGCATTAAAAATAACAACTTGCTGCGTACAGTAGTCAAGCCAGTGTACATTTGGCTAAAACCTATATGACCTTTATCCACCCTTTAACCTTTTAACCCTTTACTTTAACCATAAACTTTAACCTGCGCTCAAACCCTTAACTTTAACCCTTTTTTCGTTAACGTTCGTCTGTGATTTTCAAATTAATTTCAACCCTTAACCATAACTTTATCCCTTAACTTCATCCCTCTATCCTTTAAATTATTTAAATGTTACCCTCATTCTGACGCTTAGCTTTAAACATTAACTTTACCCCTCGCTCCAAGCCATATCCGTTGACATCAATCAGTAATTGTGTAAAATCAAGTAGGTAAAAAATAAACAACAAAAATCACGACGTTTCGGCCACAACACAAGCGGCCTTCATCAGGTGAAGGGATCAGGCTGTCTCGAGGACAGCCGCTTGTGTTGTGGCCGAAACGTCATGATTTTTAAATTTTGATTTAAAGCTTTCGTGACTGCAGTAATTCATATTCTTAGTTTTTTCGGTAAAGTCACGTTTGTTGTTTTATTTTTTACCTACGTGACTTTACCGAATAGAACCAAAGAGTATGGATCCTTGCAGTCACGAAAGCTTTAAATCTAGAATTAATAAAAGTAGGTTCTTGACATTGTGTAATTGGCTTTGGGCACTGCACAAATCACCCACGCAGGTGTGGTTTGGTAAAGATTCTCCACTGCCAGTCACTTCTCTTCACATAATATGCGATTAGCACAGTTGGCTAAGCACCTCCGATTACCACGATGGTCTTCGTACGGTGCAAAAGAAGTTCAACATACATAAACATACACCATAGAATGTGGCTTAGTCAACTTGGCACTCCAATCTTTACAGTCGCGCGCTGCCTGCCATTTATTGGCCATTCATTCACCCGTCGTGGTCATGACCTCTGACCTCTTTGCGTGTCCGCTCTTATTGCCTCCCATCCTCCCGAAATTTCCGTGACCCCCGCGCGCCTGTGTGTGTGTGTGTGTGCGCGCGCGTGCGCGACCGTGAGCAGACCCAGCAGTCGAAGTTCATGACCTGGCAGTTTGACGCGGAGTACCGGGGGGAAGACTACACGGCCACCGTGGCGCTGGGGAACCCGGACGTCATCTCCGAGTCGAGTAATTAATGCACGGAGACCGTTGCATGCTTGTCGTCCTGTTTGCTAAGGTCGTATTTGCTATCGTCGTGTAATGTGAATGTGTGCGCACACACACTGGAGCAGCTGTGTGTACACTCTGGGTTAGTTTGGATATATTCTGCAGTAAAAAAAAAATCTTACCTTCACAATACGTGCATCCAAGAGTGATCGTAAGGATGGACAATATACAATTCACACATTGCTATCGGTTCATGTAATCACTGCAGCCACTATACACTATAATGCATTCCTGAATCAAATTGTCATGATATGTTAAATCATGGGGGGTGGTGAGTCTTTTGGGACAGAAACCAAAGCCCAAGTTATTTCCCACAATGCTGTTTTGTTTTTCCCTGACGGATATCAATTGGCTTCCATACTACTAATGAATACTTACTAATGCATGATAGAAAGCGCAACATAAGTCATGCGTTTTGAGTGTTTTTTCGTAACTTGTTTGACAGCGATCTCTTTGCATTTGCACCACTGTTATCTTCCCACCCTTCTCTCTTGCCCTATTTCATTCCCTCCCACCTATCCTCTCCATGCTTACTCCCTACAACCGTCTTCCACCCTCTCTCCCAACATCGCTCCCATCCATCTCCATCCCTCCTTCCCCGGTGCCCTCGCTGTCCGTCCGTCCCTCTCTCCGCTGCAGTGATCATGGTGGCGCACTACCTGCAGAGTGTGACGGAGCAGCTGACGCTGGGCGGGGAGCTGGTGTACCACAGGCGGCCTGGGGAGGAGGGTGCCGTCAGCACGGCAGTGGCGCGATACACCGGTGTGTGGTGTGCGGGGGGTGGTGGTGGCGGCACCGTGGCACGGTAGCACGGGTCGGTGGTGGCACGGTGGCACGTAGGCGGTGGGGGCCCATGGCACAGTAGCACGGGGAGCGGTGGTGGCCTGTGGCACAGTAGGACGGGGAGCAGTGGTGGCACGGTAACGCGGGGGGCGGTGGGGGCCTGTGGCACAGTAGGACGGGGAGCGGTGGTGGCACCGTGGCACAGTAGCAGCGGGGGGCGGTGGTGGCAGCGTGGCATGGTAACACGGGCGCTGGTGGGAGCTCGTGGCACCATGAAACGGTAGCACAGGGGGCAGCAATTGGTGGCCCTGAGAGGCGGCGGGAACCTCGCAAAGAGCTCTGAGCTTTAACTCGTCGCGATTCGCTCGCGTAGCAGTCTGTTGCAGTGGTCATCACTTTCGTTGGTGACTTGGGTCACACTTGCAAAAGAGATTATTCGGGTCTCTTGAGTTTTTGCCTGGTTAAACAAAATAACTAGAATCTTAAAATGGATCGGTTGGTGGGATAATGTGTGCAGTTGGACGGGGCTCTCCATGAGAGACGCTGAATATCGCCAAAGATGGCAAGCATCTGTCATGGACATCAACTTTTTGTGCCATTTATATTGCAGTAGTTCTGACCCTGACATCACCTAATATAAATATAATCTTTTCAACACAGTGCATATAAGTATAAAGCTGTATTATAGCTCGCTTTGTTTTAGGATTATTTGTCAATTATCAAACCGCACGGCAAGTTCATAATTGATTGTTAAGCTGCAGCCATTAAGCACCAGCCTCAGGGCCCTTCAGTCACCTCATGGTATGTTGAGAAAGCCAGCAAACACACAGCAGAATTTTTTTTGTTCAATATTTCGATATGTGCAGCAAACCATTTTTTTCAGTTTTATGCACGCAATTATCATTAACGCTAAACACAAGAAATTAACAACCCTGCCATGTGGTTTCGTAGGCTCAAACTGGGTGGCGACGCTAAACGCCGGGCTTGCCAACATCCACGCCAGCTACTACCAGAAGGCCAACGAACAGGTGAGTCTATGTTTTGTGGAACTTCTTTCGCACCGTACCTAGCCAACCGTGCTAATCGGAGGTGCGGGGGAAGGACAACAAACCCAAAAAGCAGTCCTAAAGAAATTCGTTTTTATTTCTGCCACATCACACCAAGTTCTGAATGTGAAATTGTCGTTGTTGCTATGTATCTACATCAGCAGCCATACAAAAGAATAGACGCCAAGTTCTGCCACACCACACCATGTATTACCAAACCGCAAGATGTATAACGCTAGGCTGTTGCACATCGCTATGTGATGCCATTGCCACGCCACCACCACCACGTGCTGGCACGCCGCGCCGCACGTCCGCACCGCCTCACCCGAGCGCCCGGTCACTCCCCGCGCCCGCTTGCAGATCCAGGTGGGCGTGGAACTGGAGGCGAACATGCGCATGGAGGACACCGCGTGCACGTTCGGGTATCAGATCGACCTTCCCAAGGCCAACATGGTGTTTCGGGGTAGGCGATGACTGACGCGGCCTTCGTTTGACATTAAACGTCACCTTCTCCTCCCCCCCCCCCCCTCCGCTACCCATCCTGCTCAAATGAGCATCGGGATGGCGCGCCCGTATTTGATGCTTATGAATGTGTGTGCATGTGTTGTGCGTGTGTGTATTCGGTGTTTGTCTTTGACCAAATTAACTGGCGTTGGCCTGACTGTGTCAGATTTTAAGAAGCTAGGCAGGGGTTGAGCCTGGATAGCGCTTTGATGGGTGATCACCGTGCACCTCATGACATCGTAATCGGCTGCGGGGCTGTGCTACATTGTCAGTAGGATGAGGCAGTACAGCAAAATCCATTGCTGTACTGCGCTTATTGTACTCCCGTGCCTTTGCTTTCCCGTCAACTCGCACTGACCAGTGTGGCAAAGTATGGTCACCAACCGGCATTGGCCAGCGTGGTGAAGCACGTTCGGACAAACTCACGCCATATGGGTCGGGCCCTAATCCACGCAGCGGCGGCTGGGCAAAAGGGCTGTGCGTGTTGCCCATGAATTTGCAAGTTTGGGTGCGCGTGAACGTCAGCGGTGGGGAGCCACGGTAAGATTCTGCGCGTTGACCCCGTCCGCCCTCTTGGCTCCCCGCAGGAACGGTGGACAGCAACTGGACGGTGGGCGCTGTTCTCGAGAAGAAATTGCCACCCCTTCCGCTCACACTGGCACTCGCCGCCTTCATCAACCACCGCAAGAACAAGTTCCAGTGCGGCTTCGGCCTGACCATAGGCTGATGACTCGTAATTCCCATCCCTACCGACTCCCCCCCCCACCAACTACCTATCTCCTCCTGGTCCTCAACCCCGTTGCGCAAAAAAAAAAAAAATCACGTTTCATTTTTCGTGGGGTTTATTTTGTTTTGTACGTTCAGTTACAAAACAAAAGGCCCCCAGTTGGCCCGCGCTCGTGTTGACGTGTGGACGAACGGTAAAACTCTGCGGCGAGACGCAAACTGCTGTGTACAGGGACGTGTTCGGCATTATGAAAAAAAAAACCCAATCGACAACGAAAATTACGACGTTTCGTTTCTTAGACTTGCAGCAATTTGAAGCGAAAACCAGTCTACATGCGACGTGAGAGCCAGGCGATGTAAAGGGACGTTGCTGTAATGTTTTTGCTTTTTCATTAAATCTGTCGGAAGTCGCTGGTTCGTTTTCCCCATCTTCACGACACCGGTCTGTTATCTTCCTCTCGTCGGCATCACCGTCCCGGCCCTCGCTTGTCACCGCTGCTCAAATAACTAAAATAAAGCGCGCAGTTGGTGTACATTATGTTCATCAACGCAAACATACAAATATGCTTATTTTTTTTAGTTTTCTACTTTTTTCCCATCGGTTATTTGGCAAACATCTCCCCTCGTGTGGCATTTGAAGAGCATCGGACTGAGTTTTACATCTGTTCGTTGAGTTGGGAAAGCCATTCGGTGGGGTCTGAAGTCGCCGGGTAACGTTTGCACCTCTGCAAAAAAAGCGCTAAATTGGGAACCGATCGGGCACGTGAGCGACGGACTGTACTTCACCGCGGTTATTGGGCGACTTTTAAATTCTGCAGCCATCAAATGTGTAAAGTTGTTACATTAGTTTTGTTAGGATTGCACACTGTTTTTTAAGGGGGGCAAGCGATGTGTGTTACCATCCAGGTCCTTTGCAACCGATTCTTTGAACTGGGTATCATCCCAACTTAATACCCACCACACGAGGTTCCGCTTTGTTCCATCCTGTTCCATCTTACTTGCCAATTCCCACCGACCTCCAGGAATTGACAGCTGCAGCCAGGCTAAGGCTGTCCCTCCATCAGTTTTAAACGAACGTTTATGCTGCCTTGCGGCACTTTCGAAACACATTTGTAACTGCAGTATAACGGTGGTTTAATATATTAGGTCGGTGTGTGTATTAAAGCGCTTATGTTTACCGATGAATGTGCTAATTACGCCGTAACAAGATAATGCTTGGAAAAATTATGGGGGGGAAAAATTTTAATCTTTTCGGTTTTTGTGCAAAGCAGATTGTTTCCAACGTGTTACAAACATTGACATTCTACGCTTAGAATTGTCATTGGTATTTTTTTTTAATACAGCAAATTCTAAAAGAAAGGTTGTTACCAAGTGTCTTAGAAGATTTTTTCTCCCCCCTCCCCTCCCCTTCATTTCTTCACGTCGTACGAATGGTCCACAAAAGCCCTCGCGTTTGCACGGAACTGCCGCGGTTTATTTATCGTGACGAGGTGAAGCGATGCTGCTGGACGCGCCGAGGGGTGGTCATCCTGTGCCTCGCCGGCTGGAAACCCTGCCGCCGATCGTAATGTTCAGCATTCAGGAGAGACGCGCCAGTGTTCTTGACGCCCGATGAATCCAGGCTGAGTCTTTTGTCAGAGTAGAGGCGTTTCCCCCCCCCCCCCCCTCTTCGAGGTTTCGTCCTCATCATCATCATCTTATTCTGTCCTCTTTGGTTTACGGCCGTCACTTCCCCCCCGTGAAGCGTCTCCGCTCACACCTTGCCCCACACCATTGCGTTCTCACCGTGGGTCCTGGGCCTCCTTGCTGCTGCACTCCCCTTTGAACCTCTTTACAAACTGTTTCCAAGTCTGCTCGGATGCGCATGTCCACGGCTATTTGTACGGCATCTTGAGTCCTGGTCGCATTTTAGATTGAACAATGCAGGTTGTGTTCCGTGCTTGATTCGTGTCTGAATGTGGTGGGGCATCCCGCCCACCATGAAAGATAGACCGAGACTGATCTCATCACACTTAAATTTTCAAGGGCTTGACGGACCTGGGCATATATTTCCTAAGCTGGATGGAATATCATTGAGTCCATACACTTGCAACTAAACATTGTGCATGTTTATTTGTTTTTTTATTTCCAATAAAATAATTACCTGGAATATCCCTTGAGATGGAACACCTTATTTGCAAGGGTATCCAGGGTGTCGATTGATAACAACAAACGCGTAATGAACTTTGTTTAAACATTTTATCAGCAGGCTATATTTTCATGGTCATTCAACATTGTTATGTTTTTAAATGGACCAAAAGCATTCTACCAACTGTTAAATGGGCTCTGATAGCACACGCCACGTGTTGGGATGTTAGTCGATGCGCGGGGATAGTGTCTGCAAATTAATGGAACGCGTCTTAGGAATATCCACGGAGGAGATGGAGCAGTGAAATTCGCTCGCATGCATGTGTTGGGTGCATCCCACAAAATAGAATTGAAGCTTCCACTTGAAACCACTGAGACCTTGGCCAGATGCAGTGCTTGCGTTTTTATGTACGTGGCACAGACGGATTACTTACCGGCAGTGATTTCCAACCCGAGGACCACTGTCAAAGCATAAACATTTGTCGTGGACCACCTTGCATTAGTAACAATTTGCAAGATTAAAATGACTCCAAAAGCACCGTCAAATGTTAATTAAAAAGCCATGAAAAACTAAGACCTGGTATCTTTTTTTATTGACTCGATGTAATTAAAACAATGTCAACGAGTGCATTGGGCAGTAAAAAAAATGTTCTTTGAGAGAAAAAGATCGTAAGTACAGTGTCTGCAACCGATCCATGGAGATCTTACAAATGTCCTTGCTGATCACCAATGGCCTGCGTGTCGCAGCTTTGGAACCACTGGCCCATTGGGCAGAGAAAGCTGTGGGTACCCTCCCAGTGGCACGAAGGGTGGCCAAAATTTCCAACAAAAAAGCTCGAGAATTGAGGGGAGGCCACCAGTTTTCGTGGCGTATGTACTGACCTCTCCCTTGGATAGATAACGGTGTTTAAACTGGTGGAGGTACATGCGGGGCAGGCTGACCACTTGTCTTTTTGTCTGAAGTGACCCACGTGCACAAACACGCGCTCGTGTTTTCGTGCGCACTATTCCGCTGATAGTTCGTTTGCCGGGGTCTGCGAGCCGCCTCTCACGTATGCCGGGTTTGCACCCTGGATACGTAAATACAAAAATTTAGCGCGACGGGTTCTGGGTTGGTATCGGTCTTGGTGGGATTGTGGGAAGCTGCCAGTCTCTCCTGGCAGTTGTGGGTAGTGTTGGTGTCATGAGATGTTGGGGAGTGTCAGTCGCAGGGAGTTATGGGGTTTTGTCACGAGGATTCGTTATATGGTTGGTGATGACTTATTAGATGCGGTCATGTACACTATAGTCAACTCGATAATTATTCAGGTTAATGGTGCAAGGGGGTGAGTTGGGGGGGGGGTACAGGTAGTGGGTGGCCCTGATAAAATAACATCACGGAAATAAGTATCTTAAAAACAAGTGTTATTTACCTATGTAGAATGGTAATGAAGACAACGTCGTCGCTGTTTTTTTTGTAACAGCTTCAACGGCAATCTGTTAACTCGCATGTTGTTCGCGGTCACCGAAAAGGTGACCCTTCTAAGGAGTGAGGAGCAGCTCATAATTTAAAAACAACCGCGCAACCGTGTAAAGATCTGTCTGCCCTCCGCTGTATTTATTTTTTGGTCGTGAGCACGGATAATGCCCTCGCCGGATAATCCAGCCACGGTAACTCGACTGTTAAAATTCAGCCGCGTCCGAGAGAGCCGTGTGCCCGTGTGGACACCGGCCAACTTCGACCGGGTCTCCACACCCCTGGGTTCAGTCCTTGCCCTGCAGGTAGTCCACGATCTGTTGGGTCATCGCCTTCTGCAGCGCGGCGATCGAGTCGATGCTGTGCGTCAGGTAAGATCTGCAGTGGTCCAAGAGAAAGGGCTGTCGTGAGCTGCAGTGTGGTAAGTGAGTTTGCTGTTGTGACCTGAAGTGTGGTGAGTAAGTGAGTTTGCTGTTGTGACCTGCAGTGTGGTGAGTAAGTGAGTTTGCTGTTGTGAGCTGCAGTGTGGTGAGCGAGTTAGCGAGCAAGTGGGTGAATGAATTTGCTGTTGTGAGCTGCAGTGTGGTGAGTGAGCAAGTGAGTGAGTGAGTTTGCTGTTGTGAGCTGCAGTGTGGTAAGTGAGCGAGTGAGTTTGCTGCAGTGTGGTGAGTCAGTAAGCGAGCAATTGACTGAGTTTGCTGTTTTGAGCTGCAGTGTGGTGAGTGAGTAAGCGAGTGAGTTTGCTGTTGTGAGCTGCAGTGTGGTGAGTGAGAGTGAATGAGTGAGTTTGCTGTTATGAGCTGCAGTGGTGAGTGAGTTAGCTGTTGGGAGCTGCAGTGTGGTGAGTGAATGAGCGAGTTTGCTGTTGTGAGCTGCAGTGTGGTGGCTGAACACAGTACGGACGGGATGAAACAGTCAATCTGGGAGACCGAACCCTCAACATTGGGTGGAAGTAGCAGCGAGTTAAATTCGTTGGAAACAGAAACCACGATTGATGAGTGATAATTATGAGAGGCGACTGACCGTCTGGCGATTGAGGAGTGACTGCCATGAATCGGTGAGTGCTGTGACCATCAATCTGACTGACGGGGGAAAAAAGAAACATCGAGTTGGTGAGAAACTCAAGCACTGCCCTGGTCGTCACTCACTGGATGCTCTCCGTGCTGTTGGCCTCCTCCGTCTCTCTTTTCCGGCGGATCCACGAACTCCCCACGGCCCCAAGTAGCCGCTTCACCTCTCGCAGTGTCCCTCCGTGAAGGCTCGTGCCGCCCGGCTGCCCAGGGAGCTCCTCCGCCGCCTCCTCCTCGGCTGTGAGAACGAATTGGAGGGACACCAGCAGCCAGTGCACATTCACCCTCTCGCTGTTCTTCGTCTCCCTCGTCTTTCGCGTGGCTTCCGATGGTAGATGCAGAGCAGCAACCGCAAATTTCAGGTTGGTCCAAAGCCACAAAACGGGACCTTGTTTTGCCAGTATCAAAATATGAAAAAATAAGAATAGGTTTTACCCTTTCTGGCAATAAAAACAGGAGGTGTTAAGGTGTTCAAACACCAATGAGAAGCATTTTGCAAGGAATAAAGTCTGCATTAACCACACACAGTACTTGTGGTGAACATGCAAACAAGCACGTGGCTCTGCTAATAGATGGGCACAGTCTTTGAAACTGATTGGCCTACACCAGAGACAGCCTTCTTGAGGGCCCTGTCTCACCGGTATCAGAGCAGAGAACGCCAAAAGGCGAACAGTACAAGGGCAATGCCACTATCAGGGCACTTACAGCTCGAGGTGAGCAGCTACAAAATGGGACATTTTTGGTCAAGCCAGTTCAACCGCGTGAGGAGCAGCAGTGTATCACTGCGATGTCTCTGATTCGTATCTGCGGATCGCTGTTGACTGATGCGTGTATGTTGGACTTCTTTCGCACCGTACCCAGCCCACCGTGCTAATCGGAGGTGCGGGAAGTGTGAGGGCCAGTCACTCACCTGCCACCAAGTCTCCCGGTAATTGTACTTTACTTTGATCAGTGTTGCGGTCACTTTGTCCCGAGCTGACGTACGCTATAGGGAAGTAATTTAACACGCAGGATTTCGCGACCAATATCCATAATAGAGGTTTTTTGGGAGGTTAGATTGCGTAAATATATAAATGTTGTGTCGTTAAACACGCCACCACCCGACAGCCAATGAGTCAGGTTTGTCACGTAAACAGAACGTGCCAATTCGTGACTAGTACAGCACACCGGTATGTTGGAGAGCCAAGCCACAACATTTACAATCTGAGTACGACGTTTCGCCAGTAATTACAACCAGCTTCATAAGGCGACAGCCAGATTGACAATACTTACTAATTGGCTGTGTCGGGTGGTGGCGGGTTTAACGACACATTGATATATTTACGCGATCTAACCCAAAAAAACCTCTATTATTAGGGAAGTAAGTATTTTCACGTTGATTTATGTTTCTGCAATATATTCGATTTGTCATATGATACCGTTGATATTTTCTCTGATTTCAAGTTGTGGCTAATTGCTGTACTGCACTTTATTTGTTTATCCTTTTGTCATGTTTGGTGACCCAGGTCCCTAATGCAAATGAGACTCTCTGTTGTGACTCGCTGAGCCACCCATTCGGGACATCTGTGAAAAAGAGCTTCATGGCTTATCGGATTCCTCCAGTATAAATAAATAAAGATCTGCTTCTATCCTGGTCTCTAGAGTTCTCGCCTGGTTACACAAAATAAATGTGAACTTGACCCAGACCAATAGTCAGTGGGAAATTAATCCCTGACCACAGTGACACCCAAAAGTGATTGCTGAGAGTGGGAAGGAAGAATGGTGATGTCGTGTGTGTGACCCCGTGTGTGTGACCCCGTATGTGTTACCCCGTGTGTGTGACCCCGTGTGTGTTACCCCGTGTGTGTGACCCCGTGTGTGTTACCCCGTGTGTGTTACCCCGTGTGTGTGACCCCGTGTGTGTGACCCCGTGTGTGTTACCCCGTGTGTGTGACCCCGTATGTGTTACCCCGTGTGTGTTACCCCGTGTGTGTGACCCCGTGTGTGTGACCCCGAGTGTGACCTCGAGTGTGACCCCGTGTCTTACCTGGCACAGACGCCGGGCTCATCACGATCAGCGCCACGTAAACCAATGCTACCCGCATGATCATCGGGACACAAATCCGCAACCCAGCCAAGCTGCGACGATAGCAGACAGCGCACGCTTTGTCGCGTCACAATCTCGAGCCCTAATATCAATCAAGCACTGGTCCCATTACGCCACGAAGCGGTCTATAAAGAGCCGCATGCGGGTCTGTATAGACCCCCTGTGCTTGCCCATCACACTAATGCGGTATTGTCTCATCATATCAATCAGATACTGATCTATCGTTACAATCACCACAATAAGAACAATCCTCTGTGTCCATCCAGGAACGTCTCGCTGAGTCTAACGACTTTTTTTTAATGAAAGAGGCGCCCGCTACGTTGGGATGTTTGGGCAAGTCCTGAGCGACGTTGCTTTGCTCTCACCTGAAGCTCTGCCGCAGTCGCCGGCCGTGGTGTTGGAGAGGGCGAATGCGTGGGCTCCGCACGCGAGATGGTGATGCTGGTCCTGGTGATGTTGATGCGGATGACGTTGCCGCGTTTAGATGTTCATTACTCCATAATCATCCGTGCCAGTGCTCAGCGCTCCGTTTTATATCGAGGCCTCTGCTGCTTCTGCTGCTGTTGCTGTTGCTGGTGGTGGTGGCGATGATGATTGGTGGAGTCACGCCGGTCAATCTGACTTCCAAGAGGGGACACGGTCACAGCAACCCTAACATCACTACCACTGTTTCAAAGAACAAATTTGACCTCAGGTCTTCGCTCATTTACCAGCTTCACATTCCCTATTGCCGTACAAAAAACTGGAGGAAGGGACTTTGCTATTGATGCCCCCAGGGTCTGGAATGCTATTGCCAATAAACTGCAACTTGAATCGCTACCAATGAGATTTTCTCTCAAAACTGCTCTAGAGGAGTTGTACACCCCTAGCTGCCACTGCTATTCATTGGCGTTAAATAAAATAAAATGTTTCGCTCCGGATGACGCTGCAAAGTATTCTCTGTATTTTGATGTAGCGTGCTG